ACTGTGCAGTCAAAAGAAAAGTTTGTGACAAATCTTGCACCGTGCGAAAAAGAAAATTAATTTTGCACTGTGCAGTCAAAAGAAAAGTTTGCGACAAATCTTGCACCGTACGAAGACAAAAATTAATTTTGCACTGTGCAATCAAAAGAAAAGTTTGCGACAAATCCTGCACTGTGCGAATACAAAAATTAATTTTGCACTGTGCAGTCCAAAAAAGAGATTTGCGACAAGTCGTGCACTGTGCGAAAAAGAAAATTAACCTTGAACTGTGCAGTCAAGAATAAAAATTTGCACATTGCGCCCGCACTGTGCATGAAAGGCTTTATTAAATTTTATTAAACGGGCTGGAAATCGTATATTACGCTTTTTCAAAAGTGCAGACACATTTTCCGGCCTTTTTTGCACCGCACAGTGCAAGTTTCGTGTTCCCCGCGCGACGCGATCCGATTCGAAACATTTTTGCACTGTGCAATTTCAAAAAATTCGCGCCGGCTCCGTTAAGAAAAGCTTGCGTCGCAGCGATATCCGGTTGCACAGTGCAAAAGGTCAAAATGCACCCCGCAAAAGGGAGTTTTGTGCACGGTGCGGCCCACGACAAAATGTGTCTGCACTTTTGAAAAAGCGTAATATAAGAAAAACTTGCGTCAATTTTTTTTACAGTTTTCTTTTCTTTGTGGTCTTTGGACTTGCACGCTTCTTGCCCAATTATTTACAGACTTTTATCCGGTTGTCCAAAGATTATGAACTCTTAAATATTTATTGTTTCCTACATGTTCAAAGGACATATGTCTACACTTTTACAGCCATTTTTGGGCAAAAAAATTACTTTATAGTGAATGAAAGTGATTTTTCAACACTACATAGACACATATGTACGCTTTCAATATAATTTTTTGAATTTTTTTAGTTTGATTTTTATTTGAGCCCCATCTCAGCTCACGTCATATGGCCGGAGGGCTTTTAATTGAATTTTTTTCAAACAAAAAAAAGGAGATTCCTTCTTTTCCCAAAAAATTTTATTAAATTTCATTTGAGAAATGAGGATTTTTTTGGTTTTTTGAGCAACAGAACTAACAGAGAGCCCAAGGAAGGGGTTTCGAACTTTTTTTGTTATTTTAATGTTTGTGAAAGTTTTATTTTCTCTTCTGTTTTTGCATTATGCTATTTTCACTCCTTTTTTTCGAAAATATTTCTTTGCACTGTGCGTAAAAAACAATGTTTTTTGCACGGTGCAAAGTGAAAGCCTATCGCACTTATTCTGTTTTTTGCACTGTGCAATCTTCTTTTTTTTCCCCGCACTGTGCCACCAAAAATACTTTCGCACCGTGCAAAGGGAGAGTCTGCCGCACCTTTTATTTTCCGCACAGTGCAAAGAGAAGTTTTGTCGTGCCCTTGTTTTTTGCACTGTGCAAGAACAAATTTTGTCGCACAGTGCAAGAAGAACTTTTGTCGCACTTTTTATTCTTTGCACTGTGCAGTCAAACCATTATGTTTTGCACGGTGCAAACAGAAATTTTATCGCACTTTTTATTTTCTGCACAGTGCAATTTTCTTTTTTCCCCGAACTGTGCCACCAAAAATGTTTTTGCACGGTGCAAAGGGAAGGTCTATCGCATATTTCATTTCTTGCACTGTGCAACCAAAACAATGTTTTTCGTACAGTGCAAGAACAACTTTTGTCGCACTTTCCGTTTTTTGCACTGTGCAGTCAAAGCAAGATGTTTTGCACGGTGCAAAGAGAAATTTTATCGCACTTTTTATTTTCTGCACAGTGCAATTTTCTTTTTTCCCCGAACTGTGCCACCAAGAATGTTTTTGCACGGTGCAAAGGGAAGGTCTATCGCACATTTCATTTTTTGCACTGTGCAACCAAAGCAAGATTTTTCGCACAGTGCAAGAACAACTTTTGTCGCACAGTGCAAGAAGAACTTTTGTCGCACTTTTTATTCTTTGCACTGTGCAGTCAAAGCAATATGTTTTGCACGGTGCAAACAGAAATTTTTTCGCACAGTGCGAACAGAAGTTTTGTCGCACTTTTTATTTTTTGCACTGTGCAATCAAAAAAATTCTTTGCACGGTGCAACCAAAAAAATTATGAAAGACCTCGAATTTTTTTTCAATTCAAAAATTTCGAAAACCAACGAGCTTACTGACACAGGCTGACCAGTTATTATCCCCGATCGCAGCTACTTATTTCCTCTTCATGCGTTTTGACGTAATAATTCTTGCTCTTTCAAAAAAAAAAAACTGTTTTCGGATATTTCAAAAACCAACTTTAATGGTGTTTACTCTGTTCGCTAAAGGAGTATTTGTCTCCCGAATGTGTTCTTCATTTGTCTATTTTTGGAAATTGTCCAAATTTTTTTTGAAGTTTCCGTGCTTTTTTTGAAGGACGAAAAAATGTCATAGATAATATAAAATAGGACTTTTTTGGCGGCTAAAATTAAAAATTGCATGTGTAAAGCTACAATCGAAGGTTTTCAAAATTTTTTGCAATATTTTTTTATTTCTTCAAGTCAAATTTTGTAATTTTTTTATTTTTTTTTTACTTTTAATGTCATGGATAATATAAAATTTGAATTTTTTTGACTACTGCAAACAAAAATTGCGTGTGTAAAATTACAATCGAAGGTTTTAAAAATTTTTGTAGTAGTTTATTTTTCCTCGGAACCAATTTTTGGGATTTTTTTATTTTTTTTTGTTTAATGTCATGGATAATATAAAATTGCTATTTATCGACGACTACAAATAAAAATTTGATGTGCAATGTTACAACCGAGTGTTTTCTGAATTTTTTTAGCGTTTTGTTATTTATCGGAACCTAATTTAGAGATTTTTTATTTTTCTTTCTTCTAATGTCATGGATAATATAAAATTGGATTTTTTTGTTGACTACACATAGAAATTTGATGTGTGAAGTTACCATTGAGGGTTTTCAGATTTTCTTATAGCATTTTGCTATTTCTTGAGGCCAAATTTTGGGATTTTTTATTTATTTTTTTTTGTTGACCTTTGATGTCATGGATAATATAAAAAGTCAAGATTTCTTATGGGTAAAGACAAAAATCTATTTCGCAAAAAAAGATAAGTAATTTTAAGACTTTGAAAGCCTATATCGACACTTTTTGAAGCCAACTTTACCAATTTTTTAATCTTTTTTACCTTTGATGAGATGGATAATATAAATTTAATTTTTTTACTAATCCCTAATAAAATCTTTCATTCAAACTACCGCCATACCTTTCTAAATACCACTTGAAGTGTATAGCTGCCGTATCTTACAACCAATTCGTCCCACATTTTTATCTTTTTTTTTATTTTCCCATCAAACGTCATGGATAATATAATTTCCCCCTTTAATTCGCAAAAAACAATCTTTTTATTTTATTGTTTGTTTGTAACTGACAATTACTTCCTTAGCGGGTCCTCGGAAAGAGTTAGGGGGATAATTGGAGTTGGCGTTGAACGCCCAGACAAATTTTCAATTAATTTTTCAGTCTCTTCACGTCAGTTTCGGGTCAATAAATTAAAGAGGGGGATTAGGGGGTGTAGTAAATGCCCTGGTAAGGGTTGTAAGGGTTCATAGAGATTACACTGTCTAATCTGCGGTTAAATTGCAGTGTTTTCTTGCTAAATTTTGGCGAAATTTTTATTTTTGTTTTTAATTTTTGATGTTTTTTTCCTAAAATAAGGTGATTTTTGATGATAAATTCTTTTTTTCACACAAAGTTTGTGTTGATAATTGTAAAATACGTTCTTTTGAATATGCACCTTCAATTTTCTCTTTGAAAACAGGATAATTATTTTCTTATTTCATGTCATTTTAAGCCAAAATACAGCAAATTTCAGCCAAAAAATCCTATTTTTTCAATGTTTACACCTCTAAAATTCCAGAAAATAGCAAATCCTTTACTTAAATTCACCTTTTCCTACCGAATTCATAGATATTTTGCGCCAAAATGGGTTTTTTAACCTTTTTTGAAGTTTTTTATTCGACCTTATCAACGGGAAAACTCCACTTCGTTTTCGGACTCATGTGTACACACAGATGTGTCTACACGAAAAATGAAATTACCCATGAAAAGTAAATGCAATTTCCCCGGGAAAACAGCGTTCTTTCCCTCTTGAAGTTTACATGTTCGTATGTAAACTCTCAAGTGTTGAGGCCAAATTGTATATAAAAAGCAATTGGATTTTCACCTGTTCAGAGGTGTTTTTGCCGGCTAACAGTTAGTGGAATTGTAATTTTTCTGTGATTTTTTGCACCGTACAGAACTGATTGACTCAAATAAAAAACTTGGGAACTTGGGGTCGATAAGGTCTAAATGTCTCCGATTTACGGACCTTTATGGTCGATTTTCATAAAAACCAGGGCCTGAATACCAAAACTACTTTACCCTCTAACAGAGATTGCCACGGCCAAAATTTCGGCTCCGGCTCCCGGTTACCGTGCAAAATTTAAAAAGGTCTCCGGCTCCGGCTTCCGACTCCCGTACAATTTTTTTTTTAATATTTTTCCAAAAAATAAAGTTATTGGTGCCAGGGATGACACGTCCAACATTTTTAGCCAAGTTCCGAGTATTTTTCAAGCAATTGGTGTATGAAGATCACGAAATATTTACTTTTCTGAACGCTGTGACACCTGGCTCTCTATGGGCTCGGGAACCGGAGCCGCTCCAAGCCGGAGCCATGAGCCGTCTCCGGAGCCGTGGCAATATCTTCCCTTTACCCCTTCCCTACTGTTTATTTGAGGTCATTTTGATAAGATCCTAAGAGTTTTAGATTTTTCGGTGGAAAAATTCCAAAAGATAAATTTTGGCTGATCGTAAATTACCCTGCGTTTTGGTGCTCATAACACAATAACAACATTTATGTAGTGTTTTTAAGCCGTCTCCAACAAGTAGAAAGCATTTTCTGAATATTTTTATATGTAGTTGTTAATTTTACCTCATGCAGGCGTCTGTAATGTTTGAGCATTTCCACTATAGATTTTTGGCAGTTTATTTATCATAATATACAGTATAATAAAAATTCAAAAATACGAGAGATAGCGCGCTATAGCGATCTTTATCCCTGTCTTCCTCTTCTTCGAGAACCTCTCCCTCGACGTCCATGTCTGTGTCTTCTAGAGCTTTTCCTTGACTTCTTTGACCCCCCTGAACGACGTCGACCATGGTGGTGGTGGCGGTGGCCGTAGTAATAAACATGGCATTCGCAGACAAGATCAACACATCTCGGCTCATAGGAACCACAACTGAAATTGTTTACTTTTACGGGATATTTCATGTGCTAGTGTAATGTCTAACTTAATTTTCAAGTTTTGGCACAAAAAATGTTAGTTCAGAGGTCCTTACTATGGCGAACAATCGTCATCAAACTCGCAATCTGCAAGTGCATGGGCCAGGCAAAACGAGAGTAAGAGAATCACAAGTAAAGTCTTTGAAGCCATGTTTAGCCGGCCCTGATTTGCCAATCTGTACGAACTTCTCGGCTTAAATAATGACGATTACAGAGAATGACTCGATCGTAATGATGTGAGATGATCACATCCATAAATTGAATAGTCATCAAATTTAGGAATCCAGCATGATGTGCCAACATTCCAGTGGCTTGAAGATGATTTTTTTTTGACGAATATTTTTGGAATGAGCATAGTAAGAGTGGTTTCATAGATATCATCTGTCTATACAGAAAATAGTTAGGGCTCCGTCGCTTCGAAAATCGCATCACCGAAGTGAAAAAGCAATTTTACCGCGACACAATTCATTTTCTCGGCGGCTGAAGTGATGAGTCAAACGTAGATAGGTATCGAGAGTAGACACAGGTTTAGGAATAAGGTTTATTGAGAAGACCACACCGAGAAAGAGAAAGGAGATAATGCACGTCAAACTGAGACAAACTAAAACAGTCCGGTGAATGGATTGGCCATTTGCCAAAAAAAGACTTGAAAAAACCTTTTGTCGGCGAAGAAATGGGGAATTTTTGGGGCGAGAGAGTGCGCTTTTGCGTGTCTTTTTTCTCTCTTTCTCTGCAAAATCAAGACGAAGCGTAAAAAACGATAGCGAAGAGTCTATTTCGGTCACCGGACTCCTGAGCTTGACGTGTGTTGCTTTTATATGAGTTGGTTTATGCTAATTTCTGTGGGAATGGTGGCGACGTTCGAGGCTCCACAACAGCTGCAATTCGATTTTCAATGCGACAGAATGCTCATTATTTTCCCGACCGACTGACATTAGTATTTTCATAAAGTGCCTAGACATTTTTTCTCTTCCGCACAGTGAATTTCGAACTTTTTTCCCGCGCTTGCCGCCAACGCACAGTGCAAAAACAAAAAAGTAAAATGCACGGTTCAAAATGTGGGTTTTTGAGTACGCTGCAGACCGCGACAAATGTCTATGCAATTAGTGAAATTATACACTAACAAGAGTGATTTCATAAATACCGGCCAGATTGTGATGATAATTGAAGGTTCGAGGCGATTACATAGTATTTTATAAAGTGCGTAGACTTCTCTTCGCCAGACAACAACTCCCACTTTGTATCGTACGTTGCACTTCCGGCCTGTAATCTTGCACATTCCTTCCGTTCAAATCATTGCCGACCAATTTTCTGCGATTTGCGTCCACTCGGACTCGAACTTGGGACCTCAGTTTGGTAGTTTTTATGGAAATCCACTGTACCGTCAAAACACACAGACAATCTTTGGACTTTTTTTAATGTTTCTAGAGCAGAATTTTACGCTGATTAACATATGTAAAAATCGAATGCGTGGGTTTAGAAAAAAAAATTTTATGGCCGATTCTGTACGGCCGAATATTGAGTTTTCTATGTTACAGTAATCCTTGCGACTTAAAACGATTTTCGTTGGATTGGCAGTGCCCAAAAACGTATATGGTAAGAGTTTCACTGCTCTGCGTATGTTCAATTTCGAGTATTTTGATGTTACTGTAAACTGCTAAGATTGTAAATAAAAGTGGGTTAACGGGAGAATTGGAGTAAAAGATTCTAGAAATACACTTATATGATGGCTGTCGTCATATTTATATGTAAATCTCATATCTGAAATTTTTTTTATTTTTTGTATATTTTTCTTTTTTCTTTTTTTTTTTCTTATTTTTACCCATTTTACAGCTACTTCTCCCCCCTCTTCCCCAAATTCCATCCCGTTTTATCCCGTGTCTTTCTCCCGTCTCATATTGTTTACACATTTCAGTCACACGTGTAGACAGTTAGGTCTTTGTTTTATATTCTCTCTCTATTTGCCTTGGGAAAGAGAAAGTGAGGGTTTGAGGTTATTTTTTTATTTTTTAGGTTCCCAGAACTTTAAATTTGGTAGGAATTTTTTGTGTGAAGTCTTGAGTCGTTAAGAAAGTCGTTAGGGAAAGAAAGTGATGTGGGTTACTTTTTCGGGAATTTTTAATTTAAAAAAGGAAAAAAATAACTAAATTTCAGGTAAAAAATATAAAAAAATTCTTTAAAATAAAAAATAAAAAAAAAATATTTAAAAAATTTTAAAATATTTTTAAAAGAAAATATTTGATAAAAAAATAAATTTTATTTTGTTGTTTTTTAAATTTTAAAAAGTAAAAACAAAATAAAAAAATAAAAAATAGATATCAGGAAATAGAATAAAAAATCCAATATTTTTTTATTTTTTCAGCTAAAATTGGCCATTAATTGCCCAAAAAAGGCAATTAAAATTCTCCTTTACCAAAACTAACATAAATTTAAAAAAATAATAAAAAAAATCAAATATTTTTTAAAAAAATCTTCTAAAATTGACCATTAAGACTCCAAAAAAGCCAATTAAAACTCTTTTTTACAATCCAATTTATTACTTTACAGTTTCCTTTTTCTCGTGACAGACATTAACAAAAAATATCTCGCCGTTTCAGACCAAAAACAAAGTAATTGCTATGACATGGGGTTAATGGCATGTTTTGTGCGAATTAATTTGCTAAATGGATAATATTACATTAAAATTTGCGGAAATGAAACAAAAAATTTTGTTTTGAAAAAAAAATTTACTTTTTCTCATAAAAATCTAATAAAATCTAGTTGTAAATGAGATTATAATGTAATTTGTGGACTGTAGAAATATTTAAGATATCCAAATTTTATAATTCACCAAATTTTCGTTTCGTATTTTACCTATAAAACCAAATTTTTCCCATTTTCCCTCAATTTTTTTGCCTCTTTTCAATTGTGACGCCATAAGTAGTTTGGAAAATGCAAAAAAAAGAAGTCTAAAGAGAAATTGTTTTCGAGGACGTTCTTGGCACGTTCTTCCGCTTTTCGGCCGTTGGGTTTTCCAAAAAATTCCCAAATTTTTATTCCAAACCAAAAACGGAAAAATATTGAAAACGAAGCCGATGCCGCTATCGAGTTTCATATATGGGTATATTTTGGGATACGCCGAAAAAATACACTTCAATTTTTATTTTTTCAACTTCAAATTTTTTCATTGCACTGTGCGGCGCCAAAAATCAGCCATTTTTTTGATTGCACAGTGCGAAATTGCTCTTTCTTTTATTGCACAGTGCGAAAAAAGAGGGTTCAGTTTTTGCACGGTGCATTTTTTCTTTCTTTTCTTTCACTGCACAGTGCAAAATTGTTGCTTTTTGAACGCACAGTGCGAAAAAAGAGGTTTCAGTTTTCGCACAGTGCAATTTTTTCTTTCTTTTTTTGACTGCACAGTGCGTAAAAAGGGTCTTTCGTGTTTTGCACAGTGCAAATGACATGTCGCAGACTTCTTTTCTCGCGACTGAACTTCGGTCATTTTGCAAAGTGACTGCACTGTGCAAATCCCATTTTGTCGCTCACTGCACTGTGCGAAGTTTGTCGCACGTTGAACTGGACAGTGCAATTTGTTTTTTTATTTCTTGCACGGTGCAAATTTTTCTTTTTTTGATTGCACAGTGCAAAGGGCGTGTCGCGGATTTTTCTTTTTGCGACTGGGCTTTCTCAAATTCGCAAAATGACTGCACTGTGCAAATGATTTTTTCTTTTTGCCGCACCGTGCAAAGCCCATTTTTTGGCTCATTGCACTGTGCGAAATTTGTCGCAGGTTCCACTGCACAGTGCAATTGCTTTTTTTATTTTTTGCACAGTGCAAAAAAAAATCTTGTTTTAATTGCACTGTGCGAAAAAATGAAAGCCCATTTTGTCGCTCACTGCACTGTGCGAAATTTGTCGCATGTTCAACTGCACGGTGCAATTTCTTTTTTTATTTTTTTGATTGCACAGTGCAAAAAATCTTTTTTGATTGCACAGTGCGACAAAATGAAAGCCCAATTTGTCGCTCATTGCACTGTGCGAAATTTGTTTGCACAGTGCAAAAAAATCTTTTGTTTTAATTGCACTGTGCGAAAAAATGAAAGCCCATTTTGTCGCTCATTGCACTGTGCGAAATTTGTTTGCACAGTGCAAAAAAATCTTTTGTTTTAATTGCACTGTGCGAAAAAATGAAAGCCCATTTTGTCGCTCACTGCACTGTGCGAAATTTGTCGCAGGTTCAACTGCACCGTGCAATTTGTTTTTTATCTTTTGCACAGTGCAGAAGCGACGAACTTTTTGTTGCCAGTAAAAAGCATGACATGTCTAGCCGTTGGCTCAACCCCAAATTGATTTCTCACATCTTCTCCGTTTCCCTGTTTTATGTTCTTTTTTTCAAACAGTTGGCCTATTTATTTGAGGATTAATTTGAAGAAGCGGCCGGAAGAAAAAAAAGAACTTTGACCCGAAAAAAACTTTCCGGAAAAGCCCCCGAATTCTGATGCTCTCGTATTTTTTATGAGCCTGCTGCATATTTTATTAGCTATTTTTGAGTCGAGTTACTCGACTGCACGGTGCGGTTTTAGTTTTGTTTTTTTCGCACTGTGCGGTGGAAATTTTTCAGTTATCAGAAGTACGTGTATATACTGTGAAAAAATTAGTTTATTTTACAATTTTCTTTCATTTTCTGTCTGTTTTCATCATGAAAAACAAACTTTTTGTCATTGCACTGTGCAAAAATAAAATTTTTACTTATTGCACGGTGCAGAATAAAGATAATTTCAAACTTTTTGAATGCATACAGTCTACATTGGACCATTTTTTAATTTTACTTTCTATTTTTCCCCAGATGACGTCATGCACTGTGCAGTAAGAAATTTTTGTTTTTTCGCACAGTGCAATAGAAACTTTTTTGAGCTTTGCACAGTGCACTCTCATACTTGAGTAAAATTGATCTCTCAACTTTTTCACACAACTCTCACGGTCATTCCTACATTTTGCCCTCGGCAATTTTCTCGCCATTGTAGTGAGAAAAGTACAATTTTTTCAAACTGCACCGTGCAATTTTTTATTCTTATTTTTGCACCGTGCAAAGGGAAAAAGCCAAAAAAATGTAATTCAAATGTCATGAGATGCTACAAAATACTGGAAAATTGAGTATTGTACTGCAAATGGCCTTAGGGTCGAGAGTACTCGCAAGTTATTTTAAGTAATTCCTTTTACAACATCAATTATGACCCTGGCCGTTTGTCATGGAAACCGTCTGGGAAAAAGGTTTGAGAAAAGGCGGAAATGACAAGTTTCTGAAGAATTCAACAAGTTGAGTCGTTTTTGTGGCCTCAATACCTACTTATATTATCCTTTTGGATCTAATAGGCAGTTAAAAATAAGGTCAAAAAAGGCCTTGAAAAATGTCAAAATTTCAATATTCGAGACTATAGAGCATCTCCACACTATTCTAGGTTATTTTCCGACCAACCCCATCTCCAATCCCCCAATGATCGCAGATTGGGATCGAAAATTATATTACACTAGAGTCCAAACCGCAACGAACCAACAGTTTATTGTATAAACAGAGCGGATAAGCGGGTATTTTCGCGATATAAACGGCATTTGTGTCTGTGTTCTATTTTTCGCAGCCGATTCCGTTGTCTGGGCTGTTTATTTGTTTCGTCTGCAGAAAATGCACTTTCCGTTGGACCTTGTGCTCCGTTTTATATGATGGACGTCGTTTTAAGATGTTTTGACGTGAACATTCTTTCGGACTCACCGCGAGACTACTGTAACCAGGTGTTTTTGGCCTATTTCCAATGGGAAATTGGGTCTGCAGGCCGCGCGGACATTTTATACGATGGGGATTTTAAATTATTGTGGAAATTAGTGCTTCTAGACCTCGAATATGCCACAAATACAGAATTCTTGAATTTTTTGTTGATGCAGGAGACCTGTTTTACCAAATGGATTGAAATTCCGAGACAGTAAGAACGATTCTAAAAATTTCCTTCGGGCGCAGCTCGCCAACTAGATTTATATAAATTTCGAGCGAATAACAGACCAATTCGGGTCCAGTCGGCCGTTAGACCTTATTTTCCAACCACAGTAACTTCAAAACATCATTTCCTTTCCACGAACGCAGCTTTTCAGCGTGCACAGCGACCAGACTTTTAGCTGTTTTTTCCGGTTATGTCTTCCGGATTTCTAAAACAATTTCCCCTCCAATTTCTCGCGTTCTCAGGCATTTACGATCTCTGTCAGGCAACTCCGATGCATCTCCGACGCAAATTCTTATCTTATCTTTGCATTGGAAACGTTTTTTTCCACTAGGTTATATTATACTAGGTGATGGGGGAAAGCGGCATTTTCAGGTGACTAGTGTAATGTTATCGCGGATGTTCGGCGTTTATCAGTGAGGGGGAAGGTCGGGCTACGTGGAAGTGGGCGGAAGAGCGGTTTGAACACTTGATTTCAACGAAAATTATATTGTTTTAGATGGTCAATATCGGATGTTCGAAAATTTGACAATTTTGCTGAAGAATGAAGGCGTGTTGCTTCCGGTCGCTTTATTGCGAAGTGTTCTTGCTATTTGTCTTTGAATGTTTTATCTTTTCAGCGGTTTTATTAACTTTTGAGGAATAATATTATTCATCACGATTTGATGTCTGCTCCTCGTTTAGCCGCGAGTTTCCCGGTGATTCATGTATTTTCTATTATTACGGAGCCTGTTTCATTTTTTGAAAGCATTTTTGTCGCGATTTGAGAGAAATTTTATATTATTCATGATGTTTCTCTTTCAGAACTCTGAACTAACCTGGTAAAATTCCGAGAGTTGATGAAAGTTGGGTGTATAACTTCATTTTCGTGTGAAATACTAGTGATACGAGTAGTATAATTGAACAAGGACCGAATTAGGAGGCGAAGATGGTGCAGACGTACCAGAGTCCGGTACGCGTGTACAAGCACTCGTTCGAGATAGTCATGGCGGCCTATCAGATGCGTTTCCCCACCTGTCCGCAGATCCCGGTCTTTGTTGGGTCCGAAATTCTCTCCGAGTACCATTCTCCGGACGGCGCGGAAGAAGTGATCGAAAGGAAATGCAAACTCAATATTGAAGCCCCATATCTGTTGAAGAAGATGGCCGGCGTCGACTACGTGTATTTCAACCAGAAGAACTCGTTGGACCGACGACAGCGCACGCTGGTTATCGAGGCAACAAACATCTCCTTCTCGACTCGATTGGTTATCGTGGAAAAGTGTGTGTACTATGTGAGTTTCTTTTCTTTTTGTGTTTTCTGACTTTTAGGAGGACCAATACAATTGATCAAATATTTGAGGCTGCGTATTTTACCCAACGTACAGTTGAAATAAAGAGAAGACAAATTTTAGCCAGATTTTGTCAAATTTGACCAATTTTTGGTAGTTAAAGTTATATGAGATGGCTAAATCAGTATCTCCTTGAACTTTCTGGTCTGTTGGTCCTTTTATACCACCTCTACAAAGATCTCCCGTCTAAATTTACCAAAAATTTCTCCAAAAACATCTAATTTTACCTTTCCAAAAAGAAAATTATTTTTTTTTGGTCTCATGGATAACATAAATACATTACTTTTTTTATCAAAAGCTTCCTTATTTCTCTGTCTGTCTGCTGAACATAAAATCTTTCACTAATTTTTGCTGTAGACCACCTCAATTATCGTTTTCGATCATCCCCTCTACCTAGTATAATATAATCTCAAAAATCTTTCCAGGTACATCCCGAAAACTCCGGTTGGACTTGTTTTGAGCAAAGCGCCAGTCTAGACGTCAAGTCCTTCTTCGGCTTCGAAAGTGCAGTGGAAAAATTGGCCGTCAAGCACTATAGTGCCAATATTGCCAAGGTGAGTGTCTAAAACAACATTATTGTTCTGTGTTTAGGGCAAAGAAATCCTCGAATTCTTCATCGACGAGCTCATCAAGAAGGGTACGACCTACATTCCTCCTTTTGAGGATTCGGAAGGCGGTAAAAAATCGCCAGCAGACTCGGCAATCGATTTGTCCAAAAATCATGATGAAGATACGGATGGGTCGGAAACTGAGCGCAAAACTGCTCGCCGGGAAAGCTCAAAGTCTCAGAATGGTGTTATTTTGGAGAATGGCGACAAACGAGAGCATGAAAAGAGGCGGCGCAGCTCCTTGGTCCATCAAAATTCGGCTTCCACCAGTGGTGTCAGAGCTACTAGTTTTGATGATGGTGAGTTTATTCTGCTATAAGAAGGTGTAGAAGATGAAAATAGAGATGTTTTGGAGCATTTGCAAGCTTGTGGCATATTTTTTTGTGGATTTTTTAAAAATTTTCTCATGTGCAATATAAATTTTGGTCAAAAATTTAATAATTTGATATTATATAAGCTTGAAAATGATCTGAGATTGAATGAAATAGTACTATCTCAATTTCTAGAGGGATTTGCAACAGATTTTTCGCCTGAAATTTATTTTATTTTACCTTGTTTTAGCCGAAACCAAGCTCGAATCGGATTATATCCAAAGATTCCTCGGCCAACTCACCCCACTGGAAGAATCTCGTCTCTGTGAGCTGAAATACGGCCTTCAGTCGGCGCACAAAGGCAAACTCCCCAACGACGCCCATCTCCTCCGTTTCCTCCGGGCAAGAGATTTTGACGTCCACAAAGCCCGCGACATGGTCATCAACTCACTCCTATGGCGAAAACAACACAACATTGACAAGCTCCTCCACGACTTCCAAGCACCTCAAGTCCTGTTGGATTATTTCCCCGGCTGCTGGCATCATCATGATAAGGACGGAAGACCTTTATTTGTCCTCAAATTGGGCCAAATGGACGTAAAAGGACTGTTGAAGGCCGTTGGACCCGAACGAGTGATGAGATTCACCTTGACGATTTGTGAACAGGGCTTGGAGAAGGCAGCGGAGGCAACGAAACGACTCGGACAACCGATTAGGTAACAATTTGGGGATTTGCACGGTGCGAAAGGAAAGGTTTTTATTGCACTGTGCGAAAGGAAATTTTTTTTTGCACTGTGCGAAAGGAAAAGATTTTTTGCACTGTGCGAAAAAAGAAAGAGCAGTTTTTATCGCACTGTGCGAAAGGAAAAGGATGTTTTGCACTGTGCGAAAGTAAAAGATTTTTTGCACTGTGCGAAAAGAAAAGCTTTTTTTTGCACTGTGCAAAAGGGAAAGATTTTGTTGCACCGTGCGAACGGAAAGGATTTTCATTGCACTGTGCGAAAGACAAAGGATTTTTTTGCACTGTGCGAAAAGAAAAGCTTTTTTTTGCACTGTGCGAAAGGAGAGGATTTTTTGCACTGTGCGAAAGGAAAAGATTTTTTTGCACTGTGCGAAAGGAAAAGATTTCTTTTGCACTGTGCGAAAGGAAAAATTTTTTTTTTGCACTGTGCAAAGCACAAAGAATTTGTTTCGCACGGTGCAGTCGATTTTTTTTTTGCACTGTGCGAAAAAAGAAAGCTGTTTTTTCTACTGCACGGTGCAGAATGATAATAAATTTTTTCGCGTTTGCACTGTGCGAAAAACGAAAATTTTTATTTGAACTGTGCAGAAAATGAAAGCGAGGTTTTGGCACGGTGCAGAAATAAAAGTGTAATTATTGGATTTTTTCAGCACATGGACCTTACTGGTGGATTTGGAAGGCCTCGGAGTCCGTCATTTGTGGCGCCCCGGAGTTCAATGTCTTCTGAGGATCATCGAAACTGTTGAGGTGAGTAAAATACGATTTATTTTTTGTTTTCAAGTTTAGATTGACTCAGGAAATGGGAAAATGGATTGATAGAGATGATAGAAGAGTTCATTAAAAATCTCAGAGAATTTGAAAATAAATTTTACATCATTTTTGTATCATTTTAGGCGCATTACCCGGAAACAATGGGACTGGTCCTAATCGCCCGAGCCCCACGAATGTTCCCCGTCCTCTGGACCCTGATCTCGCCGTTCATCGACGAAAACACCCGCAAAAAGTTCATGATCAACGCCAACGAACACGTGGCCGACGAGCTGCACAAGTACATCCCACCCGAAGTGCTCCCCGATTTCCTCGGAGGCCCCGCCCACTTTGAGGCGTCCAAGGGCGGACATGTCCCCAAATCCGAGTACCTACCGCTGTCGGAAATCAACCTCGAGGAGGATGATGTACTCACCTCCATCTACACGGTCGCCACGGTCCATAAAGGAATGCCACAAGAGGCCTGCATCAAGGTCCCCACCGCAGGCTGCGTCCTCACTTGGGACTTTGATGTCATCAAAGGCTCCTGCGAGTTTGTCGTGTACCATACGAACAAGGTAGGCGTTTTTTGGAGGTTTTTGGTGGGTTTTGGGATGAAAAAAATCACAGAAAAATCAAGATTTTTTTTTGGAAGTTTGAGGAAATTTTTGAGATTTTTTGATATTTTTTGGAAATTTTGGGGTGGTTTTGTGTTTTATTGGATGAGAAAAAACTGGATTGGACGTATTTTACAATTTGAAAAGAAAAAATTAAATTTTGAAAAATTTTTCGGACCTTATATTCGTATTTTACAATTTTACATCTGAAATTTTTTATAAAAAAAAAAATTTTTTTTCCCGATTTTGAGATTTTTTGGAAATTTATTGCTAAAAAATTAAAATTTGGTATGTTTTTGGTACTGAAATTTAATTTTACACCTTAATTTTTGTTTTTTTTTTTGCACTATGCGAAAGGAAAAAGCTTTTTTGCACTGTGCGAAAGGGAAAGATTTTTTGCACTGTGCGAAAAAAGACAAAAACAGTTTTTATTGCACAGTGCAGATGATTTAGAAAGGCTTTGTCGCGAGTGCACTGTGCAAAACGACAAAGTTTTTTTTGCACGGTGCGGTCGAAATCTCCTTTTTTTTGCACTGTGCGAAAAAAGAAGAAACGGTTTTTATTGCACTGTGCAGATTATTTAGAAAGGTTTTGTCGCGACTGCACTGTGCAAAACGAAAAAGGTTGTTTGCACGGTGCGGTCCAAATCTTCTTTTTTTCTTTTTGCACTGTGCGAGAAAAGAAGGAACCGTTTTTATTGCACTGTGCAGATGGTTTAGAAAGGCTTTGTCGCGAGTGCACTGTGCAAAACGAGAAACTTTTTTTTGCACGGTGCGGTCGAAATCTTTTTTTTCTTTTTGCACTGTGCGAGAAAAGAAAAAAAAGTTTTTATTGCACAGTGCAGATGATTTTGAAAGGTTTTGTCGCGACTGCACTGTGCAAAACGAGAAAGTTTGTTTCGCACGGTGCAGTCGATTTTTTTGCACTGTGCGAAGAAAGAAAGAACAGTTTTTATCGCACCGTGCAGATTTAGAAAGGCTTTGTCGCGACTGCACTGTGCAAAACGAGAGGTTTTTTTGTGCACGGTGCGGTCGAAATCTTTTTCTTTTCTTTTTGCACTGTGCTTGCACTGTGCAGATGATTTAGAAAGGCTTTGTCGCGAATGCACTGTGCAAAACGAGAAATTTTTTGTGCACGGTGCGGTCGAAATCTTTTTTTTTTTTTTTGCACTGTGCGGTTGAAATCTTTTTTTTATTGCTGTGCAGATTTAGAAAGAAAAAAAACTTTTTTTTTGATATTGAAATTTGATTTTACACCAAAAATTTTTTAGACAATCGACCAGCCCGTCCAGCCTTCGTCCCCCACCTCCCTAAACCCAATGGAACGCATCACAAATGCGATTGAATCGGTATCCTTAGGCTCCCCACCGCACTCCGTAATCCAAGCCGATCCCGAATTGAAGCTGGGAGAAGACATCACCGTCCAAGAACAGCCAGTAATCCTGTCCGAGGGCGACTCGATGCAAGGCTCCCATTACTGCGCCCAACAAGGCACTTATATTTTGCAATGGAAGGTCACCGAAGCCCCAAATCAGCCTCCACACGCCGCGTTCGACTTCTCTTTGACTGGCCCCAAGTGCAAATTAATGTACTATCATGAGCTCTTGGACAGTGTCAACTTTCGGTAAGGGTTTTGGAGGAATTGGGGAGGATATAAAGATTTTTTGGGATTTGGAGGGGCTGGGAGAAGGATAAGGTAAAAAGTGTAAATTTTTTGAAGAATTTTACGATTTTTTTGATTGATAGTGGAAGAATAGAGCCTAAGGAGGATTTACTACTCAACTGAAATAGGAAATTATCTTTTTTGACACCTGAATTTGAAGTTTTCCCATGGAGAAGGAAAAAATTTTTAATTTTCAAATTTTTGAAATATTTTTGGTTTTTTTGGGGAGAAATGAAAAGCTATGTACTCAGTTTGTATAGTAGACGATAGTTTTGTATGTCTGATTTTTGATACGATCAAAAAATTGCGGTTTTTGGGAATTTTTCGATTTTGCACTGTGCGAAAGAAAAATTTTTGGATTATTGCACTGTGCGGTTTAAATTTTGAATCGAAGTAAAAATAATATGATTTAGAATGAACTGAGAGGTAGAATGGGCATCATAAAAATTTTCATATTTCTGCACAGTGCGAAAATTTTGAGATTTTTTGCGATTGCTCTGTGCGAAAGAAAAATTTTTGAAATTTTGCACTGTGCGGTTGAAATTTTGAAGCGAAGAAAGAATAAAATGATTTAGAATGGTCTGAGACGTAGAATGGGCATCATAAAAATTTGCATATTTCTGCACAGTGCGAAGATTTTGAGATTTTTTGGGATTGCACTGTGCGAAAGAAAAAATTTTGAATTATTGCACTGTGCGGTTGAAATTTTGAATCGAAGTAAAAATAATATGATTTAGAATGATCTGAGAGGTAGAATGGGCATCATAAAAATTTTCATATTTCTGCACAGTGCGAAAATTTTGAGGTTTTTTGGGATTGCACTGTGCAAAAAGAGAAAATTTTAAAAAATGATTTTTTTTCGATTCGAAAGTAAGGCTTGCTGTTTATTAATGAAAAATGAAATTTCAGAGGTTCGGTGGCCAGCCTAGAGTCCTGCCGCTCCTCCTTCAGCTCCCTAGCCGCCGCCGAACACAAAGACACAGCCGTTCACAGGACCCCCAAGAAGTCACCGTAATTTATATTTGAAGTCTTAATTAGTCATGTTCAATAACCGCAGTAGTTTATGGGTTCAATTAGAAAAAAATTTTTTTTTTTTTTTTTTTTGAAAATTAACATTTTTCGAGGTTTTGTAAAGAATCATATTTTACCATCTTCGTTAACGCTTGAAACCGTTTTTGATTATGAATCCAGGTCCTGAAAGGCCGTATTTTTATTAAAGTATGGGTTATTTTTCGCTTTCAAATAGCCAAAAAAATGTAACACGAAATAGTCACGGCTTACTGTAATTTTTTAATTTTTTTTATTGTATTGCGAGTTTGTGTCTGTTTTTGCACTGCTCCTGTAAATATCAGTTACTGAAAATAAACAATTTTGTCAAATCGGATTGGATTTTTTTTGATATTGGTTACTGCACCGTGCAATATTTTTTTTGAACATTTGTGCACTGTGCAATGGGACAATTGAATTGAAATTTGTTGAAGATAATTGATTGAGGTCTCAAATATCGTTTATGAATGTGAAATTGCGTTGTTTAGGTTGCACGGTGCATAAAACTTTTCGATTTTTTATTGCACTGTGCGAAAAAAAGAAACCCAAATTCCGCACGGTGCAGTGTAAAAAACGGAATAAAAATAGTCGAAGGTTGTTCGTTGTGGCCTCAGGTATTAATGTAGAGGCAAATAGTTGAAGTTTTTCCACTGAAATTTGACGAAAAAGCCGATTTATAACATCGCACTGTGCAAAAATTGAAAAATAGATTTTGCACTGTGCGAACAAGTAAGTAAATTCCGACGTAAAAAAATAGGTGTTTATTGAAGAAGTAGGTCTTTCAATGGATAAATAAGTTATTTTAAGCAAGGAATGATTAAAATATGTGCAAATATTTTCTACTCGTCGTCTCCGAATCGACTTCTATATTTCGGGGCGCTTCTCTTTGTAACATTTTTGGCTGGACAAGCCGGAATGAAGCTGCAGAGAGATTCAGTTGGAGCATAGCGAGCGTAGACATCAAGGCCGACCAGGAAGGCCTCGCAAACTGGGACCAGCTCGGATCTGTCCAGGGCAAAGAAAACGTTGCAAATTGCTAGTTCAAACTAAAAAAGTATCAAAAGACTATATACTTCGTATTTTACAATTATTTTCAATTTTAAATCTTTCCTCAACTCACCGCGAGGGAAGCTAGACCAGTGCTTTTCAGGAAGTCCTGAATAATTGGCGCCGATACACTGCACGGCTCGCAGAGATACGGTAGAGCGTACTGTAGAGGCAATTGCAATTTCCAGGCGTACTCGGAGTAGAGTGGAAGAGATTCGAGGTACTTTTTGGCGTGAGATTGCCATTCATTTTTAGCGACAAGCTCTCCAATTTGGGCCATGACTTTATCGTCAAGAGCAGCCGGCGAAAAGAAGTGGTTGATGTCGTTAACAGTCTCCGAGAAGTCGGCTAAATAGTTTTATAAATAGATAGCAGCATTTGCTTTCAGTTTTTGGGGGCTTTGAAATAGTTTTGATTTATAAAATACGAAAAATTCGAGTTATCTTACCCTTGACAAATGATGTGGAGACGGTCAAGAACAAGATAAAAAAGAACATTTTTCGAAACCAATAAATCCAAATGAGTACTTCGTGTTGATAAATGATGTATCGCAGATTATATACTCTTAATTTGGAGCAATTTTATCTAGCGAAAACATAAAATATAGGATAAATTGCAAAAGATTTGAATAATTTGGCTGTTTTACTTGTTTAGCCTATATTTTACGTAGCGTATGTTTTCGATGTCCCATATTTGGAATATATAAACTAGAGCACACGTATTATCAATGTAGAGTATTAGTTTCTGCCCAAGTTAATCGAAAAATGTTCTTTTTTACCTTGTTCTTGACCGTCTCCACATCCTTTATCAAGGGTAAAATAACTCGAATTTTTCGTATTTTATAAATCAAAACTATTTCAAAACCCCCGAAAATTGAAAGGTAATGTTTCCATTTATTAATAAAACATTTAGCCGACTTCTCCGAGACTGTTAACGACATCAACCACTTCTTTTCGCCGGCTGCTCTTGACGATAAAGTTATGGCCCAGATTGGAGAGCTTGTCGCTAAAAATGAATGGCAATCTCACGCCAAAAAGTACCTCGAATCTCTTCCACTCTACTCCGAGTACGCCTGGAAATTGCAATTGCCTCTACAGTACGCTCTACCGTATCTCTGCGAGCCGTGCAGTGTATCGGCGCCAATTATTCAGGACTTCCTGAAAAGCACTGGTCTGGCTTCCCTCGCGGTGAGTTGAGGAAAGATTTAAAGTTGAAAATAATTGTAAAATAGGCAGTACATAGATCATTCATATTTTTTTAGTTTGAACTAGCGATTTGCAACGTTTTCCTTGCCCTGGACAAATCCGAGCTGGTCCCAGTTTGCGAGGCCTTCCTGGTCGGACTGGATGTCTACTCTCGCTATGCTCCAACTGAATCTCTCTGCAGCTTCATTCCGGCTTGCCCAGCCAAAAAGGTTACAAAGAGAAGCGCCCCGAAATATAGAAGTCGATTCGGAGACGACGAGTAGAAAATATTTGCACATATTTTAATCATTCCTTGCTTAAAATAGTTTATTTATCCATTGAAAGACCTACTTCTTTAATAAATACCTATTTTTTACGTCGAATTTGACTTACATTGTTCGCACAGTGCAAAATATATTTTTCAATTTTTCGCACAGTGCGATGTTATAAATCGACTTTTTCGGGAAATTTCAGCGGAAAAACTTCAACGATTTGCCTCTACATTAGTAACTGAGACCACAACGAGCAACCTTCGACTATTTTTATTCCGTTTTTTACACTGCACCGTGCGGAATTTGTTCCTTTTTTTCGCACAGTGCAATAAAAAATCGAAAAGTTTTATGCACTGTGCAACCTAAGTAATAGTCTTATTATCAAATAAAAAGTCAAATTTGGCCCAAAAAATCTTTTATTGCTTCAAGAAATCCATAAAATTCATCATTTCCCAGTCTTGACCCCCATTTTCGGATCGTTTTTTTCGTTTTTCTTGACATTCGAAGTGCTGGTCGATGTTTTAGGAGGCAGTTTGTTGTCCTTCGTTGTCTTCTTGGCCTTTCTTTTTCTGATAACAAAAAATTCGGTCATACAAGCTGGCCTCCAAACTGAGTCATTCCTCAGCTGGACAATGATGTAAATAATGGTCGTTAGCGGCAGAATCAGGACAATTCCAATGGCCAGGAGGCTAAAATTTGGTGGTAATCGATGAAAAAAGGGAGATAGGAAACTGACCAGGATCTGAAAATAAAAAAAATTGATCAAAATAAAACAGAAAATTAGAAAATTTTTTGCTCAAAAACTTACACAATGAAGAGGGCAAGCGATGAGTCGGATTCTTCTACTCCGGAAATGTAATGACCATACTGAAAATCGAAAAATAAGTGTTTCAGGGGAAGTACCCCAAGTGCGACGCTCAGATTTTGATGAAACTTGGCACAAATTTAGATTATTTTTTAGACACATGAGGGATTTCTAGCTTGCGCTTTGCAGAAAAAACCGAGATTCTTAGGTCGAAGTTCGAAAAAAAATAATGGAAAAAATGGAAGATTTTTTTGAAAATTTTGGCATGACAAGTTTCATGGTTATTTCAACCGTAGAGGGTAATGTTCCCACAAAAAATCAACTTTTTCTACACGAAACTGGCAAAGATATCGCCAAAAAATGTTTTTTTGTCTGACCGCTCTCCGAATTTTTCCCACTCTCTCAGAGCAGAGATCGTTGAATATCTCGAATCGAAGCCAAAAAAATTAGGAAACAATGCCTGGCGGAGGCATTTCTCATTTTTAGACCCCAGAATTTGGGGTTGGAAAAAAGTTGGTAAGGGGAACCAAGATAATTTTCACTGGTGCCGCAAAAAAAATTTTACGGGTACCTCTGACCCACGAAATAGAACCCTCCCTCCCCGGACGATCTTCTCGCCCCGGATTTTAGATCAATACGCCCCTAACTACAACGTATAACTCTCTGTCTGCCCGCTCTCCACATTTCACACACTCTCTCTGCCGCAAAGGTCGTTCAATATCTCGGCTGTCCCTGCAAAGCGCAAGCCAAAAACGTTCGAAACGGAGTTTTTTTAGTTGGAGAGGGAGGTATTTTGCCACATTTTTGGTACTTCCCGAATGCAAAATGATACGTTTTTTGCAATTGGATCGGGCCCGACACTGTAAAAGTATTCTTCGCTGACCGGTCTGTGCATTTTAAATACTCTCTCGGCCGCAAAGGTCGTTCAATATCTCGGCTGTCCCAGCAAATCGCAAGCTGAAATTTTCAGGACTTTATATGTGGGCTATTCCCAAAAAATCTGAGCGTCGAACTTGGGATATTTACAATGGCGGACCTGATCCATTGGCCAAAAACGTACCATTTTGCACCCGGAAAGTATGAAAAATGTGGCAAAATGCTTCCCTATCCAAGTGAAAAAAACTCCGATTTCAAAAGCTTTGCTCTTTTTTTGAGAGAAAGGGCGCGCAGAGAGAGGTATTTTGCCACATTTTTGATGCTTCCCGGATGCAAAATGATACGTTTTTACCACTGGATCAGGTCCGTCACTGTACCTTATTAGGCCATGTATAGAAATTCACTTACCACCCCCAAATTATACCCCTTCGGCAATGCCGAACTGAGCACCTGAACGAAGACGATTCGTGTTGTCCGGTTAATCCCGCATTCCCGAAAATCGTAAAAGTCAATGTCGGTGATGGGATTCGAAAACTCGCTGCCCTCAAGGAATTGGTGCATAGTAAAATTTTGAGCAGTTCCGTTGTCCGTCTTGTAGGCTAAAATCACATTTCAAACGTTGAAAACCTCAAAAAAAACTCACTTGCATATTGTTTGCAGCCAAGTATATAGTGTCGAAAACAGTCTCCAAAACGTATGGAGACCCGTTTAGCCAGGCTAAAAAGTCATGGCGATGACAAGAGATTGTTGATAATTTTATTGTAACAAAATTTTCAGCCACTTACTTGAATGGATCACAAGTGCCATTTGCAGGTTTTTCAATAAATAAAATCGCGCGATATGTGGTGTTTAGGGCTGCATAAAATCTGATTTCCGGCTGGATTAGATGCGTCATCCTGTAGAGAAAGACTGTTGGCATTATTTATATTATTTTCATTTATTTTCATGTCAGTCTGTCGGGAAAATAATGTGGATTTGTCGCATCAAAAATCGCATTGCCGCCAAAAAAAAAGAATTGTGTCGCGGCAAAATCAAATTGCTTTTCACTTCAGCGACAAATCCACATTATTTTCCCGACAGACTGACACTCAAAAAATCGACCAAAACACCCACAGCCAGACATCTTTTTCCTCTATGACGCGATAATAATGCAGATTCTGTACGTTCAATGGCAACGACTCGTTGGTTTCGGCGATGAACACCTCAGAAGTTTCGGAATACACATCGTGGAAAAGGAGGAGCGGCAAAATCCAGCCGAATATCATGTTTGCGGTGAGAAAATAAAGTCAAAACTGGCAAGACATCAAAAAAGCGTTCCATTTTTTGCTCAAAAATTCAAAATCTCCCCATTTCTTCTATCCACCATGCCTCTATTCGGTCCAATTTTCCTATGGATTACGGTAATTTCGGTCTTGAAAGCTTTGGAAGAGCAGATTTACGTCGCTGAAAATAACGAGAGCTTGCCGGACGACGTTCGTGGACTGCATTATTACGAGTATCGCAACAATTTGTTGTATGTCTTTTTTTTAGTTTTTGCGTTTCGGAAAGCGCACAGTGCGAAGATTTGATTTTTTGATTTTGCACGGTGCAATTGAAAGATTCGCCTTTTGCACAGTGCAAAAACAAGAAAATGCCATTTTGCACTGTGCGACGCAAAAATTTGTCGCGAAATCTTATGGCACCGTGCAAAAACAAAATTTCTTGATTATGCACAGTGCAATTGAAAGATTTGCCTTTTGCACGGTGCAAAAACAAGAAAATGCCATTTTGCACTGTGCGACGCAAAAATTTGTCGCGAAATTTTATTTGCACCGTGCGAAAACAAAATTTCTTGATTTTGCGCAGTGCAGTTAAAAGATTTGTCTTTTGCACAGTGCATTTGAAAGATTTCTTAATTATGCACAGTGCAGTTGGAAGATATGTCCTTTGCACAGTGCAAAAACAAGAAAATTCAAGTTTGCACTGTGTAAACGCAATGTTTGTCGCCGAAATGTTATTGCACCGTGCAAAAATCTAGTTTCATGATCATGCATAGTGCAGTTGGAAGATTTGTCTTTTGCACAGTGCAAAAGCAAGAAAATTTCAATTTGCACTGTGCAATTGCAAAAATTTGTCGCCGAAATTTTTATGCACAGTGCAGCTGAAAGATTTGTCTTTTGCACAGTGCATTTGAAAGATTTCTTAATTATGCACAGTGCAGTTGGAAGATTTGTCTTTTGCACAGTGCAAAAGCAAGAAAATTCCAATTTGCACTGTGCAATTGCAAAAATTTGTCGCTGAAATTTCATTGCACCCTGAAAAAACCCAATTTCTTGATTTTGCACAGTGCAAAAACGGAATCCTTCGATTGCGACCCCGCTCGATTGCGACCTCGCATCGATTGCGACCCCGCATCGATTGCGACCCAAAATGGGGTAAAGCGACCCCGGGATGAAAATTCCTTGATTCTCTTCGGGAAAAACTTGCTTTAGGGGTTTTCGAGGGTGCTGATTTCGAAAATGATGTTCATTTTTCCTCTAGTACTACATAGTGCTGTCTGATACTATATAGTACGAAGTGAAAATATCGCTTTTGACGTTAAATACTCGAATTAGGGGTTTTCGAGGGTGCTGATTTCGAAAATGATGTTCATTTTTCCTCTAGTGCTACATAGTACTGTCTGATACTATATAGTACGAAGTCCAAATATGGCTTTTGACGTTAATGGTGTTGGTTTGATGCTTAGTACTCTTCAAAAACACGTTTAAAGACTTGGTGCTATATAGTACTGTCTGATACTATATAGTACGAAGTCAAAATATGGCTTTTGACGTTAATGCTGTTGTTTTGATGCTTAGTACTCTTCAAAAACACGTTTTAAAGACTTGGTGCTATATAGTACTGTCTGATACTATATAGTACGAAGTGTAAATTTGGCCTCTAGGCGTTCGTGGTGTTGTTCTGGTGCTTATTACGCCTATTTTTACTTCGTACTATATAGTATCAGACAGTACTATATAGCACCAAGTCTTTAAACGTGTTTTTGAAGAGTACTAAGCATCAAACCAACACCATTAACGTCAAAAGCCATATTTGGACTTCGTACTATATAGTATCAGACAGTACTATGTAGTACTAGAGGAAAAATGAACATCATTTTCGAAATCAGCACCCTCGAAAACCCCTAAACCGAGTATTTAACGTCAAAAGCGATATTTTCACTTCGTACTATATAGTATCAGACAGTACTATGTAATACTAGAGGAAAAATGAACATCATTTTCGAAATCAGCACCCTCGAAAACCCCTAAAGCAAGTTTTTCCCGAAGAGAATCAAGGAATTTTCATCCCGGGGCACGGCAACCCAGGGAGTCTCCCGCCTCGTTTCGGCGCTTCGCCCACCTAGTATCGGTTGAATTCAAACGAAATGTCAAAAATGAATTTTTCGTGCGGGTTTCCGACCGAAAAACATTTTTCTCGGAATTTTTTTATTTCTCTTGTGAATTTTGACAATTCGTTTGGACGAAATTCAAAAGTGGGCGGGAGACATTTTTGTTCTATTCTGGGTTGCCGTGCGGGGTCGCTTTACCCCATTTTGGGTCGCAATCGATGCGGGGTCGCAATCGATGCTGGGTCGCAATCGATGCGGGGTCGCAATCGATGGAATTCTGCAAAAACGATGTTGTTTTTTTGCACAGTGCAAGTGAAAGATTTGCCTTTTGCACAGTGCAAAGGCAAGAAAGTTCCATTTTGCACTGTGCAAGCGCAAAGTTTGTCGCCGAAATGTTATTGCACCGTGCAAAAATCTAGTTTCATGAACATGCACAGTGCAAAAAACAGATTGTTTTTTGCGCACAGTGCAAATTCATGAGATTTCCAGTTCGCACCGTGCGATCGGAAAATTCGTCGCAGAAAATTCAAATGCACTGTGCAATTGAAAGATGATTTCTTTGCACTGTGCAATTCATGAGTTCAACCGTTTCGCACTGTGCAATCTCAAAACTTGTCGCAAAAAAGGTCCTTTGCACTGTGCGAAACCCAAATTTCACTTTTGCACAGTGCAGCCGAAACATTTTGTCGCGCTCAATTTTGCACTGTGCAAACAAATTTTTCTCAAAGGGTTGCACTGTGCAATCACCAAATTTTCCCGTTGCTTCAGAGAAACAAATCTCTCAACATCCGAAATTCGATTTTATGGGAAAGCGATGAACGAGAGCGAAAAGCTGGAGATTATTTTCAATGTTCCGAAGAATTTGGACACGTCCACATGTGAAGACGATTTGTAAGTCCTTGGTCGATATTTTATTTTTACTATTTTTAGATCTTACAAGGTCTGGGTGCAAATTGGCGCCTGTTCTTTCAAACTCATTTACTTCTGCGATTCGCATTTTGGTAAGTTTACGGTAATATAATAGTTTTATTATGATGCTTCCTAAACGTTCTATTTTATTGCAATGTGCAATTCGTAGTGGAAAAAAATCCGCACAGTGTGATTTTTTGTTCAAAAAATTTTGCACAGTGCGATTTTTTCAATCACAAAATTATGCGCTGTGCGACTGTTTTGGCCCTAAATTTTTTGCACTGTGCATTTTTTTGGGCTTTAAAAGTTCGCACAGTGCACCTTTTTAAACTTCAAAATTTCGCACAGTGCACTTTTTTAAACGTCAAAATTTAGCACTGTGCAGTTTTCATGACCCTATAATTTTGCACTGTGCAGTTTTTGAGTCTTCAAATTTTCGCACTGTGCAATTTTTTAGACTTCAAAATTTTGCACAGTGCACTTTTCTAAACTTCAAAATTTCGCACAGTGCAATTTTTTTGGACTTCCAAAATTTCGCACCGTGCAGTTTTCGAGACATCATAATTTTGCACAGTGCACTTTTCTAAACTTCAAAATTTCGCACTGTGCATTTTTTTGGACTTCCAAAATTTCGCACTGTGCAATTTTTTGGACTTGCAAAATTTCGCACCGTGCACTTTTCTAAACCTCAAAATTTCGCACAGTGCACTTTTTTAAACTTCAAAATTTCGCACTGTGCAATTTTTTAAACTTCAAAATTTCGCACTGTGCAATTTTTTGCACTTCAAAATTTTGCACAGTGCACTTTTCTAAACTTCAAAATTTCGCACAGTGCACTTTTCTAAGCTTCAAAATTGTGCACTGTGCAGTTCTCGAGACCCTATAATTTCGCATAGTGCAACAGTAATACTCTCAAAAACACGCACAGTGCACTTTTTTAAACTTCAAAATTTCGCACTGTGCAAAAATAAATTTTTTTTCTAAAAATCCCAAAATAACGTCAAGAATCATCTTCAATTTTAGTATTCGAAGGTCGACAGCTTAAAAAAGAAATGAAGACATTGGAATACGCAGATTCCGTGGACCTATTTGTCGAAATGAAGCCGACAGATTGCGGAAACAACGCCGAATTGGACAGAATTTTGACAACTGAGGCGCTGATTCAAATACGAGTCACCGATTTCAACGCCGGGTTTAAGGTCAAATTGGTGAGAAATTTGAATATTTAAATTTTTTTTCAAAATTAAAATTTTTAATTTTTAAAAAATAATTTTTCAAATTTCAGCGTTTTTACTACATCGCTGCAACCGAAATCAAACAGGAACCGATCGAATATTACATTAGCATGCAAGTGAAAAAAAAATTTTCCAAAAAAAATCAATTTTTCTCCAAAAATTTGTCTAAAATAATTTAAATTTTTCAGAATTCTGACCTCAGCTATAGTTGTAGTACCTCTACTATTCGTATGCGCCGCTATTTTATACGAAAGTTGGCCAATTTTCCCGGATTTTTTTGGAAAATCTCAAAAAATCCCGCAGCCGGCTAAAAAATCCGAACATGACGAATTTATCCCCGAGCCTACTGAACACACGACTGGTTAAACTTGATAAACAGTCGTTAAATATCATCAGGAGTTGGTTCTAACAGATTTATTCGAAGAACGGACACCGGAAATGAGGGGACTTCCGAAAACATCGACGGAAATAACAACAAGCCTGACATAACAACAATTTGAGAGGGATTGCGCTGAGATCGAGGGGGGAGACACTCAGCCTAGACCAATGAACATTTCCATAGACTATCCTAACATCTTTTTTCGACGGAGTTTTTGTGGTTTACTGTAAAAAGTGCGGGAAACAGGGGGGAATTTCGAAATTTTACCCAAAATGTAGGTAAAACTTGAAATTTCAAGATTAATAGGAGGTAAGTAGAAGAAATAGAGCACTCTTTACAATTCACAACACATCCCGCCGCCTAGAGGTTCAAAGTTGGCAGTCCAAATGGAGCTGGAGTCTTGGTGGTGTCATCAAAATTGGCAGCTTCGATTTGGCTTTCTTTCTTCGTCGGCAGGGCCACTGGATCCTCGGGAGGAGGCTGCATGGTCGGATCGACCATTTGACCCATGAATCGGGTCATCACAACACCCATTCCCTCAATCATCGCCAAAACAACGCCACCCAAAACAGCTGAGCCGGCCATGATTTTCGGGCCCGAACGGATGGCCAAAAGACCTCCGGTGATGGCGCCAGAAGCAATCGAGTTCCATGAGTCCTCCTGGAATCAGATTCGAGATTATTATTGGCATCAGAATTTTGAAAAAATAAGAAACTAATAATTTTGTGATGCTTTAGGCATCAAAGATTTTTTTTGATGCGTTGTAAAAACGTGTTATCAAAAACAGCTAGACACTCAAAGAACACTTGAACCAGCCCGTCTTCTTCCTTCCCGACAGCTTTTCTTTGCAGCCGTCACCTGATTATTGGCTCGAAAAACAGGTCTAGGGTTAAACACCTAGTATAATAAAAAACCGGCCAAATCTTTTAAAAACCCCAAAAAGATCGAATACATTTGCAGACTAACAGTTAGAAGAGAGCTTCATCTTCCTACTCAACCACAATTTCATTTCGAAATTTCAGATGATGCAATAAAAAATCTGATATTGTTCATGGAACCTAAAAGTCAAAGAAAAAAACAAATTGAAATCCCTACCTTTCTTCTCAACGCAACCAAGGTGCAATCAATGGTACTGAACATTCCACCCCATGCAGCGAATTGTCCTCCCGTTACCGGACTTCTCACTCTGACTTCACGAAGAATACTCGTCAACTTCTGATTCTTCGCGGCGTTCTTGTATGCTGAGAAGGAATGGAAGATGCTTCCACCAACCAGGCCCATGGCAAAGGCTGAACCGGCATCTGCGAAGATTCTGTGTGGACTAAAACAGAAATACACCGATATTACTGTTCTCAACTTTAATCTAGACGTCAAGTATAATATAAAACGACTTACCAAGGTTCTCTGGTGTATTCGTCCATGGTGAACTAACCTGTTCCGGTGTTTGCGACGTGAAAATCGTCGAAAATGATAAAATTCACGCAAAAATCGTCGAATGAGCGAGAATAAACACAATGCCAATGAGGTCTTGGCGTTGCTCGTTTTCGTGGCGGGACTCAAGTATGTAAGGGATGTTTGCCAAAACTATTGGCATTTCGTCGCAACCCGTGGAAAATAATTGTCGAAAAATATTTTTGGCCCTCCGAACATGCTATTGAACGGCCGGGCATTATTATCGCTAGTCAATGACAAGGAATACGATCGGAAAATATGTGGGAACCTCGATATGCTCCAGGTATCATGAATAATATAATTTTTGTGTGAAATTTTAGGTTATTTTTCAATTTTTTTGCTGTAACTACTTTTAAATTTCAGGATGAGCACTGGAGGACGTTGTATGCGGTGATGACAGCCAATTTACTGTATCTTTTCGAAAGTGCTGACGACTTGAATGCCGCTCCAATGGTTTTGCTCATAGTTGAAGATTGTTTGGTGGAAATGGCAGATGATAACGTGACGGGGAAGCCCTATTCGTTCCTCTTGAGGTCGAAAACGTAAGGATTCCACTCTTTTTCTTCTTTCATATTTAGATTCAAACAATTTGGCAACAAATGGCATGTATGATTTAATTTTGATGTGGGAACTCGATATTGATGCAAATTTTTGCAGGACAAAGCGAGTATTCACGTTTGCGGCCCCAGATTTTTCCACTCTAGAACGATGGATCCACTTTTTGACCGTTTCGTCGGTCGATTATATCAGAGCCACCATGCAGACAATGTATGCCGCTCTATCGCCCAAGAACTCGCCTCAGGAACTTCAAAAACCTATAACGGATAAGAAGGAGGATGAAACTCAGGATACACCGAGTAGTACCGCGTAACGCGGATGTAATTACTTAATAATAAATATTTATCAAATTTTTTCGAGGTTTGATGGATGGTGAATATAATTTTGGTTCCCACAGATGGGACATTCGCTTTTTTGCAGGGAATTTGAGTCGAATAGATAGTCAGAATATTGAAGATTGTGCTATTAGTAATTTTGAACACTACAGAGTGGTTCAGCCGAAGCTTCCATCATTTTTTCGAGCATTTCTCCATCAATAATGCACCAATTTCTATAAAATTTATATCAAATTGAAGCTGAGGCACCCTATTTTTTATCCACCACAAAAGTCCGAGAAACTGAAAACTTGAGAACGTCATATTTGGTGGACAAAAAATGGGGTGTCTCAGCTTCAATTTGATATAAATTTTATAGAAATTGGTGCATTATTGGCGGAGAAATACTTGAAAAAATGATTGAAGCTTTGGCTGAACCTCCCTGTAGTGTTCAAAATTACTACTAGCACAATTTTCAATACTCTGACTATCTATTCGACTCAAATTCCTTGCAAAAAAAGCAAATATCCCATCTGTGGGAACCAAAATTATATTCACCATCCGTCAAACCTCCAAAAATTGTATGTAATGCGTTTTCTCGACGAAATTTCGGTTTCATTTTACCTTCCCACGAATTTGCTTGCATAACACTAAACTCTAATTACGATCGCTGTGTGGTTCAAACCCCTCCATCTCTTCTCCCAATGTTAATAAATACCTCCCGCGGTGACCTACATAATAATTCCGAGAGGAGCCGTCTGACCCTCGACCTCTGGGTCGGGCGTCTCTCGAATCCGCGCGCTCTTTCGCCGTTCGCCCGGCTGATTTAAACCTCAATCAGGTCTTTTTTCGAATGGGTGTGCCTTGGCACTGGCTGAGGGGGGAAGCGTTTCCGCAGACGGCTTTTCAACTTGGGCTGCTCGATATACGACCAGAACTTGGAGGGGGTCTTGCTCAGGTAGGATAATATCGGCAGAGTCGAAAATTTGAGGGCCTACTTCGATTTATGTGTTGATTTTTTGGCTTTATGGTAGAATTGAGCAGAAATGACTTTTCTGAATGTGAGGATCGTATTTTACCCCATTTTTCTTCATCTTCTACATCTCGACACTAGCCTACTATAAGGTGATTTGCTCAAATTTGAGCGCTTCTCATCACAACTAGCTCTTATTATCCCAAAAACAATCCTATAAACTATATTTTCTACAAGGTCCACACTTGAATCCCTCGTATTTTACCTTCTTCAGCCATTTTTCTACAATGCACCTTCTAATTGGCCGAGTTCATAATCCCGCTGCCCCTTGTTTGGTCTCTTGTGCATAAATTTGTCGCAAATCCCCCTGAAAGTCTCCAATTACACCTATTTGGTCTATAAGAGCGGCGACTAGCCGCCTTTTGTAAGTTCCGACAGTCATTTTGCACAGTCCATTGCATGGAGGTCCATCCAACTTTCGGTCGATAATTGGAGGTGAGAACGGATAAGATACTGCTGAGACATTGAATAAATAGTGAGAGTCGAGCTTGTTTTACATTTTGAGATAGTCTGCTTTCCACAAATCGGCTGGGAATCAAGTTTTTTTGGCAATATTGTACTAGGTATCTACTGCAATATAAATTTCGCTGTCTCATTATGATAACAGCTTTCTCTGCATGTGAAACCCATCTCGCTCGACTCCGAAGACCTTTTCGCACCTGTTTTCCACCATCTCATCGCATTCGGCCTATTACATAACCAGCAATTCGCTGTTTCCATCGATCTTCACCAGCTGAAAAACAAACATCACCCGCTTGCGCCGCAACCCAAATCCGCAGCCAGCTCTTCTCGAGCGCGGCACTGACCCACTGACCTCTCTCGCTGGTGGCCCGTCTCGATCCATGGCCCAAATTGGGGGGCGCTCTTCCAGCCGTTTTTGGTCGCCCATCTTTTGCTTTTGTCTCGAGCGCGCTTTGCTGCCTGATTGGAGAGGAGCGCCCGCTCGATCCGGATGCCATTATTCATTCGGCCTGCTCTTGTCCACTCAGATCTCGAAAACCAGCCACAGAGGTGCGTCGAGAGTCGGTTCCTCGATCGGTTGGTTGGCCGACATGGGTAATATAGGTGTTCTAGTCCAAATCTCTCCAATCCCCTCTTTCTTCTGTGCCTAAACTTGTGAACAAAAAATTTCAAACTGTAACTCACCTGTTCTTACCATAAGACTACGACTTCCTCCAGGGTTTTGCGGGAAAACTGAGCAAAAATATTATTTTAGGCAACAAATCCATGAAATGCCTAAAACGCGACGAAACTGTAAGCTTACTAGTTCAAAAACGTTGCAAAAGTCTAGTCTTTGTCTGCCAGTCGTCTGGAACAGTTTTTTGTCGACGAGTACGATAATATTTTTCCGGCTGTTTGCACGTTCAGTTTTATACGATGAAACCTGTCTATTAGTTGCTATGAATTCGACCAGTCTGGATTCTTGTCCACTTTGTGTGCTAAAAATCAGCCTCGTGGTACTATTTCGTATCACCAACAAGCGCACGCCGTTTTTTTGATACGCCATTGCCATTCTTCGATATTATCATAGGGCGCAGTTCGGATCACGGCCCTACTCCCGGCTGACGCCCGTCAGAAATTTTTTTGGCAGCCGGCTTTGGTCGAAAAATTGTTTTGGCGGTCGTTTTTCGCGATTTTTGTGTTAGTTTTTTGAAAACGTGTAATTTTAGATAATATTTGTTCAATTTCAGGGATATGAACCTCGACAGTGTGTTTGGCGAGGAAAACCAAGAAAACAACACTGATGAGCTGATCAACCGGATGTTTAACTCGGGTAAGTCATTAGGATTTTATTTTATTCATTTTTGAAAGGTTTCTTGAATTTTTTTGACCTGATGTCTAGTGTAATATAAATTGATGTCTGGAAATGTCATTTTTTCCATGATGATTGTTTGGATAGGTAGAACATGACCCGAATGAGCTATTTTTTAATGTCTTAAATTTTCATAAGCATTCATTTTCGATTTATCGTCGAATTTATATTATTTATGACCTATTTTTGATTTTGCAGCAAATTTCCCCGCCGCCTTTGGGACGGTCTGGCCAGAGTCCCAGAAACGCAAAGCTGATGTCCTCGACGTCTCAGAGTCGGCCGAAACCGCGACTTCCAGTGATGCGCCGCCGGTAAAACGGCCAAGAAAGCCGATCAAAGCGCCTCGCGAACAATCGCACGATCCCAGAGCCGCGGAATTCAGTCACCCTGAGGATGGGATCTACATGAATGCCGAGTTCAAGACGTGGGACGCGTTCAACGAAAAATTCCGGAACTGGATGGCCAAACACAATCAGCCCTTTCGAATTTCGTCCAGCGACAAATTCAGTAATGGAGATGGGTCTTGGAACGAGGAAATCGGCTACCGATCCATTGTTTATCACTGCCCAAGATATGGAGAGGTCAGAGTACGAGGTAAGCAAGAATTTTTTGGTGGATTACTGTAATTTGGAAACATTTTTTTGATAAAAAATTGGAGTTAAAAATTTTAAAATTTTTTGAAAAAATGTCATGGGTAATATTGAAAAAATTGAAATTTTTCGTATCTTAGAATCTGTAAAATCCTTGAAATTGACATTTTTAGATGTCCTAAGGAAGCTAGTTCATTTTGGCAACCAAAAAAATATTTTTTTTAGCATTAATTTTCTTTTATGATCAAAAAATCGCGAAAAAATTGAGAGATTCAAAAAAAAATCAAAGTTTTCGTATTTCAAAAATCTCAAATTTAAAGAACATGGAATTTCCGGGCGCTCTGATGGCCCTATTCTACTTTGAAATCAAAAATTTTGCCATTTGCCAACTCCAATATTACAGGGTGGTTCAGCCATAGGTTTCATCCTTATTTCAAGTATTTCTTCGCTAAAAACCTCAAATATTACGGGCTTAAGTTCACGAAGGCCGCCGTACTGATAAAAGTTTCATTTACCCAAAGACTCGAACCTTGAAACTGTCAAACGTCAGTACGGGGGCCTTCTTGAACTTGGTCCGGTAATATTTGGTGGAGAAAAAGTGGGGTGTCTCAGCATCAATTTGATATAAATTTTATAGAAATTGGTGCATTATTGGCGGAGAAATACTTGAAATAAGTTTGGAAGCTCCGGCTGAACCACCCTGAAATATTGGAGGTAGCAAATGGTAAAATTTTTGATTTCAAAGTAGAATAGGACCATCAAAGCGCTTGGAAATTCCATGTTCTTTAAATTTGAGATTTTTGAAATACGAAAACTTTGATTTTTTTTGAATTTCTCAATTTTTTCGCGATTTTTTGATGATAAAAGAAAATTAGTGCTAAAAAAGTATTTTTTTGGTTGTCAAAATAAACTAGCTTCCTGAGGGGATCTAAAAATGTCATTTTCAAGCATTTTACAGATTCTAAAATACGAAAAATTTCAATTTTTTCAAAATTACCCATGACATTTTTTTCAGGCGAAGGAAAACGCTCGAAACAACAATATCTCCCCTGCCACTGCACCGCAACTATTCGTCTGAACTACCATAGTGCCACACAAGTCCTCAGGATCACGACGTTCCGCCCCCTGCACAACCATGAGCTGAGTTATGAAGAGTACACCAAGCTGACGAATAAACGCAAGTCCACGGTTGGGCCCGCCTCTCCGTTGACGGTGCAGGCGAGTTCGGCGAGTACGAGCGGAGTCAGCTCGAATGGGACGAGTCCGGCGGGGACGGTCAGCCCAATTCAAGTTAGTCCGACGGAAATTTCGAGTCCCAAAAGTGGCCTGGACATTGGATTGGCTGGATTGCCAGGCTTGACTGCTCAAACTAAAGAAATTTTGGCCATGGCGAGCCAGCAGAAGGAATTTTCGCCGGTTTCTGGCCAGATTAAGGACACCGATGGTCCAAAGATTGCTACTCCGGCCAAAAATTTGGCTCAATCTGGCCAAAAAATCAGCCCAAGCCCTTCCAAGCCAAGCCCATCAAGTTTGTCGCCAGTCCAGGCTCCTCAACAGCTCCCGCCGCAATTATTGCCTGAGGGAAAATTGGTCAAAAAAGATGAGAACTCGAATATTTACACTCTTCAAGACCAGAAAATCGCTGCTGATGTTGCGAATCAATGGATTCAAGCGGCTTTAGCCATAAAAATGGAGAATAAACAGGTAAATTATATTATTTTAGGTGATTTTAGGTAGAAATTCTAGAAATTTTATATTGATTTAGATATAATCTGAAAGACTGATGTGTAGAGTAGCTATAAATTTTATTTTCAGCCCGCTCCAGAGCCAGTCCAGCCAGCAGAGAGCCAAAATTTCCAGTCAGCCCTTGTTCAATTGCTCCTGAATGATCCAAATCAGCTGAGACAGCTGCTAGAAGCCGAAAATCAACGGCGCTTGGAGCAGAAACGACGAGAAGAAGAGCTGGCTAGACTGCGAACCCCAAATCTAGCCAATCTTCTTCAACTGGCCGGCTTTTTGAAGCAAAATCCGCAAGGAAGTTCGAATATTCCAAGTCAAGATGAAATTTTGAGAAAATTGATGGAAAATTGCGCTCAAAATGGAAATTTGGGAGTTTCGAGTGAAGAGGAAGAGAGTAGAAGCAATGCGGAGTACGGGCTATCCACCGGGCTGAGCCAATCGACCGCTGGAATCAACCTAAAATCAGGTCAAAGTCAAGGCCAACAAACTGCTCCGGCTCGAAATCAAATCATCCACCCAACTCAGAATCAACCTCAAATAGCGCAGTCAGCTTTCAAACAACTTTTGTCAGCTCAACAGCCCCCAGCAACATCGATTTCCGGCATCTCCAGCCTAAATCAGCCAATTTACCCGTCAAATTTTGGATTTTCACCGCAAATTCCGTTGAATTCTCAAAATTCAACCACGAACTCAACGCAATCGGCCTCGGAACTGGCCTCAACGTGGATGAAGATGTATTCTCAACAAATTCAAAGTCAAACCAATGGGATTGGACATCAGAATTTGAAGACTAATCAAGGAGAAGATCAAGAAGGCGCCAGGCAATTGTTGAATTTATTGCAGGCTCTACAGCCCCAGAATGGAGTCAGCCAGTAGAGAGGATGGTATTTTATATTATTTTAGGCTATTTTGAGATAAGAAAAAAGTGTCATTATGACGAATTTTTTGGAAATTTAAGCCAAATTGGGTAATTTTTTTTGTTTTGGATAAACAAAAAAGTTTTAGTGATAGATTAGACTATGTTTTAGTAGTTCCCATTAAAAAATTACGTTGTTATATCAAATTTTTACATGTCATTATGACACATTTTAAATGCGTCATAATGACATGTTTTTTGATTCTATTGTAGTGGATTTGTATGTTGATTACTAATCGCGCTCAAAAGTCCTGACATTTTTCGCACCGTGCATTCTCTTTCATTTTCATTCGCACGGTGCATCTTTTCGCTTTTATCGCCGCGATTTCCCCTTTTCGCACGCGACAAACCCGAATTTGCGGGCGCGACGTCCAAAAGCCGGACTTTCGCACCGTGCATTCTTCTTTCATTTCTCATTTGTCGCCGCAATTTCCCGTTTTTGCACTAGCGACATGCACTTTTGCGCGCGACGAACCCGAATTCGCGGGCGCGGCGTCCAAAACCCAAACTTTCGCACGGTGCGAAAATTGTCAGGACTTTTGAGCGCGATTAGTATAGTCAATTTTTATTATTTTGTTTTTACCGCCTTCTTCATCATGTCACGATGACAGATTTTTTGTGTCATAATGACACCTGTTTTCTTGTCATTATGATCCGTTTTTGTATTTTATAAATGATTATTGTGCCATTATAAGCCATTACCAGTCTTTTCTATTCTACCGCGATGTCAGACTACCTGTCATGATGACAAATTTATTCCGTCATCATGACCCCTCGATATCCCTTGAATTTTGCCGAGTATGCCGAATAGTCCTATTATTCTTAGCTTTAAGTTGTCTTCTCATAACATTCCTATTTTGGTTACCGATTTTTTCTCAGTATTTTACTCGTATCTTCGGATTTTTCCACCTTTCATTACTGGTCGTATCCTCTACCTCTTTTTTTCGGTCTATACCTCTAAAAAATCGTTATGCGAGTAGTGCCACTGTCAGGTCATACCTCTTTTATTTTTTCTTATTTTTTTATTTTTGAAATTTTTTGATAATAAATTTTATTTATTTGAAGTGTAGGTGACGTACATGAAGGTTACAGATTCCCAAGCATGACATATCCAGCATTTTTTATTTATTATTATTTTGATTTTAAGCCTTGTTTGGGGAGAAAAAATGCAAAAATTCTGAGATTTTTTGAAAAAAAAATTGGATTACTGTAATTTTCAGTTCTTGTAAAGAACTTATGGGTAACTGAAGGTGGCTTGATGTCCATTATGGACAGACGCCATAATGAGCAGATTTCTGAAATCCTTACAGATACCCTCGACACCCATGTATCTTTGTAAAAAATGTGTATTTTATGTGATCTTTACTTTTTTTCTGAAGTAGCACTGTTAAAAAGTAATTTTTGGATTTTTTTCTAAAAATATTCGATTTGAGGGTTTGTAATGGTGCTGATTTCAAAAATTATGTTCATTTCTTCTGATAAAAGTGTAATTAGATGATTAAATGATGACTTTCATTGGAAGTTGATACGAAAACATTGGATGCCAGGATATTCGGGAACATTAGAATATCCTGGCATCCAATGTTTCTGTATCAATTATCAATAAAAGTTATCACATTCACACTGATTTCTCAAATTACACTTTTTTCAGAAGAAATGAACATGATTTTTGAAATCAGCACCATTACAAACCCTCAATTCGAATACTTTTAGAAAAAAATACAAAAATTACTTTTTAACAGTACTACTTCAGAAAAAAAAGTAAAGATCACATAAAATACACATTTTTTACAAAGATACAGAGGTGTCGAGGGTATCTGTAAGGCTTCAGAAATCTGCCCATTATGGCATCTGTCCATAATGGACTCCCCATTTATGGCATGTGCCCATAATGGACGAAGGCGGCCATTTATGGTAAAAGAAAAGCAATTTTTTTCGAATAGGAATTTTTAAATTTTTCTATCGAACATTCGGCTGATTAAACGGCATAATAAGCCAAGTTGACCAGTTCTTGAGCTCTCACCATGGTTTTCCTTACAATCGCAGTTGTTATTTTGCGAATTTTTCCCCTTATTCCTCCATTTTGCCCTGATTCTCGCTTTATTTTGCCAAAAAATCGCCATTTTTCATTTTGTTTCAGTCATTTTCGACTGAAAACCCCATTAATTCTGCCTCATTTCTCAAAATTTCCCGCAAAAAACACGTATAAAAGGGTGCGTTAGGGGCGTCTGCCTTCTCTGCCCTGCAGTCCAGATGCCCGGTCATGTGACCTCGGAGCAGAAAAAGCCCTCTTTTCTCTGCGTTCTGCCCGCTTTTTTGGGGGGATTTTTGAATGAGGGGAACTCACCTTCGTAGCTCCCTCTTTGGCTGCAATTCCCAGCTAACTCCATTTTGATTTGGGGTTTTTATCCTTTTCCGACTTTTGAGCGGATAAATCCGGGAAAAAATAGAAAAATTTTTCGGGGAAATTGGATTTCCTCAAATTTTTTTTTGGGATTTTTGAGTCAAATAGGGTAAAATACGGTGCCTCTTGCATTGAAGTTATCATATATTGCAATATTGCCTAATTCGAGGGATGAAATGACTAAAAATTGCTGTTTTCAACTACTTTTGACCTAAAATAAGCCAAATTTTGGAAAAAGTCAGTTTAATAGTTACATTGGACTAAATTACTACCGATTTAGCATGTCCATACATTCTGAACTTACTAATCAGTCCCATTACGACCAAATTCAGAAAAAAAATTCTGATTTTTTTTTTTCAAATAATCAAGATTTCTTTCCATCCAATTTATGCGAGTATGACATTTGCGGGCATTCTCAATGTTCTCACAAAGTATCCGACATTTTCGAGCGCAAAGTGCCCGACGTTTGTGACATCGATATTTCGACCATTTCATACATTGCCACCTTCATCCTCAAAGTCCGAGTTTCTTGATTATTATGCCCAAAGAAGGATTGTAAAACAATTTCTCCACTGAAGAAATTACTTCTGTTGTAGCACCGCGGAAACAATCCTTCTTTGTGCATAATCATGAAGAAACTTGTATTACACTTTGCGGATGAAGGTGATAATGCATGAAATATCGATGTCACAAACCTCGGGCACTTTGCACCCGTAAATGTCGGATACTTCGTGAGAACGTTGAGAATGCCCGCAAATATCATGCCCGCAAAGGCCGACAGTGCCCGCAGAGAGCCCGCCCGTAAGGCCCTCTCTCCGTACCGCGTCTTTTACCTAAAATAAGGTGAAATTTCGGAATAACTCGGCTTATTTGTCCGTCAAAGGATAATTACCGCTTTATCATGTCCAGAAGCCCTGAAGTTGCTAATTACCACTTTTTCCTATCAACTTTAGAATCAATTTTTTCCAAGTTTTTGATATCTGTCCGTGTTCATACATTATGGGAAGATGCCATAATGGGCATATTTCTGAAATCCTTGCAAATATCCTCGACACCCCTGTATCTTTGTAAAGCAAGTGTATATTATGAATTATGCGATCTTTACTTTTTTTCTTAAGTAGTTCTATTACAAAGTAATTTTTGGATTTTTTCTGAAGAATGCTCGATTTTTGTGGTTTCGATGGTGCTGATTACAAAAATCGCGTTCATTTCTTCTGAAAAATTTTGAAAAAAACTTTAATATATATATATACTTGTAGTAATCCTCAAATGAATATTGCTTTTTAACAGTGCTAATTAAGAAAAACGCTAAAGGTCACATAACATACATATTTTTTATAAAGATACAAGGGTTTCGAGGATATTTGCAAGGATTTCAGAAATCTGCCCATTATGGCATCTGCCCATAATGGATTGGTCTTTTATGGCGTCTGCCCATAATGGATGGACATGAACAAATCTCACAAAATTTGGAAAAAATTGATTCTAAGCTTGATAAGAAGTGGTAATTAGTAAATTCAGGGCTTCTGGGCATGCTAAAGCGGTTAATTTTCTGTTGAAGGACAAATGAGCCCAGTTATTCCGAAATTTCACCTTATTTTATGTAAACAATCTGCAAACATTTTTATGTTTCTTCACTTTTTTTAGTATTGAGGAGAATTCTGTGGTATTTAGAAGGTTTTTCTATTACAAAGTCGTATTTTACAACACTATTTAATCATTAATTAAAAAAATTTTTAGCACAAATGGGTATGAGAAAATGCTGGTCGCGAAAATACTTTGCCGAACTCCCGGATCATCGATGGGGATGCGTTTTCTGCGGGCATGCGTATGTTTGTAGTACCACGAAATTCAAGCATCATCTAAAAGTAGGCTAAAAATGAGATTTTTTGATTTTTTCGACCAAAAAATCTCAAATTTCCAATTAAAATTAATTTTTTCAGCGATGCCACTTGATGCCTCCGGATGTTCGGCAGATTGTTTATAAACTCATAGCAGAAAAGGAGCAGGCGAGTCTGTTCAACGCAATCAAACGGCCATACAGTGAAGCCCATAGTGGAGATGAGGAGATAGAGTCAAAGTTTTCGAGGAATGGAAGCTATTTGGATTCGAGGAATGGAAGTTATATGGATACGGCCTCGACGTCAGGGATAAATCAGTCGATCATGCAGTTGCTTGATCAACATAACAACGAAAAATCGAACGACCCAGAGGAGGAGGGCGATTTGGAAGGCAGCAATGGGCAAATTCCGACTCCCATTATTAGAAGCAGAGTGGAAAATGAAAGATTGGATTATTTGATGAGGATGGTAAGAAAATTTATTTGGATACTATAAATTTCGAAAATGAAGTATCGCTTTAACATTCAAAAAAATTTTTTTTTAAATATATTTTTTCCGTATTTTACAAAAAATTATTTTTTTCTATTCAGCAAATTTTTTATGTTGTTCAAAAATCGCAGTACTGCATTTTCGTCATGCCAAAATTTTCTATCATTTTGATTCTCAAATTGAATGTGGTTCCCGCAACGACTTTTTTTAAAAGTCCAATTTGACGAAAATGACGTCATTTTGAAAAATTCTTTCAAACTAACAACCCTAGGTGGGAGGTCAGTCTGTCGGGGAAATAATGGGCATAATGTCGCATCGAAAATCGCATCGCCGCCGAGAAGATGAATCGTGTCGCGTTAAAATCAAATTGCTTTTCATTTCGCTAATCGCGTCGCTGAAGTAAAAAGCAACTTGGTTTTGTCGCGACACAATTCATTTTCTAGACGGCGAAGCGATTTTCGATGCGACATTGCGCTCATTATTTTCCCGACAGACTGATCTCCTACCTAGGGCTGTTAATTTGACAGAATTTTTTAAAATGACGTCATTTTTGCCAAATTGGATTTAAAAAAAATTGTTATAAGAACCATTCAATTTGAGACTCAAGTGACAGAAAGATTTGACATGACGAAAATGATGGCAATTTGAAACGTGACTGACGCGTCAAGTTGACGACTTAACAACTCTATACCCTCCTTTCTGACCGAAAATAACGTTCTTCTGAAGAGAGAGCGAGAAAATTGCCTTTTGGATAGAAACGAGAGGGAAGCATTGAGGTATTGAATGCTTGTTTCCCTCTCTTTTCCTTCCAATTGGGCAGCTTTCTCACTCTCTCTTCAAAAGAACGTTATTTTCGGCCTGAGAGGGAGGTATTTGGCGGTATTCGAAATGCTTCCTTCATGCAATGGGAAGCGCTTTTGAACAATGGATTTTGTCCAGCACTGCGGTCATAACACAGTGGGGAACATGATCCAATGGCAAAAAACGTACCATTTTGCATCCGGGAAGTATCAAAAATGCAGCAAAATACCTCCGTCTCCAAGTGATAAGACTCTAGCTTCAAAAGCGCACCCCTCTTTTTATGGGGCGCGCTCTTAAAACAGAGTTTTTCTAATTGGAAAGGGAGGTATTTTGCTGCGTTTTTGATACTTCCCGGATGCGAAATGGTACGTTTTTTGCCACTGGATCAGGTCAGTTACTGTATTATGATCACAGTGCTGGACAGGATCCATTATTCAAAATACCTTCCCATTGTGTCAAGGAAGCATTTCGAATACCGCTAAATACCTCCTTGGCTGAAAATAGCGTTCTTCGGAGGGCGATAAAGCTGTAACTCCAAAAATTTCAGTTTGTGGTCTCGACCAATTCCTCCCCCGAAGTCCTCGAAAACAAGTACCTCAAAGAGTTCGTCCAAACCCTCTGCCCTTCGTATCAACTCCCCAGCCCGCAAGAATTCCGCGAGCATGTGGAAGAAGAGCGCAATCACTTACTGAATTACTGTCAAACCCACATTTCAACTCCTCCAACCGAAAACCAAATTGTTAACGAGATTCACAACCCGAATGAAAATCAAACTCCAGAGCAGCAATAAACATATCATTATTACTACATTATTTTTGCATTATTTAATGTCTAATGAGACGAATTTTGTAACAGACGACCAACATTGCAGTTTTTGATCTCGCAGGGGCATTTATTGTCCTAATTTCGAAGCCGAGGGATGCTAAAATTCGCCGCCTTTCTTTCGGTTCGACAATTTCCGCTTTTGGAAAATAAAATTTTCGCCATTGACGTTCCGAAAAGAGGAAGGCCAAAAGTAGTTCACCACGTCCTCCAGATGTAAAGGACGTGAGAATTTGACTTTGGATGACACAATTTTGACAGCGCCGTTTTATAATTTTTTGAAGGATGTAGCTTCCTTAGATGGGTCCCAAGTGAGCCGTTCAGATTTTCTTTAAATTTTGTATATACATTGGGCGAAACCCCTCAATAATTCCTACAAATTTTAGCTTGCGCTTTACAGGAACAGTCAAGATATCTAACGAGCTTTGCGGCCGATAGACTACGCGGAGATCGGTCACAGTGACAAAAACACTTTTTTCGGCCATATTTTTGCCAGTTTCGTATGGAAAAAGCCTGATTTTTTGTGGAAGCGTTACCCTCTGCATCAGACACAGCTAAACAACTAAAACTTTGAATGCCAAAATCCGCATTTTCAGCCAGCTTTTGACCCAAAAATCTCGGTTATTTCTGCAAAGCGCGAGGAAGAAGTTAGTCCTCAAAAAACAGATCTAAATTTGTGCCAAATCTCATCAAAATCTGAGCGTCGCACTTCCAGCACTTCCCTTGTTAATAAGAGATGATACTGAGATTTTCATTTATTGTCACCATACCCTAAACATATGAAAACTTTTTCCCAGAACTCCCCATATCTACCTTTTACAACAACCTTTAATCCGATGCCTCCTCCTAGAATTACATCTTCATAAATATAAAAATTAGGAATTCTATGGAGTTTGAAGGTCCAATGCGTTCGCTTTGGGTCGTTTCTAAATTTGGCAGAACCAAAAAACGAAGGACAGTTGAGTTTTTTGCCACCGAACGTTTTTTTTGCTCCATGTCATTTTTTGGGGGGACTAGACATTGCCCGGGTTCGGTAGTCGGTTTTTCAGCATTACATAGTGCAGAATGTGGGTGCATCGGTTTAAAATTAATGGGTGCGTCTTCTATTTTCATCCCGTCTTTATTGGACGTAGAGTTCAACTTTGGGATGGCAACTTTTAGTCACAAAGTTACAGGGTGGTTCAGCCGGAGCCCCCAACCTAATTTCTAGTATTTCTCCGGTAGTAATGCAGCAATTTCTATAAAATTTATATCAGATTGAAGCTGAGACACCCCATTTTTTGTCCACCACACAAGTCCGAGAAGCTCAAAACTTGAGCCCGTCATATTTGGTGGAGAAAAAATAGGGTGCCTCAGCTTTAATTTGATATAAGTTTTACAGAAATTGATGTATTATTGGCTGAGAAATACTTGAAATAAGTTTGAGAGCTCTGGATGAAACATGCTTTATAATACACAGCATTGCTCTATTGCATGTTGTAGGAATACTGTTTTCGCAAAGTTTCTTTCTCCTATTCTACTTTTACTCTTCTATATTGGAGCTTTGTCCAGGTTGTAACACGATTTTCGCTCTCAGGGGTTGTAGAAATGGCAACGTGTAATACGCAGGGCGAAAGATAATCTAATTCTCTCAAGGAATGGCTCCACAAGGTGGAACGCCAACGGATGGACGAAAAGAGCAGCCAGCTTATATGAAATATGGTCATGTGACGACAAACGGTGTTACTGTACCCCCCATAGGACTTGGGTGCTGGATGGTAAGTGCGTCAAACTAGTGCCGCCAACCAAATTCAGGGGAATGCAACGGAGGATGAAGTCCGCAAAACGCTTTGGAATGCCTTGGACGCCGGATACCGCTACTTTGACACAGCAACCTTATACGGGAATGAGCATATTGTCGGAGAGGTTCTTAGTGAGGCAATAAAAAGAGGACTGGTTACACGCGCTGAACTATTTATTTCTACAAAACTATCGTTTATCTCGCATCGTCCAGAGAACACGGCAAAGGCTATAGAGAGCTCGCTAAAGGTGTTAGGCGTCGACTATCTGGATATGTACTTGATGCACACGCCGCTGCCGTTTAAGGTGAGATCGGCAAATCCCGGTGAAGATCATTGGCCATAGAAATGCAGTGGGGGACCTGATCCAGTGGCAAAAAAGTACCCTTTTGCATCCAGGAAGTATCAAAAAATGCGCGTCAGAATGAAAATAGAAGAAAAACGAAATTTCGTGAGGGGCCGCAGCGAAAAGCAACGGCCGATTTTTGTCTTCTTTCTCTGACCGCTCTCTTCCTTTTTGTGCGTGCGCCCTCTTCCTCTCGCCAATCGCAAATCGTTATTTCGCGGATCGCCACGGCTTTGACGAAATTCCCTTTTTATTTTGACGTGAAATGTGGCAAAATACCTCCCTCTCCAAGTGAAAAAACTCCGGTTTCAAAATCTCGCTCTTTTTGTGAGGAAAAAAGACGAGCCCTCCAAAAAGAAGTTTTTTCACTTGGAGAGGGAAGCATTTCGCCACATTTTTGATACTTCCCGGATGCAAAATGGTATGTTTTTTGCCACTGGATCAGGTTCCCTACTGTGTATGTAGTAATTAAAGTAGTACAACACGACAGGGTCCACTGGACAACAGTACTTTTGATTGTATCCGAGATGCATTCCGAATACCACAAAATATCTCCCTCCGACCGAACACAGCGTTCATCCGAAGGGATAGCGAGAAAGCTGCCCTTTTAAAAAGAAGATAGAGGGAATCAGTTTGGAATCTAATGCTTTCCTCTGTCTTCTTTCCAAGTGCTCAACTTTCTCGCTCTCTCTTCAAAAGAACACTATTTTAGGTCAGAGAGGAAGGTATTTGGGAGTATTCGGAATGCCTCTCGGAAGGAATCAAAAGCCCTGTTGGCCACTGGATCCTGCCATCACCGTAATGCTGACTTTACAGCCTAACGACGACTGCACAGAAGCGCTACGAGACCTCGACGGCTCATTCATTGTTGAAGACACCCCATTGAGCGAAACATGGCGGGTACTGGAAAAGTATTACCACAAAGGGATCATACGATCGCTTGGCGTCTCGAATTTCAGTATTCCACAAATACAAGACATCTTGGACAACTGCGAAGTTCCTCCGCACAATCTACAGGTTAGTCAGCCAGCATTTTGCTGCCTGCAGTGGCGGATCTGATCCAGTGGCAAAAAACGTACCATTTTGCTTCCGGGAAGTGTCAAAAACGCAGCAAAATACCTCCCTCTCCAACTAACAAGACTCCTATTTCAAAAACGCGTCCGCTCTTTTTGTTAACGCGCTCTTCAAAACAGAGTTCTTTTAGTTGGAGAAGGAGGTATTTTGCTGCACTTTTGATGCTTCCCGGAAGCAAAATGGTACGTTTTTTGCCACTGGATCAGGTCCGCCACTATTCACGTCCTTTTATAGATGGAAGTGCACATCTATCTTGCACAAGAAAATCTTGTAAATTTCTGCAAATCCAATGGAATTACTGTCACCGGCTACAGCACATTAGGGTCTCCCGGTCGCAAAGACAACCCGGTCGGCTCATTTATCGATGGCTCATGTCTGGATGAGCCGTTAGTGAGACGGCTTGCGGAAAAATACGGTAAAACAACGGGCCAGATATTACTTCGGCATTCTGTGCAACGCGGTCTAATTGTGATACCGAAAAGTGCAAATCCGACTCGGCTGAGGCAGAATTTGGATATATTTAATTTTCACATTAGTGCAGCGGACATGGAAGAGCTGAGTGGTTTGGATCAGGACAAGCATTTCTTCCCGTTCGATTTGTAAGTTCATTTTGAAGCATGTAAGCTTTTACTTGGCCAAAATTGAGATTTTTCTGGCTTAATCGAGGCCAGGGGACGTCAAGAAATTTCTGGCGTTGCAAAGGTTCTCGCGGCGAAAAAAATCCAGAAAATCCGTCCATTTTTTTCAATTTCAACATCTTCAAATTTCAAATTGCAAAAATTTTTAACCAAATTTTTTATAGATACCCCAGGGGTACTCCTAGTCGTAAACAACGGTTTTTTATACCACTGACAAATTTTAAATGTGTCATCGTGACACATTTTCTGAACACGGTTCGAGCTCCTCTCTGCTCACAATCATCATGATAAACTTTTATTTAGACGCTGCATTTTCATTTCTCACATGGCTTCAATTTTAGCGCCTATCATCACCCAAATTATCCCTACCAAAAGCCAGTGGACCAGCAATGAAAAAAATTATACGCAAAACCACGCAAACCCGGTGAAATAACATTACGTAATAAATATCTCGGTGCTTCGACCCCTCTCATCCACTGATCAATCTCCAAACAAAATCTATGGTATTTATTCAATTATTTTACAATTCAGGCAGAAAAAATCACAGAGGTCGGTAAGTTCCGTTGATCAACGCGAGCTGAACCAATTGCTGGCGTTTGAATTCGTCGTAAGTGGGGGTTAGAAGGCCCTGAACGGCGCTGACGCCGCGATCCAAGCGTTCGTTGCAGCGGTCCAAGTCATCGTCGACGCAGGTGATCAAAACATGCAGCGGCTCTTCGAGATGAAGCCAGCCCGGCTTGCCGCGAAGTTGGGCTTCACGGAGGGGGTCCTGGAAGAGACTACAGTTAGAATTTAGTGCTAAAAAAGTTTCCAATGAATGAAACCAGGGCGCAGCTCGTCGAGAAAAGAAAGACATTTTTCATCGTATAAAATGTCTCTAAAGGTGAAAAAGTTGCGTAATATTGCTAACTAGCCTAGTACAATCACAATGGTAATGACCAAAAAATTAAAACCCTCAGGCAAACATCAGAAAGCTTTCATCGTATAAAATGGTTTTGCAATCCGTGAAAACTCTGTCATTGTTATCCCAAAGTCTAGCTGACCTCTAAGCACTACCTAAACACCAATTTTCACAAATCAAACACTTACCTTGACCGAGCGTTTGCCTCTGATCTGAAATTTGCATGTGGTTTCCGTTTCAATTCTGCGGACGGACATTCCTCGAGGACCGATGATGCGACCAATGAAATTGTAATTCTCCACCTCCGGAATGAACATTTTGGCACACTAAAATGGAGGTGTAATTACATTCAGAGACTAAAAATGTGATGTTTCACATGTTTCATCGTATAAAATATCCCAATCATCCACAACGGCGTTACAAGGCGCTAAACTGTCCGAAAATTAATCAAGTCTCATATATAAGAATTTTTCAACCCTCCGGATGGTTAAATTCCTCGTCATTTCACAATTTTTTCGCCCTTTGTCTAGTACAATATCAAAAAATCTCAAATTTCGCTAAAACCCTAAAAAAATTAGGGACTTACCCTCACAAACTTTCCCGGCTGAGCGATTGGACCCCTGTGTCCATTTACACCATCTGGCACTTCATCTAGATATTCCACTTCCACCTGATCCGAGATTGGTTTGGGATCGGCTTTTTTTGCTGGCTGCTCTTGTTTCAGGGCACTCTTCGCGGCGAGCTCGGCTACTTCTTTCTGTGATCAAAAGATTAGTGAGATAAAAGGAGAAAATTTGACGAATTTTTGGAAAATTATATTGTAGGGGAAATACCCATTTACCCCATTTTTTGAGCTAAAACCTGGTCCAAACGACAATTTACATCACATACAGACCTCTACTATCCTGATTCACCCCTAAAATCAAAAAAATCCAACAAAACCTTGAACTTACCTCCTTTTTTCTCAAAATCGCCTTGACGGTGTCGATGACGGAGACTCTGCCCTTCCCCATGGCATCGCCACCGGCTTGCGAGTGGACTGGAGTACGTTGTGGCGGGCGGCCGACATTGTCGAGGACCGGGCCGGGCTTTGGGATCGTCGGAACGGGAGCGGACGACATTTCAGCGGCGAAAAAACAGTCGAAATGGGAATTTGCGTGGGAATTCGACCATTTTTATGAATAAATTTGCATAAAAATTGTGTTGAATCGGTGGTAAAAAAAGAGTTGACAACGTGGGAAATCGGTTTTCAGACGGTTTAGGCCGTTTTCGGAGGTAAATTTGATACTTGATGCGGAATGCCACGATGTTCTGGCATTACATATTTTCGTGTTGGGACCGTTTTGAAAATGCTAAAAAATAGCCATATTTCGAAGTTTCTCTGCCCATTCGAACCGCAGTAATCTCTAGTTTCAGAATCGTGAAAAAATCTGTGGAAATTTATCCAGAATCTTCGGGAAATCAAGCAAAAACTAACAAAAAATTTTTGACAAAAATCGTGAATATTCAAATGTTCCCGCCGTGGAAGAGACTTGGCCCAGTCTACTAAAAATGCTTTCCGGGTATGTCAAACACGATGGCGAAGTCCGTTTGCCTCTGGCGCGTTTCTTTCTCGCGATATAAAATACGCCACTCAGCTACAGTACGCCCGGTTACGGTAAAATTTCCAAATTTTTTCTTTTGTCAAATTACTTATTGGATGCTGTACTTTACAAAATATTTATTTTCTCGCTCCTAGTTACACTGAAATTACAATAAATTCCCATCCTCAACGCTCTTGTTCAAGATCTTCGAGCTCCTCTTAGGGCTGAACCGAGCCGGATAATTCGCGTGTCCAGCTAGATCCACTGCGCTTCGGATCACCTCAAACGTGTACGGACAATCCCGTGCAACCACACGCATGCATGTGAAGAAATTATAGTCGCAGGTGGATCGGCCGCGTTTTTTACTGTAGCAAAGGTCGTGTCCTCTGCAGCATGTGTTGATCAAGCCTAAAATTTTGTAAATGGAATTGTAAAATTGAAATGAACAGCAAGTTGCACAAATCGTAAAAATCCCGTCTGTACGGGGGAAACTTTTTTCGCACTGTGCGCAAACTCAAATCGCACCGTGCAGCAAAAAAATGCACTCCTTTCCGGAAAGTCGCCGAAATGATTTTTTGGCGTTTGCACTGTGCGAGAAACGTCAGGGTGCGAGCGACAGCCGAAAAACGCGTATTGCACGGTGCAAAAAGCAAGAGATTGCACAGTGCAAAGAAAGCTTTTGTTTTCGCACAGTGCGTGTCGCTGATTTCAGTCCGGCGACTTAGGAAATGTAAACAGAAAAAAATGCACTGTGCAGACAAATTTTACGCACCGTGCAAAAAAATCATATCGCACTGTGCAAGCAAGTTCTATGCACTGTGCAAAAAAAACTCAAACCGCACCGTGCAACAAAAAAATCTGCACGGTGCATTAAAAAAAAATCCGAAAAAATTTTGCACTGTGCAGAAAATGCCACAAAAAATATTCACGGTGCTTTCCGAAAAACCCTCAAAAAATTTTTGCACCGTGCAGAAAAGTTCGACAAAAAAATCTGCACGGTGCATTCAAAAAAACCCCCAAATTTTGCACCGTGCAGACAATTCCGCACTGCGCAAAAAAAATTTACGCACTGTGCAGAAAAATAAAAATTTTGCACCGTGCAACACAAAAATCTGCACTGGCCAAAAAAATTTTTGCACCGTGCAAATAGAAAATTCCGCGTCAACAGCAAAAAAATTCAATTAGAACCCACGGTAATGCTCTCCGCAGCCCGTCTTGAGATACCATCTGGTCACCGCTAAGCCGAAATCTCCCGTCGAATCCGCACCACACCACTCCTCTTCGCCGAATGCGACGAAGACCAGCAGAGCGAAGAGGAAAACCCGACCAACCATCATGAACGGCGAGGATAACACTGAATTGTTGAAATTAAAAAAAAAAATTTTTGATTCTCAATTTTTGAATTTTGAGATTTTCCTTTGATTTGAGGACGAGAAAAGTACAATTTTTTGGAAAAGGATGTCTAATTTAATGTGTTTGCTCATAAAAAGGCTTTGAGAACACCTTAGCGACCTTTCCGACCCTTGAGACGGAATGCCAAATTTTGGCGGGAATTCAAAAATATTTGAAAATTTCTTGGTGCAATTGGAGAAATGGACCGAAAAGTCCGTTTTTTCGATTTTTAAAGTTTTCAATTTTGTTTAATATTTACCCCATGCAAGAGAAATGAATTGTAAGTCATGGAGACCAGAGATTGCCACGGCTCCGGAGCCGGCACTTGGCTCCGGCTCCGAGCCGGGAGCCAGAGCCGGAGCCTGAAATTTTGGGGTCGGCTCCGGCTCCCGAGCCCAAAGTCGGAGCCAGGCTTCCCAGCGGTCAGAAAAGTAAAAATTTCGTGATCTTGTTAAACCGAATTACTTGAAAAAGCACTGAGGATGTGACTTGACTGCAAAAACGTTGGCTGTATGATCTCTGGCACTAATAACTTTTATTTTTGGAAAAATATTTTTAAAAAACGTTTTGCATAGGAGCCGGAGCCGGAGCCAGAATTTTGACCGTGGCAATCTCTGATGGAGACGTAAGTCTCGCCGAATCTTTAATGTTTTTTTGAGTTTTTCTAAACCCCTCTTATACTAGTCGCGCCATAAAGTCCTGACACATTTTGCACCGTGCGAAAGTTCGGGGTTTGGACGTCGCGCCCCAAAATTCGGGTTTGTCGCACGCGAAAGTGTGCAAAAACGGGAAATCGCGGCGACAAATGCGAAAAATTGCACCGTGCGGATCAAATGAAAGAAGAATGCACGGTGCGAAAGTTCGGGTTTTTCGGTCCCGCCCTCAAATTCGGGTTTATCGCGGGCAAAAGTGCACGTCGCTAGTGCAAAAACGGGAAATCGCGGCGACAAATGCGAAAAGATGCACAGTGCGGATGAGATGAAAGAAGATTGCACGGTGCAAAATGTGTCAGGACTTTATGTCGCGACTAGTACTAGTCGCGGAAAAAAGTCCTGGGATTTTTCTGCGACTCTGCACTGTGCATGAACCCGAAAAGTGCTTTTGCACAGTGCAATTTTGTTGATTTTGCCTTATTGTCGCGCGCGAGTCCCGCGACAAACCAACTTTTCGGAGCGCGACGGAATTTGGGGGGCGCGGGAAAATCCCAGGACTTTTTTCCGCGACTAGTACTAGTCGCGACATAAAGTCCTGACACATTTTGCACCGTGCATTCTTCTTTCATTTTCATCCGCACGGTGCATCTTTTCGCATTTGTCGCCGCGATTTCCCGTTTTTGCACACTTTCGCGTGCGACAAACCCGAATTTGGGGGCGCGACGTCCAAACCCCGAACTTTCGCACGGTGCAAAATGTGTCAGGACTTTAGTATAACTTATTTGCTTCTTCAGCTTGTGCATGATCCAGATGAACGCGAAAAATCGCGTTTCTCTATTTTTTGAATGAAAAACGGAAAAATTTGCGAAAATTTTACAAAACTGCAACTTCTCGTTGGTCTCAAGAAGCTACAGAGCCATGAAAGGTTTTTGTTCATATCGAACACCACGCAACACGATGACTGAACGCCAGCCAACCGCCTGTTGGTAGATGACATCCCAAGCGCCGATCTCCGCGGGATCTCCCCGTTGAGATCCGAACCAGGAAGGACCACCGTAGCCGTAGTCAGTCAAAGCCGACGCACAACCACTGTACTACACGTGCGACGGGCTCTCTCCTCTTCGTGCGCAAAAAGTGCTCTCAATTGGGAAAAGAGGCAACGTTTTTGGTCGCAAATTGCTCTTTTTTGTCCAAAAAAGTTGGAAATTTATGCAATTTTTTAATGAAAAAAAATATTCAAGACTTCTAGCTTGCGTTTAGCAGAAGTAATCGAGATTTTTATATCCAAAAGTTGAAAAAAATCCGAAAATTTTTTTTGCAAATTTTGTCATGAAAAGTTTCATGGCTATTTCTACCATATTGGGTAATGTTTCCACAAAAAATCAATTTTTTCCGCGCAAAAGTGGCAAAGAGACGGCCAAAAAAGTGTTTTTTCTCTGACCGCTCTCCGCATTTCGCGTACTCTCTCGGCCGCAAAGACCGTTGAATATCTCGGCTCTCCCTGCAAAGGGCGAGCTGAAATTTTCAGCAATTGATATGTGGACTATACGCAATATATGTGCAAAATTTGAAGAAAATCTGTGCGTCGGACTTGTAGTACTTCACCTGTCAAAAAAATTTCGTGTTTTTTGCGAAAAACTTTCTTTTATTTTCGCTATTATATTTGTGTTCCAACCACAACAGTCAACAAATTCCGTCACACCAAACGCAAAAACATCCTCATTTCCAATCGCATTCATATCGATATAATAGGGCATATCAATCGTTCGGAGCAGATGATTCAAAAAACCACCCCAATTTTTTCGTCGCGTTCTCTGCGCCTTGGAAAAACAGAAGGAGACAGAACAAAAAAATGTTTTCGGGAACAGCTGAGGCTCATTTCAAGGGGATCTGAAGCTTGTCGAGTGCATTTTTTAGAGGTCTTAGCACTTTTGAGCCAGTTTTCCGGAAGTTTTGAGATTTTTTCGTCAAAAAAATTTATTCATTAGCTCTTTAAAAGGTGTAAACTTCATTTTTTGACTTCTTAAAAGTTCAAACAACATGTTTACCCGTCTTCGGAATCCATTTCGTTTTTTTACATCGCTTTTTTTGAAGAAAAGTACGAAAAAATTGAAAAAAATCTGAAAAATCTAAAAAATATTCAAATTTTTGGTTGCAGAATCATCGATTAGATCGAATACGTAAAACTTTTCTATAAAAAATTTTTTAAATCCCATTTTCCCGCCATTTTAGCCCTTTTTGGCATTCCGTTGCACTGCACCGTGCGGATTGGCATTTCGCTGCACCGCACTGTGCAAACCGCGTGACAACTTGTCCCGTGTCAAGTCTTTCCGTTTGCACAGTGCAAATTTTTGTTTTTCCGCCTAAAATTTTTATTTCCGTTTTTCAAGTACTTTGCGGTCGTTGTTTCGATAATTTTAGATAAAAATCTCTCCATCAATTACTGCAAATTGATGCCCCAATGAAAATACGCGTATTTTGCGGGAGAATCGTGGTGTTTTTGGTCTTGGAAGGCGCTGTTTACATCAAGATCATGGGGAAGGTCGGAAAAATGCGGTTGTTTGCAGATAACAACGTGGGTCATATTGCAAATTGATTGGAAAACATGCCTTTGGGCGTGATCTGTGGTTTAGAGACGATTTGGAGGGTTTTCGGACGATTTGAAGTGGGATTTGAGCTAAATTTTTAGATGTTGTTTTAGGTGGTCGGACATAAAAAAAATCTGGAAAAAGTCGCTGTTGGTGTTGATTTGAGCTGCGTTATGTAATTTCCAGGGGTTATTGAGAGGTTTAAAAGGATTTCAGTTCAAAATTTGCTCAATTTTAAATTATTTTTGCCTTGGTCTCATGGATAATATAGAAACTGAATTTTAGATGTGTTCTGGGCTTTCTTGCGTTATGAAATGATGTATAGAGGTTTCAAATGGTGTGCTCTTTGATTTTCTTTGGATTGGAGTGTCCCTTTCCTGATTTTATAGTTGTTCTTGACCAAAGTTTTCTCGCTTTGTCTAATAGACAAGGATAAGGTCAAAAAAGGGTTTTACGGTCTGTCTGAAGCTGTAAATTTATAAGAAACCATTAGTTGGGGTGTAGTCTATGATTTTCTCGATATTTATCGAGTTTGCTTTCGTTTTAAAGTTCTTTTTTGTATTTTATATGATTTCAAGTATAGGTACTATAAAAACTTACCGTACGTCTGAATTTGTGGTTGAATCTTTGATTTTTAGATTTATTATGCTTGGTTGAGCTGTAGAGTTTATATTTCATACTATTCCAAGCTTTCGGGAAAACTTTTTTGACATTTTTTGTCATAGGTAACATAGCAACTAATCCGTGAAAAATAATGTGTTTTTTGAGATTATTTTTGCTGTTTAGCTGTTTGAAATGATCGATTATGACTTTGGGCATCGGTATCGACTTTATTTTGCAATGTTTTTGGCATTTTTTTCTCAAATTTTCCTCATGGATAATATAATTTTTAGTAATTTTTCCCCATTTCTTTTCTTCAAACAGATTATCTTGGATAGAAATTGCTAAATAAGCTCGGTAAAGTTGGTCTGATGCACTATTTTACCTTTACTCAACCAAAAAATTAAAATTTATACCTAAAATTCCACGCGGTACAGTGGCGGACTTGATCCAGTGGTGAAAAAGGTGCCATTTTGCATCCAGGAACTATCAAAAACGCAGCAAAATACCTCCTTCTTCAAAAAAAATCCATTGTGAAGCGGTTCTGTGACAAAAAGAGCTTTTGAAATTGGAGTTTGTTAGTTGGAGGGGAGGTATTTTGCTGCGTTTTTAATACTTCCCGGATGCAAAATGGTACTTCTTTTGCCACTTGATTGTGTCCGCCACTGTATCTTATGGAATTCTAGGTATAAATTTTGATTTTTAGGTTGAGTGATGGTAAAATAATGATTCAGACCAACTTTACCGAACTTATTTATCAATTTCTATCCAAGATAATCTGTTTGAAGAAAAGAAATGGCGAAAAATTACTAAAAATTATATTATCCATGAGGAAAATTTGAGAAAAAAGTGTCAAAAACATTGCAAAATGAAGTCGATAATGATGCCCAAAGTCATAATTGATCATTTCAAACAGCTAGATAGCAAAACATAAGCTCAAAAAGCACATTATTTTCACGAATTAGTTGTTATGTTACCCATGAGAAAAAAATGTCAAAAAAGTTTTCCCAAAACCTTGGAATAGCATGTAATATGAAATTTACGGCTCAATCAAGCATAATCAATCTTAAAATCAAAGATCCAGCCACAACTCCGCCCGTACGGCAAGTTTTTATAGTAGCTATAGCTAAAATAATATAAAATATTGTGAAATATAAAATCTCCCGCTTGTTTTGTTCCAAAGATCACTCGGAATCCATCCTAAATGTTTTTCTCCTGACGATGAAAGTACGCTTTCATAAAGAGGTTATCAATTCCGCTCGTTTTTGATCATTTTTTTGGTGGCTCAAGGCACGTGCGATGGATGTTTTTGTAATTTTTGGGGCGGAGAAATGAACGTAAACAGATTCGATATATAAGTTTGTAGTGGTAGCCGGAATTCCTAAGCCTGTTTATGGCGGTTTCGCAGAGGTTTTGGTTATTTTTGGATATTACACTAGGCAAATCAGCTGGTTTTGAGTGAAATTTGATGGAAAATTGAGGATTTTGTGAATTGAGGGATTGTTTTTAGGCGTTTCTTATGTGTCTGGAGAGTTTTACGAGGTTTAGCGACAAAATTTGACTAGTTTTTTATATTACACTTGATAAATCAGCTCATTTTTGGTCAAATTTGATGGAAAATTGGCGATTTTTTGAACAAAATGGCTGAATTGGGTCGTATTTTAGCTTCGTTAATGATTTTGTGCCATATTTGGATATTTTTTTTATATTATACTAGGTAAATCGTCAATTTTAGGTAATATTTGAACAAAAAATTTGATTTTTTTTTATAAAATCAGCAGTGGAAATCGTATTTTACCCCCAATTTCCTATATTCACTATTTTCTCGCGATTTTTTACCCCAATTTTCCGATTTTCCCAACATTTACCTCAATAATTACCTAAAATAATATAAATTTGCTCATATTTCAGCCCGGAGCCCTTTCTAACTCACATATCTGGTCGAGATTACCCTCAAAATGGACCGAAACTCCGTCACTGATATCAAATCCGATGTCCACTCACTTCTTCGATGGATTTCCGACGCTTCTTTGATCCGGATCTCGCAAAGTCAGCCGAGAAGTTATGGTAAGACATTTATTTTATTTATTTTTGATTGGTTTTTAGGTGAGAGGGCCAAATGCGATCGTATTTTACAAGTTGGAGCTCGAATTTTTTGGAAATTTGAATTTTTTTATGGAAATTTGCGGAAAATTACCTTATTTTAGGTAAAAAATGGTGTTTTTTGTTAAAAAGAAGCGTTTTGGGCCGTATTTTAGAATGCAAACTTTTTTTATGGACTCTAAAATATTGTATTTCAGCCAAGAAACCGACCAACTCGTGGGCGAAACAGAGCAAACTCGACGAAATTTCCTCGGATCAGGTCTACATTAACAACTTTGGAAGCATAAACCTCCCGTAAACAGCTCCAACCTCAACAATCTCAACGAAAATTATGGGTATCACCATCCAATGGTCTTGTACATACCATCTTCTAACAACATCTCAATATTTTTTTGATATCAAATAGTCAAATTAGCTCATAACTAAATGTTTGTGTATTTCGTGGCAATAAAGCTGGATTCATATAGTGAATTGTGGTGTGCTAAGATAATTGATGTGTTTTCTCAATGTTGCGATACGTTTTACCCCACTTGGAGTTGATTTTTGGCTATTTTTTGACAAAAGTTGTCATGGATAATATAATGAAATTGATAGAAGGTGTTGTTGGTAGTGAAAATAGTAATTTTTACACTGTTTATGAGGTATTTTTACCATTTTCTGATGAGTTACGCCATTTGCGACACTTGAAACAGAATGCCAAAATTTGCGGGAAATTCAAATTTTGAACATTTTTGAGCTTATTTTTTGCTGGGTATTGAAGAATGCGTTTAGTGAAACGTCAAACTTGTTTTTTAAAATAAAAAATTTGCGTTTTTTGGGCTTTCTTTTGAGCTCAAACCACCATGGATAATATAAGTAAAAAGTTGTTTTTAGAGGTCAAAGAACCAAATTAAGGGCCAAAATCAATTTTAGAATTCTACTAGCCCCTTCCAGACACTGTTTTCATTATTTTTTAGTGTTGAAACACAATGCCAAATTTTGGCGGGAAATTTAAAATTTGAAATTTTAGCGGATTTTTTGTTGTAATAAGTTAAAACAAGATTTGATGTAACCTCTAAACATCATAAAAAAATTTTATAACCCTTTACGAATGATTAAAACAGAACGCCAAAATTGGCGGAAAATTTGAAATTTGAAATTTTAGCGGATTTTTTGATGTAAAAAGTTAAAATCAGATTAGATGTAACCTCTAAACATCCTAAAAAAATTTTATAACCTCCTACGAATGCCTAAAACACAATGCCAAAGTTGGCGGGAAATTTGAAATTCAAATATTTAAAAATTCAAATTGACGAAATTGCACTGGATTGGTCGCTGTATAACGATTTCAAAAGCTCACATATTTTTCTCGAGTTCAAGTTTCTTTTCCATTCATTTCGAACAATTGTATTCGTATTCATTCTTCCGGCCCCAAAATAAGAGTGCGCCCGGCCGATTTGCATGCTTTATAACGAAATTGAAAGGAAATCCGCGAGGAATGTCTGGCCAGGTTGCGAAATTCGCCGGAATGGACAATGGTCAGGAATTTGGGGGCGGTAACAAATCTCGTTTTGCGATATTCAAAAGGCTGGTCTGGAGTAAAATTTAGTTGGAGAGGTTCGTATGAAAATTTTAAAATACGCGGTTCGGAATTGCCATGTTATATATGTACTGGTTAAAATAACGCCGCCAAAAAATTAAATTTTTTGCACAAAATAAAAAAAGAAACTCAGAATCTGCACTGTGCGAATGGAGCGACAACAAAAAACAGAAAGTTTGCACGGTGCAAAAAAATAGAAGATTTTCTGCACTGTGCGAAAAGAACGACAACCGAAAAAAGGACGATTGCACGGTGCAAAGAAATAAACAACTTTATGCACTGTGCGAAAAGAGCGACAACCAAAAAAGAATGGGTGCACAGTGCAAAAAAACGTAAAATTCACCGCACTGTGCTTCAAAAATAAAAAGCTCGGAATCTGCACCGTGCGGGTGGAGCGACAACCGAAAAATTAATGGTCGCACGGTGCAAAAAGATGAACAATCTTCTGCACTGTGCGGAGAAAATAAAAAAGCTCAAAATGTGCACTGTGCGACAAGCAAAAAAGAACGGTTGCACGGTGCAAAAAAGAAAAAAGAAATTTCAGCACTGTGCGAAAGAAAACTCAAAATCCGCACTGTGCAAATGCAGCGACAACTGAAGAAAGGATTGTTGCACCGTGCAACCGTCGGAAAAAACATTTTTGCACTGTGCAAAACCAAAAAAGAGAAAAAAAGAATGCACTGTGCGGAAAAAATAAAAATTTTATTATTATAAAAAATGATAGGGTTAATTAATTTTTTTGATTGATTTGTAAAATACGCCTTTTTTAATTTCTTCCAAAAACTTCAAATTTTCAAATTTGCACTGTGCAAAAATTTTTTTTTCAAAAATTCATTTTTGGGATTTCAGAATTTTTTCGACTCTTTTTAGAAGCTCTGAGAAGATTGTAGGCCCCTATATTAGCCATTTCCGGTCAACAATTACCCCCAAAGCTACCGTAATCCCTTTTAAAATCAAAAAATCCCATTTTTTTGACCACTGTCCACTTTGTTTGCTCTGACTTTTCTTACTCTGTCCATTTACCAGGCTTTCAACCGCACACTGCGCCCGTAAATGGTCGATATTTTTAGCGAATGACCGGTTAAAATGCGCTGAAGCGTGCGCTGATTTTCGTAAAGTTTTTGGGCGAAAAAATATTTGCAAATATTATTTTCTGGCGCGCTTCCTGTCCCAAGACTGTTTCCCGCCGCCGCCCCAGACCTGAGCGGGGCTCGGCGTTTTTCTGCATTACTAATTCCGATGATATTACTTTGATTTTAAACTCTTTCCACTACTTTTTGACTCTTTTTTTGGTTTTCGTATAGTTGTGAGTCTGTTCGTTCGTATAGTTGTGGTTGTAGAATACTGAAAAATGCTCAGTCAACTGGATGAGAGGGTGTTTTGCGGGGTTGGGGAGATCTGGCATGTGATTTTGGTGGGATATTGTACTTTATGGGTATTAATGTCATGGATAATATAAAAAGTGCCTGTCTGGGACGCAACTTTTGCAAATTTCGTTAATGGGACTTTCCTTGTGGCTTGTGATTCACTTTCACCCATTTTTGATCAAAAATATGTCATGATGACGGATTTATGGTCAATTAATTTTTCATCGTATAAAATGTCACTTTTCGAAAATAGCGGTTTATCGGTTGGAGAAACTTACGGGCACATCCTATATGTTTTTATAAGTCATTTTAGAGCAAAAATTTGCTGACTTTTAATGACTTATATCTGATTTTGGTGGGATAATGTACTTGGTGAAGTATGTTTATGTCATCGATAAGATAAAGAAAATGAGAATTTATGAAGAAGATGTTTCTGTCTCTTATGTTTATTTAATTTTTATGCTATCCAAATTAACTTTGTCATTTAAATGTGTCATGATGACTGATTTTTCGCAATTATAATTTTCATCGTATAAAATGTCGCTTTTCAAAAAATTGCGTTTGGATGTCTGGAGAAACTTACCAGTGCATCCCATATATTTTTAGAAGTCATTTCAAAGCAAAAGATTTTATAATTCATTATTGTTTGGCTGGATATTGTAGTTGATAGAGTTTATGTCATGGATAATATAAAAAATTATAATTTATGAAGAAGATGTTGTTATTTCTTATGTCTATTAGCTTTTAATGCCATCTAAATAAACTTTTTCACTTAAATGTGTCATGATGACTGATTTTTCGCACTTTCATTTTTCATCGTATAAAATGTCACCCTTCGAAAAAGCCTTGAAAATAAAAAAAATAAACATTTCTGTAGGTATTATATTCCTTTTATAAGAAAATTAGACTTTTTGACATCTCTCAATTGCATAAAAACATAATATATAATTGTAAAATACGCTTCAAAAAATCTCTTTGATTTACCCTACAAACTTTCAGAATCAAAAATTTACGTCTCCGCACCTCCACACTACACTTCCAAACTTTGTCAACACTGTAAAACCCTCGCGTTCCTTTAATTTCGGCGAATATTTGTTTCCGTTTTTTGGCCCGCCAGCCGACTGACCGGATGGGCCGAAAAAAAACTGCCGAAATCTGTGTTTATGTCCCGCCGGAGGGCATAGTAAATCTTCCGGCCACCTCGCCTCACCTGAGGCCCCCTTTTTTCGGGAGTGACCGACGCGAAATTGCAGCCTTTCGTTTTTCGCCGCGCCTCAGGCAACGATTTGGTTTTCGGGATTTCGGTGGAGTGGTTTTTTGCGGGCCTGAAGCAGGGATTTGTTCGCTTTATTTATGGGCTTTCGAGGGCTTTGCGCGCTGGCTACTGGTGCGGGGAGTTGTGAGAAAATTTTTGGCTACAACTTTGGGTTTTGTTTTTGAACGCACAGTGCAAATTTTGCTTTTTGAACGCACCGTGCGGAAGTTTTTGGGGGTTTGCACTGTGCAAAAATTTGTCGCAGGTTTTGCACGGTGCGAAGGTTTGAAAAAAGTTGTTTTGCACTGTGCAAAGGGTTTGTCGCATGTTTTGCACGGTGCAAATTTTCTTGCGGAATTTTATAGGGATTGCACGGTGCAAAAAAGTTTGTCGGGGGTTTTGCACTGTGCGAACTTTATTTTGTGAACGCACCGTGCGGAAAAAGTTTTTGGGTGTTTGCACTGTGCAAAAAGCTTGTCGCAGGTTTCGCACAGTGCAAGTTTAATTTCAGGCTTTTCAAATTTTGCACTGTGCAAAAATTTGTCGCAGACTTTGCACGGTGCGACGGTTTGAAAAACGCACTGTGCAAAGAGTTTGTCGCGAGTTTTGCACGGTGCAAATTTTATTTTGAGGCTTTTCGAATTTTGCACTGTGCAAAAATTTGTCGCGGGTTTTGCACGGTGCGACGGCTTGAAAAATGTTATTTGCACCGTGCAAGAGACTTTTAAAATTTCGCACTGTGCAAAGAGTTTGCCGTAGGATCCGCACGGTGCAAATTTTATTTTTTGGCCGCACCGTGAAGCTTCTCAAATTTCGCACTGTGCAACAATTTGTCGCAGGTTTTGCACGGTGCGACGGCTTGAAAAATGTTGTTTGCACTGTGCAAAAGAGATTTTTTGATTGCACCGTGCAAGAGACTTTTCAAACTTCGCACTGTGCAATTTTTTGTCGTAGGTTTTCCACGGTGCGAAAGGTCGAGCGAAGTTTGTTCTGCACTGTGCAAAAGAAGATTCTTTGGCCGCACCGTGCAAGAGATTTTTCAAATTTCGCACTGTGCAAAGAGTTTGTCGCGGGTTTCGCACGGTGCGATAGGTCGAGAAAAGTTTGTTCTGCACTGTGCAAATTTTTTTTTGTTTGCACCGTGCAAAAATTTTTTTCTGTTTTCGCACTGTGCAAAAGTTGTCGCTTGCATGTAATATCATCTAAATTCGATACAAAAAGTTTTAAAATTCGAAATTTTATTAGAAATAGCGTCGTAAAGCCGTCGTATTTTACAATTTTTTGTGAAGATCTCTTTTTCTCGGGGAGATTTTTATAAAGCGTTCAATTAATTCACCCGTATTTCACCATTTTTTTACAGAATTGAACCCAATAAAAAAATTATCACAATAAAAAATCCCCCAACCTATTTCCAATCCCATATGTGGCCGCAACTGAGTGGCGGCTAGATGAGCAGACCCCATTCCGCTAGCCGACCGCATGTACTTGAGACTGGACTGGAAGCGTCGACGTCGCACAACGTTGGGGGTCCAGTTCGCACCCAAACAATGGCCGGGTCAAAGCTCTACGGGTTCGAGACGAATGGTACTGGTAGTTTTTGTAATTTGCGTTATGAATGTCACGGGTCAATGGCCGACTTACGAAGGTGGGGGATTTTTTTTTGGATTTATTTTTTTTTAAACTATCTTTAAAAAAATTTTTTGACTGCACTATGCAAAAAATGAAATTTTTTGGGATTAATTTTTTTTATTTAATTTTTGGAATTAAAATTTTTTTTATTTTTTATTTTTTTTGGATTTATTTTTTTTTTTAATATTTTTTAAAAAAATTTTTTGACTGCACTATGCAAAAAATGAAATTTTTTGAATTTATTTTTTATTTTATTTTTTGTAATTGATTTTTTTTATTTTTAAGAAAAAAATCTTTTTTTTTGAATTTATTTTTTATTTTATTTTTTGCATTTATTATTTTTTTTATTTGCACTGTGCAAAAATATTAAAAAATAGATTTTTCGCAATTTTAAGTCTTTCCTTTGATTTTATACGTAAAAAAACATTGCAGAGAAGATTTGTTTTTGAAATAAATTTTTTTCTGGAAAAAAAATCAAAAATTTTAGTCGAAAAATTAAAAATAAAAAAAAAATTTTCTTGCACTGTGCAAAAATTGCCGAAAAAAATAAAAATCTTTGGAATTTATTTTTTAATTTATTTTTTTCCGATTATTATAAAAAAAATCAATTTCCAGTCAAATTAAAAAATTTTAAATTTTTTTGCACTGTGCAAAGATTTCAAAAAAAAATGAAAAAAAAATGATTTTTTCGAAATTTAAAAATTATTTTTTTTTCAGTTCTCTAAAATACTGTAATTTTTCATTTTTTAGTCGCAAACGCGCGATTTCCCGGCCAATGCAGCGAACAGGATCAGTTCGACTGCGGGATAATCGGCGAACACAAATGCATTCCGTTGAGTCAAGTGCACGATGGAAAGCACGATTGTCCCGACAAGAGCGACGAATGTGAGGGTTTTCTGTGTTATCTGCATTATTCAACATATATTTTTTTCAAAAAAAAAAAAAAAAAAAAATAAAAATGAAAAAAAATAGAAATAAGAAAAAATAAAATAAAAATTTTTTATTTTTTATTAAAAAAATCACAAATTTATACACCTTTTTAAAAAAAAAAATAAATAAATTTTATTTTTTATTAAACAAATAAGAGTGAAGGAATAAGAGTGGAAAAAATCTTCTGAAAAAAATGCTTCAGTCTCTTTCTTTTTTTGTCGGAAGAGTCTCGAGCAGATTCTCACCACTTGGGAAAGCGTCTGCCATCACACTCTTTCTTCTCTTCTGGAGGAAGCGTCTGCGGGCAGGCTCTTCCCGACGTTTATAGGCCCCGCCCCCTCGATTTTGAGCTGGCGGTTTTCTTGCGGAAAACGGTTGTTTTGGGTGAAAATTTTTGCCTTTTCATTATTCCGGTGATTTGGGTGTGTTTTTATTTGTTATAATTGTGATACGCTTAGCCTTAATAATATTATATTATGGCTGTCATTTCAAGATTCAATTGAAAATCAAATACATTCCTGGTTAACACAACGGTTAAGAAAATCAAGAAAAAACAAGTTTCACAGATATATTTATGTGCACCACAAGTAACATCGAGTTACAGTTAGATGTAGAGGGCCGTGGCGGATTCTGCCCATGGGCGTTCGTGTCCATGTTCACAGTCTCCCTTTCTTCCTCATTGTTACTGAGGTTGGCAGTTGCAATTTTAGGATATTGAGGCTGAATTTGGAAAAATTAGCAACTTTTCAACAATTTTACATTTAAAATAACATCAAAACTCCTCAAAACAACTCTATCGGTCCTACTTCTTATTGGCGCACCTGCAAACCACGTGCCACTCACTAAACTGCACATTTCGCAACAAATTTACCTTATTTTAGACAAAGATTCCTAAAAATTTCAAAAAATCTCGGTTTTGACGTAGGCCTGCAAAAAATTTCAATAATATCAACGAAATTATTATTTATACGTTCTTTCTCCGCTTCCTAAGCACTTCATCACTCACAAAAACAGCGCAAACTCAAAAAATAATATTACTTTAGCCCAATCCGCTGAAAACTCCAAAAAAAACCTCAAAAATCCCAATCTTCTCCCTCAAAACTCTCTAAAACTGTTACTTACTTCCAATTCAACAAGTCGTGAATATCCCTGTCCTTGCTGGATCCAGCTTCATCAACTGTCACGGGGATCTTATCCGTGGAGACCAAATTCTATATTGTTTTATACCTAAAATGTTTAAAAAAAGCTCTAACTTACAAAGTCGTCCGAATTTATCGCTGTATCGATCACATACTGTTGATGTCGAACATCAATTGGGCCTGAAAAGTTAAAACAAGTTCAGGTGGTGTCCGCAGTTGGCCGGGTAGGAAAAATTAGACCTGAAATTACTCAAATATGCTAACAAAATGAGGCAACTTACATTTCGCCGCGTCGGTCCGCCCTTCTTCGTCAAAATTCCCTATCATTCATCGATGGGCTTCACCTCCATCTATTGTTGTCGACCACTTTTGTTCGGTCAAAACGACTGAAAATTGTTCGGGCGCAAGCTGCGGAACCTTTTTTTCGCTTTTGCCAGAAAAATGAAGTTTTTCCAACAACGTTGATGCCAAAAAAAGGACGACCAAGATTGATATGCGATTGATGAAGGCCTTCAAACACCGCCCATAAGATGTTGAACTGGATCTACTGCAAATCATGGACTTATATTCGGCTTCCAATGTCTGGACTCGGAAAAGGTACGTAGAATGTTAAATTGTTGATAGTATTGGTAAATTTTAGCCGAAATATCTCCGCGTCATGTGCAGCGAGATGTTTCAATAGTTCAGGTGGAGGACAAGCATAATAATGATGCGGCTTACGAAGTAAATGAAGTCCCTCTTCATCGGCTTGCAAGATGGTAAGTTCTTTTCTTCTATTTTGCGTTGTTGATTTAGGAAATATTCAACCACCACACCGTCTTCATCAATCCGATTACAGATGTGGTCTACTAATGAGAAACACGTGATCTTCTGGACCCCTCCTATGCGCAAGACTGTTTGCTCCCGGCGACTAAACCCAGATGTAAGGAGTACACCAAATTCTGGATAAGCTAGCTCCACCGAATGCATTTGCAGCCAGCCGTTCAACAACCCCATAGGTACGCGAAAAAGTGCACAATTTTCCGGCTATTATTCCTATTACAATTCAGCCACCATGGTTTATTATCTCTGTTACCTGAATTACATTTTTGTGACCTTCTTTATATCAGATTTATATATTATATCTGATTTCTCCGATATCTGTTTCTTAGACACCTTTATTTATTGTTATTAAAGATTAGTTATTCATTTATTTTATAGACAGTGAACGAAGAGTTGTCAAAGAAAAAATGTAAAAAACATCGTATATTTGAAAAGAACAGTGCTTTATTTACTAAATGGCAACATTTCAATTCGCCATTTTTCCCCAAAATCCTGCAGAAGTGGGCGGAGCCAATAGGCGGAAAGAGTCTTGAACCACACTCTTCCCCCACCTTGATAGCGGGAGCGTCTGCTCGAGACTCTTTCCTCCTCTCAGATTCTTTCCCAAATGGGAAGAGTTCGTAAACACACTCTTCCGAACGAAAAGGAAAGAGGCTGAAGCATTTTTTTCAGAAGATTTTTTCCACTCTTATTCCTTCACTCTTAAATCACAAATTTATATACTTTTTTCAAAAAAAAAAAAAATAAATAAAATAAAATAAAATAAAAATAATTTAATTTTTTATTAAAAAAATCTCAAATTTTAAAGCCCCCAAGGCACTTTAAAATCCTCAAAAAACAAATTTACCTATCAATTCATCGTATTTTAGTTTGTTATCCCGGTCAAATCCTCTGCGGAAGTTATTGCGCCAACTTGGAGCATCTCGCCGACTGCTTGACCAACCCCAAATGTGATGACGAACCGGGCAGCTCGAAATTCCTATTGGAGCCGGCATTTTGTCCTTCATTGAGTGAGTTGACCAAATTTTACTTAAATTTAAATTTAAAAATTTTATTTTTTACAGAATTTTTTTTTAAATCTTGAATATCTCAGCTGAACTAGCAACTGATGAGCAAATTTTTTTAATATTTTATTATATTGTTTGTGTAAAGTGCGTTTGCAAATTTTTACACCGATCCGACCATTTTTTTGCACCGCATTTTGGGTCCCACCACGAAAAATTTTAATTTCTTGGCATTCCAAATTAAAGTAAGAAATGGTAATTTCAAGGCCTCTAAAGCATTGTAAAATAATTTTTATATGTTCTTGAAGCTCTAAAAATATATTTTTTTAAAAATTTTTTTCAATTTTTTTTTTCTTGAATATCTCAGCTGAACTAGTAACTGATGAGCTAAAATTTTTTATGGTTCATATATAGCCTGTCTAAAGTACGTCTACAAAGTTCTGTGTCTATCCGACCACTTTTTTGTTCCGCATTTTGGGTACCACCACGAAAACTTGAAATTTCTTGGCATTCCAAATTAGACTTATAAATGGTAATTTCAACGCCTCTAAGGCATTGTAAAATAATTTTCAGATGTTTCTGAACCCAATAAACCTCTTTTTCAGAGCGAAAACTCTGCGACTTGCCGAACACTTTGCCATGTCGCGGCTACGGCGAATGCGTCTTCTCGCACTGGTTCCAGAACGGCCGCAAAGACTGTTTCGACGGGTCGGACGAGGACTCCGACTACGTACGGATCTTTCAACTCGCCCGGAACCATCTACAACATATCGTACCGCAGATTATTTCCTCCGGCGGGAGTGCGCAAATTTTCGCATTTCCTCCGAATTCGACCAACGAGACAGAAAGTTTTGGTCGGGAAAATCAAAAACAAGGCCTGGAAAGTGTTGGTATGGCTTCGGCAAATCTTGGGCAGCATTCTGGAGCCGGCCAAATTGGACAGAATGAGATTTTGAGCGAGAAAAATGGAATTTTTGATCAAAAAATCTCCCATACAAGGCCAATTCCCATCCCCATACCTCAAACCGGAGGCCCACAGGGTGAGTAGCGCTATGGATTTTTTATATCAACTTTTATGACACGAAAATATGATGATTTTTTCGGAAAAAACAAAATTTTTTGATTTTTTCGCAAATTTTGCTCAAAAAATTTCAAAAAAATATGTCGCAAAGTTTTTAAATTTATCTAATAAAGCTTTGTGGTGGTTTATCTTACTGTATTTTTTCTAAATTTTTCAAAAAAAAATTCAAAAAATTTCAATTTCAGCTTCATTTTTCACAACTCCAAATCCTCGCGATTACTTTCAAAAAATCGATGAGACAGAAAAAGAAAAGTTCCAGCATCATGGAAATTTCCCAGCACGGCCTCCGGGAATTATTTTACCGCCCATTTTGTTCGTTACAACCACGATCTCCCCGCCAACAAAGCCTTTTGATCCATTTGAAGCGTTCGGAATCACAAGACCCAGCGAAGTTGATGTCTATCGTAAGTTTAAAAATGCATTTTTATCCTATTTTGGCTTTTTTTGGCCAAAATACTCTATTTACACCATTTTTTCAGTTTCTGTGCCTTTTGTTTTTTTCGCACTGTGCAGACCACTTTTTCGAACTTTGCACAGTGCAGTTTAGAAAATCTTGAATTTCGCACTGTGCAAGCAAATTTAAAAAATATTTTTTTTGATTTTTGGCAAAAATGAAATGTAGTCATCACCCTTAGTCACAAAAAGTAAGAAAAATTGCGCGTGTATATGATTTACCAGCAGTTTTAGCGATTGCACGGTGCAATTTAAAAAATCTTGGATTTTGCACTGTGCAATTGAACTAAAAAAATTTTTTTTTTATTCTTGGTCTACATCTGATATGGTTATCACCCTCAGTCACAAAACGTAAAAAAATTTGCGCGTATATAGAATTTACCGGCTAATTTAGCGATTGCACGGTGCAATTTAAAAAATCTTGGATTTTGCACTGTGCAATTGAACTAAAAAAACCTTTTTTTTGATTTTTGGCAGAAACTTAATCTACTCATTATCCTGAGTCACAAAAAGTAAAAAAATTGCGCGTATATCGGATTTACCGGCTAATTTAGCGATTGCACGGTGCAGTATGCAAAATATTGAATTTCGCACGGTGCAATGGCATTTGTTTGGGATTTTTGGTATCATTAGAACAAATAGAGTGTGTTTATTGCCTTTAGCTGAATAGAACAAAAATTATTTGTATAGTTTGAGATCTACTTTTCCTTTTAGCTATTGCACAGTGCAATATCAAAAATTCAAACTTTTGCACCGTGCAGATGGATTTTTTAGACTTTTTAAAAATTTTTGTGATAGTCTATGGCGAAAATTGTAATCTGGCTGTAAAATTTTTTTCTGTTTGTCGCACTGTGCATTTTTCCTACTTTTTTTGTTTTTGCACTGTGCACTCAACTTTGTATTTTTTTTGCACTGTGCAGTGAAAAATTAAAGTCCATGATGTAAAACATATAATTTTTAATTGTAGAAAAATCTTCTGGACGTTCTCAATTGTCCATTTTTCTGAATGGTTCGCCCTAAATTCTTTGATTTTTAGAAGTCCAACCAACTCTATATCCGGGCCAAAAATTGCCGCAAAATCGGCCAACAACGTTGTATCCGGGCCAAATTCTGCGGCCTGGCGAGGGATATCATGCTGCAACTCCACCGTCAATCTCAACGCTCTGGCCGATTTATGGGACTTTTGAGACAACTCAGGAATATAATGGACGGTAAGGCTTTTTTTGAATAATTTGAAGTATCAGTGCTCTTCGTATTTTACCAAACAGTAAAAAAACGTAATTTTTCGTTCTAAATTACAATTATAGATAACACAAAGTATTTTTTTCGCAAAAAATCTTTCATCGTATAAAATGTCCTGAAAAAATTTTTTTTATAATATTCAAATTTTTTACCAAAAAAATGTTTTTTCGTTGTAAAATACGACTATATTTACTTCAGAATATTTTTTTTGCAAAACATCTTTCATTGTATAAAATGTCCTAAAAAAATTTTTGATAATATTCAAATTTTTTACCGAAAAAAATGTTTTTTCGTTGTAAAATACGATTAGACAACCCAAAATATATTTTTTTCACAAAACATTTTCCATCGTATAAAATATCCTATTAATTTTTTTGATAATATTCAAATTTTTTACCGAAAAAATTTTTTTCATTGTAAAATACGATTATAGCCATCTCAAAATACTTTTTTCGCAAAACATCTTCCATCGTATGAAATGTCCTAAAAATTTTTTTGCTAATATTTGAACTTTTTACCAAAGAGAATGTTTTTTCGTTTGTAAAATACGATGTTACCTACCTCAATTTTTTTGCAAAACATCTTCCATCGTATAAAATGTCCTAAATTTTTTTTTGGTAATATTCAAATTTTTTACCAATTTTCAGACTTGACGAATTCGGTGACGTCATTGCTTCTCAAACCCTAAAGCCATCCTTTCCATTCTTCCCCAAAGCTCCGCCCACAAATCTACAGCCGCCAACTGGACCCAATCATCCCGTACAGCAACCTCAACAGCCGATTTATCGTCCTCCCACAACGTTCCGGCCATTCCAGCCGTCGCCCGAGACCTGGATCGTCTTCAACACCAAGGCGGATCAGTTCGAGGGGCTAACCGGCGTCACAACGGAGCTGCCGGCTAGCGCTCCGGCCGAGCCGTCAAATCTGCCAACCGAGCAGCCGGCGTGTTGTCGACCGGTCACGTTGTATCCGGGGCAGCCAACACCGCGGGGCTACGGTGAGCCAACACTTTATCCGGGTCAAGTCCGCCCCTCCATATATCCGGGACAGTTCGAGACGGCCAAACCAACGTTATATCCTGGCCAAGGGCGGCCGTTCGGCCCTGGGCTGATAGTTCCTGACCTATCTCATAATTTACGACCTGCTTTACCAAGTCCGACCCTCTTTCCCGGTCAGAGGGTTACTGTATTTCCTGGGGAACCGCTTGGCCAAGAACGCCCAATATTTCCGGGCCAAGGGCAGCCATCGACACAAAATGTGTTCCCAGCACAGCCTACACTATTTCCTGCGCTGGGACAGCCAATGCAACCGCCACAGCCCACGCTATGGCCGAATCAACAAGTTTTTCCGGGACCCTTCCCTCCACGGCCAACTCCATTTCCAACACTTTTGCCCCCACCGCAACCAAACATTTTGCCTCAAGCGACAACCAAAACTTATCCAGTGGTTCTGCCCGGAGGCTTTGTTCTATGGCCAGATGGGATTCAGCGCCCTGCCACAGCGCCGGCTACAACGACCGCTACAACAACAGCCATTCCGTATGACGAGTTCGGAATCCCAAGGGCTGAAACCCCGCTCGGGACAACAATTAGTGGCCCAATTGAAGTTTCGTTGGGAATTCAACATCCTCATCGTACCACAACACCAATTCCGACTACAATTTTTGAGGAGCTAACTAGCACAACAGCCGCTCCAAGGTTGCGACCTCTTCAGCCGGTCAACGGGTTCCCTCAACAAGGTCTTTGGCCAGTTGTGTTCCCAAAACCGGCGGTTCATCCGGACGAAGGCAACAAATGGCCGCCAATTTTGGTGCCTCCCACGTACATGCCAATAGTGTCGACATATCCACCAGAAACCGAGGGCAATGAATGGCCAACAGTCAGACCGATCTATCCCCACGAAATCGGGGAGAATGTGAAGCCGGAAGGCAATTTGAGGGCCAATGACACACTTCTGGGAAGCGCTGAAGTGGCAAATGTTACAGTAGGATATGAGGCAACTCATGGAGGTACGGCGACGGATGAGTACGGCCATGTTATTCCAATAATTGTCGCAGAAGTTGGCAGGCATATTTCGCACGAAAAGCCGAAAACTCAAACAACTGCAGCGAAGCCGACGGTTACTGTAACTCATCCAAATTTGGCCAGTAAATTACCTGAGGTGTCTACTGTCTCTCCGCAACAACCGTTTTCGGCGACAACGTTTGGCGAGACAGTAGCGGCCAGTGAAATTTGGTCGACTTTCCGAGGCTCGACCGGCGAGATAACTGGCGAATACACTGGGAATACCTATACTGGTGAGGCCATGAATACGTATACTGGATCAACAGTGTCTCCAGAGTACACTGGGACCGTCTACACGGGCAAAGCGTCGGCCGGGACGGAAGGTTTGGAGTTTACGGCCACTACAGTACTCCCAAGCGTAAATACTCATGGAACTGGGCAAACCGGTCATATTGACCGAATTATTGGGGGAAGTCAGGAGTATCTGAGCTCCACCATACACCCTGAGGGCTATACTGGAAGCACGGAGCCAGCGATCGGACATACAGGCAGTACTAATGAGTTTACCGCAACTGGAAAAGAAAATGAGCTCGAAACTTCATCATCATTTTTCTCGGCTTCGCCATACCCTGAAGCCACAATTGAGCACGGTCAAAACAACTTGGCTTCATACACTTTTGCCCCGTTCAACCCAACCAAATGGCTGCCGATTGTGCCGGCCGCCCTACTCGCCGAAACTTTGGGCTCCAAGAAGTACGCCGAATTCGGTTGTACGGACAGAATCAACCATATTAGCAAAGATACGATCCGCACAACCGACTGCGAATGCCCTCCGGGTCAGATGAAGACAGTTCATGAGGTTTGCGTCCGCGCTCCGGTCGCCACTTTCACGGTAAATGTGAAATCCGTATGTTACAAGGAGTTCGCCGGGAATTCGGAGGACGCCGCCGAAATCGCTCTAATGAAGCTGGCCAACGGTGTGGCGGAAAATGCATGCATCCGCGACAGAAAGAACAAAGAGTTGGTGGTGAATGCGATGTGCGATGGGTGCACGGTGAAGTCGTTGAGGAAGTTGTTGGAGGCAAGGCAAAAGGACATTCCGGACGTGGAAATGGAGATAAATGGTGAGTTTTTCGGGAATTTTATGTTGTGAGGATGGTTGTAGTTGTTGCTGGTGGTGTGTAGTGGGTCGTGAGGGAATTTGAGACCGTCCAGAAAAAAAAATTTATTGGAAAAATTGAAATTTTTTAGGGTTTTTGCGATTTTTTGGGGTTTTCTGCGATTTTTTGGGGTTTTTTGAAAAAATGAGGTAAAATACGACATTTTTTGTCTAATGTATTACTCATTAGGACTCTAATTTTTTTCAAAAACATTTTTTTTTGAATTTTTGAAAAAAATTTTTATTGTAAAATACGGATAAGATATTTTTTAAAATATAAAAAATTTAGTCACCAAATTTTTTCAGAAGCTCTGGGACACCAAAATCAATGTGCCAATGATCTTCTAAACGACTGCGATGAAGGGGAATGCCACGTGATTGACCTGCGATACGCCTGTTTATGTCCAAATGGAACTGTTGATGTGAATAATGATGGAAGAAAGTGCACGAGAACTGGGTAAGAGTAGAGGTGGCAATCGGGCTGGGCCGGCCCGGCCCGGCCCGGCCGGGCCCGGGGATGCAGCTTTGAAAAAGCCCCGGGTCGGCCTGACCTGAGCAGATTTGAAAAAGCCCCGGGCCGGCCTGACCGCTTCGGCCCGTCGGCCGGGCCGTGACTTTCGGCCCGGCCCGGCCCGGAAGGTGGATAAGTTTAAAAAATTTAATACTAAACCAGCAAAATAAAGCACAGATGCTTTGCAGAATTGAGGATGGATATTAGATCAAACCTTTTTTGTCTTATATGCTGTTTTACTACCTTTTAAAACTCTTTAAAATCCCTGATTACGTATATGTAAAATCCCAGACAAACATGCAAGGGTCGGGAAAAAATCTTCGAATTTTTTGATGATAAACTTAACATTTCACTCTAATTTTTTGCCTTGATGTAAATGAAAGTGTTTAAACAGTTTTTGATTAAACATGTAGCCTTATAACTCCATGTTTGTATATAGCTAACTTACTATAGGATTAAAAAATTCGGCACAATAAAACTTTTTGGCTGGGTTTTAGCTACCTCTTCGGCTGTTCCAGTCATCCGATAGACGTCTTAATTTCACTCATACACACGTAAAAACCGCCTGGAAAGCATAAGAACTTCCAGTATAAAGTTCAAAGACTTTTATCCAACCTTTTTGTATTAGCGGGCCAAACAGGGCCGGGCCGGGCCGGGCCGGCCTGGTCACTTCGGCCCGCGGGCCGGGCCGCAAAAATCGGCCCGGCCCGGCCCGATTGCCACCTCTAGGTAAGAGGGTAAAATACGTTCAAGAAAACTGTTTTGATTAATTTTTAAGGCTGTTTCTTCATTTTGAGCGCAAAAAATAAAAAAAATAAAAAAAAAAATTTTTTTTAATTTGTAATTTTTTTATTATTAAAACAGTAAAATACGGTAGTTTTACAATTGTGAGTATCCTAAAACATGGTTAATATTTATTAAAAAAAAATTTTGAACAAGAAAAATTTTCAAAATTCCAAAATTTTTGCCTTTTTCCCTCAAAAAAAAATTTTTTTTTTCGAAATTTTTCAAAATCAACCTTAATTAAAAAAAAATGAAACCCTTTAATCTCCCAAATTTCAGATGCACTCGATTCCTCGGCGTCTGTGTGGTCGTGTGGGCGATCATTTTGTTGTTGATGTTTTGCTTGTTGCCATGTATCATTGCGTTGTTATGTTATCGCTGCGGATGCAGTCAATGCGATCCGTTGGTCGAATATTACAAAAAAGTGAGTTGAAAAATAAAAAAAAAAAAAAAATTCGGAATTAAAAAATTTTTTTTTTATTTTTATTTTTTTTTTTTGAAAAACTTAATTATCGACCAGTCGGGAAAATAATGTGGATTTGTCGCGGCTTGAAATCGTCTATCAGTGCTTTGCGATGGCTAGATTTGGCGCGACTGCGACGAGGCGAGACTTTTTGATGCGATAAATCCACATTATTTTCCCGACCGACTCTAAAAAAAATTGAAAAATAAATAAAAAAATGAAAAAAAAAATTTATTTCTCTAAAAAACCCGAAAAAAAAATTTTCTATTTTTTACAATTTTTTTGATTGCACTGTGCAAAAAATTTTGGTAAAAATTTAAAAAAAAAAAAAAAAATCATTTTTTTCAAATTTTTTATGGGCACTATGCAATAATTTTTCAATAAAAATTATAAAATTTTTTTTTCAGACAAAAAATCCACATTATTTTCACAAAAAATCCACGTTATTTTCCCGACAGACCCTGAAAAAATTTGAAAAATAAAAATATGAAAAAAAATTTATTTCTCTAACGAAATAAAAAAAATTTCTATTTTTTACAATTTTTTTTGATTTCACTGTGCAAAAAATTTTGGTAAAAAATTTGAAAAATAAAAAAAAAATATATTTTTTTTTTCAATTTTTTTATGGGCACTATGCAATAATTTTCCAGAAAAAAATCATTAAATTTTTTTTTCAGACCATTGGCCATCGCGTGGCGGACGTGGAAGCGGCCCCAGCGACCGCTCGAACCAACTCCCCGATCCTCCAAGAGCACAATGAAGGCCGTCCCCACAAACCGGAGCCAATTTCCACGGTGGTAATTCCGGTCCCAACGAAATTAACGGGCAATGATTTCGACCAAAGCAAACCCGGGTTTTATGATGACTATTTGCCGGAGGATGAACTAAGCGAGACCGCGAGCCGAGGGTTGGTCTCGATTGTGAGCACTGAGGAGAGCGATCTGGGAATTGTAAGATTATAGTGAATTTCAAAAAAAATATTTTTTTTTGGTTTTGCACAGTGCGAAAGTTAAAAAAAAAAGATTGCACTGTGCAGCCAAAATAATTTTTTGCACAGTGCGGTGGAATGAATTTTTTTTTTGCACTGTGGAAAGAGAAAAAAACGTTTTTTTTCAGGTTGCGACAAAGCTTTTTTTACATCGAAATTTAAGAAAGATTGCACTGTGCGAAAATGAGAAATAATTTTCTGCACGGTGCGGCAAAAAATGTTTTTTTGCACAGTGCGGGGGAAAAGAAAATTTTTATGCACTGTGCGATGAAGAAAACGAATTTTTTGCAGATCGCGGCAAAATTTTTTACGCACTCTGCGACCCGAAAATTATTCTTTTCTTGCACAGTGCGAAAATCGAGCAAACATTTTGCACTGTGCGGCTGATTTGAAATAATTTTCTGCACGGTGCGGTGAAATGAATTCGGTCGAAAAAAGCATTTTCTTTGAAGATTGCGTCAAAATTATTGCGCACTGTGTCAGCCAAAAATTATTTTTTTTTTGCACAGTGCACATCAAAAGTAGATTGCACCGTGCAACCGAAATAATTTTTTGCACAGTGCGGCCAAAATAAATTTTATGCACAGTGCGAAGAAAAAACGATTTTTCGTAGATCGCGACAAATCTTTTTTTTGCACCGTGCAACTGAAAACATTTTTCGCACTGTGCGACCGGGAAATTCAAAATTCTCGTTTTTTGCACAGTGCAAAGATCAAAAAAACTAAATTTTTGCATCGTGCAGAAAAAATACTTTTTTGAGTGGCTATTTTTAGCCTCGTTCCAGACTTTTTCCAGCCTTTTACGGACCATAAATCCCATGTCCAATTTTTTCTCTTTTTCCCCTAAAAAAAGCTGGTGTTAAAATTGCAACCTGCGGCCTTTCGAAACTAATAAAATTGCCGGAAGTTTCAACAAAAAGACTCCTCCGCACTCTCCACAAAGCCTTAGGGCTTCTCGCACTCTTGGAATCGTATTTTTGGCCGACGATTTGGTCCACTGGTCACTATATAAAAATCTTTGGTTTCAGCCCGACCAAGGTCTCCAAACGACCACTGTGGAGGTGCACAACGAGGTGGACGCCGAGGAGACAGTTAGGAGACGGGACAGCGCCGAATCCCGCGCCGGAACCCCCACATTATGGGAGAAGTATCAGATTCTGGGCGAGCAGTTCGCTAGAGACGAAGAATGTAAGGTTTTTGAAAAGTAATAGTGCCATTTGCACTGTGCAGAATTCTTTTGAAACGCTTTTTTAATTGCACAGTGCAAAGTGGATATAATTTTTTTCTTCTGCACTGTGCAATGGAAAAGCCAAATTTTCGGATGCACTGTGGAATATCCGCGACAAAATTTCTGCTTCTGCACTGTGCAATATCCGCAACATAATTTCTCCTTCTGCACTGTGCAAAATCCGCGACAAATTTTCTGCTTCTGCACTGTGCGAAATTGAAGCCAATTTTTTGGCCGCACTGTGCAAATTTGTCCTTGCAGGAAAAAACACTATTTTTTGCACTGTGCAGGTCGGATTTTTTTTGAAAACCGCACGGTGCAATATTTGCGACAAATTTTATTTGCACTGTGCAAAGAAGAAACAAATTCCCGTTTTTCTGACTGCACAGTGCAAAAGGAAAGTTGATTTTGAATTGCACAGTGCAATGGAATTTTTTTATTGCACAGTGCAGTTTAGAAAAACGTCTAAAAAAAAAAAAAAAAAAAAAAATTTTTTACTTTTTTACTAAAAAAATTATTTTCAGACCCTCAAAACAGTGAATCCAGTTCATTGGACTCGCTTTTCGCGCGCTATCAAGAGCGGGAGCTGCAGAAATTCATCGAAAAGAACCCTCATCTGCTGATTCCCGTGGAAGGACCGGAGCGGCCCCAGCCTGTGACAACTCTACCTGGGCAGGTTCCATTCAACACAACCTCGAGTTCTGTGGTCCAACAGGGAATCCCGACCTTAAATCCGATCCCTCCGACGCCTGCGGCGAGTGGCAGTGAGGACGAAAGTGGAAAAGGGGCTGTTTCTGGTAAGAAAATAGATTTTTTGGAGATTTATCATTATTATTTCAAAAATTTAGCCTTAAAAATAATAAAATAAATTATAAAAAATCATGAAAAATAATAGAAAATCAAAAAAAAATCATCTTTTCCAGACAACGCGGTCGAAAAACGCGACGTCTCGGAGGCGAGTCGCGCCCTCACCGCCGAACACAGTGACGCCGGAATCTCCACGCCGGCCAGTGATGTGAGCACCCCCATGAACATTGAGGAAGCCATAGCATTCGCCGAAGCCATAACTCGCGAATCGAAGCAGAATCACGCCGACTCCGAGGACGAAACTTCGTCGTCCTCCTCGATTGCTCCCAGCGACAAATCCGACGAATTGTTCCATTTGCCGCAAGTGGAGGGCGACTTTGATATTGGGAATTTGGTGGACGACGTTATTCAAGGCGTTCAGAGGGAAACAACGCCGGGATCGCAGTAAGAAAAAAAAATTTAAAAAAAAAATTTTTTTTTTGAAAATCGAGATTTTTTGATTTTTTTGATAAAAAAGAGGCCTGTAAGAAAAAATGAAAAAAAATTTTTAGCTATTTCTGGTTTTTTACAGCTGATTTTTACTTGAAAAATTGAAAAAATGCAAAAAAATTGATTTAAAAAAATGACGTCATTTTTTGAAAAATTGAAAGAAATTGGCTAGAATTTTATAAAAAAGCATTTCAACCATCTATGAATATGTTTTTTACTTTTATTTTTTACAAATGAAGTTTTTTTAATTCAAATTTTCATTTTCCCGCCAAAAAAAATTTGAAATTTTTTGAATTTTTTTGAGACAAAAGCCTTTATAAAACCAAAATTTCAATATTTTTTTTAGAATCCACCATTTCCTTCACTAAAAATACCCCATATTTTTCCAGGAGAGCTGACTCCGCCCCTCGTCCCATTCTAAAAATGCCGATCCCAAAAAACGACCAGTCGGCACCGGAGCGGACGGTGCCGACCTCGACAATCTCTGCGACGAATGCCGCCGCCAACTCACGGCGGACTCGCTCAAAGCCACCGCCCGAGCCGAGGCCGGCGCCGAAGCCCGCGAAAGCGGCCAAACCCCCGATTCCGGCCGCAGCGAAGAGAGGGGTGGCGGGACCAAGTCGAGTGGCGGCGGTGAGGAAAGAGCAGACGCTCCAACGAAGGACCGTCGTTCAGAAATCGACGGTGGAACGGGGCCGAGCGAAAGTCATGACGAAAACGGTCAAGGTGAGATTTTTTGGGGAATCAGGGTTTGCACTGTGCAAAACGAAGAAACGGCTGAATTGCACTGTGCAAAAGAAAAAAACCAAAAAGCGAAAATCTGCACTGTGCAAAATTAACGAATGTCTTTTTGCACCGTGCAATGGCCAATTTTTGGTCTTTTGCACTGTGCAAAAGGAAAAAATGAAAGAGCGACAATCTGCACTGTGCAAAATTCATAAATATCTTTTTGCACAGTGCAAAAGTCAACTTTTGGTTTTTTGCACTGTGCAAAAGGAAGTAACGGCTGGATTGCACTGGGCAAAAGAAAAAAACCAAAAAGCGACAATCTGCACTGTGCAAAATTAACAAATGTCTTTTTGCACCGTGCAAAAGTCAACTTTTGGTTTTTTGCACTGTGCAAAAAGAAATGGCGACTGCATTGCACTGTGCAAAGGACAAAAATGGAAAAGCGACAGTCTGCACGGTGCAAAGTTCATAAATGTTTTTTTTGCACAGTGCAAAAGTCAACTTTTGGTTTTTTGCACTGTGCAAACGGAAATAACGGCTGGATTGCACCGTGCTAAAGAAAAAAACCAAAAAGCGACAATCTGCACTGTGCAAAATTAACAAATCCCTTTTTGCGCAGTGCGGAGATTTCGAAATCTAATTTTGCACCGTTCATAAGCTAACTTTCATCTTTTTGCACTCTGCAAGGACAAAAAAGTAAAAACAAGGGTCTGCACGGTGCAAAATTAACGAACTTCTTCTTGCACGGTGCGCAGATCTCGACATTGAATTTTGCACCGTGCAAAAGTCAAGTTTTGGCTTTCCGCACTGTGCAAAGGACAAAAATGAAAAAAGCGACGGTCTGCACGGTGCAAAATTCACAAATGCCTTTTTGCACAGTGCGGAGAGAAGAAACGGCCAGGTTGCACGGTGCAAAGGGCAAAAGTGAAAGGAACGACAATTCTCACGGTGCACAGGCGATGTTTTTTGCACTGTGCGGTGGGGAAAATGGGAAATTTAAATTTTGCACTGTGCGAAAAAAAAAGATTTGTTTTGCACAGTGCAAAATAAAAAATTTTTTCTGCCGCACAGTGCAAAATATGATAATGAAAAAAATTGCACTGTGCAATCAAAAAAATTATTATTTTTTTTTCAGAAAAAGTCCAAGAAGCTCGACTCTGACGATGACATCCTTCCCAGCGCCTCAGGGTCTCTTCCACCGTCAACTCGAAGCCGGCATTCGCTCAAATCGCCGGTCTCGCGAAAATCGTCGCTTCCGTCGCAAGTGAAACGAAGCGAAACCTCCACAAAGTTGCCAAAAATCACGGCCGGTGATTTCATGATCGGCGACATTGATTTAGACCTACCGGGACCTCATGTAATCCCCGCGTCTTTGGATGACATCAAGTCTGGGAGAGTGTCCCGGGAATTGTCGAGGAATTCGCTGCGAGATACGGAGGATGCGCGTGTGGATGGAAAGCGGAGGGATAATGGAGATGTTAGCTCTGGTAATGAAACGGGATTTTTTGGAAATTTTCGATTTTTTTGGGGAAAAAAATTTTTTGGCCGAAAATTTCATTTTTTTCAAATTTCAAACAGATTTTTTTGGCGGGAAAATTTAAATTTGAATTTTTTAATGTAAAAATCAAAAAAAATCGAGGGAAATACACAGCAAAAAAATAATAAAATTGAAATTTATTCGATTGTAAAATACGAGTTGTCTGTTTTCTTCGATATAAAAAAATTAAAAAAATTTTTTGGACCAAAAATTTTATTTTTTTTAAAATTTCAGATAAAAATTTTTTGGCGCGGAAATTAAAATTTGAATTTTTATACGTAAAAATCATAAAAATCGAGCGAAATACACAGCAAAAAATAATGAAATTTAAATTTATTTGATTGTAAAATACGGCCACCAGTTTTCTGCCATAAAAAAATAAAAAAATTTTTTTTCCAAAAAAAATTTTCTAACTTTTTTCAAAATAATTCCAAATTTCCAGGAGACGGTGTGAGCAGCTCGAATCGCAAGAATTTCCCGCCCTTGGACCTGAAGGGCGTGCAGAAGCCAGCGGAATCGGATCGGGTAAAATTCGGGTCGTCGTTGTTGCCGCGGGTGTATCGTGTTGGTGAGGACGGTTCGTATCGTGCTTTGCGTGGTTCTCGGCGTTCTCGGACGTTCGAATCCTCTGTTCGGCCTTCGTTGGCACCACGAGTTTCGCGGATCCATTCCAAAACTTTTGACGCCGATTTGATGAATGGGCCAAAGTCATCAAGAATCGGGCCGAAATCGACAAATTATGGGTCAAAATCGACGAATTATGGGCCAAAATCCTCGTTTCATAGCCACAGCAGCATTCCCAGTGGGGCTAGAAGAAGTCTACTGGCTAGTCGAGCTCCCCAAAGCTCGAGGGTAGCCAAGAAACCGGTGGTTTTTGCGAGGGAATCGAGCTATGACCTGGATATCCCAAGAAGGTCCGGATATGGCCTCAAAAGCCGATATCTCGCAAATCAACCGGTCAATTTCAATGTCACACTGCGACGGAGAAGTCCAAGGTCTGGAGGGACGAGTTCTCGCCTTCAACCATGCCATTCACATCGACTGCCTCGAGTAGGAAGTTAAATGCACGTTTTATACCTAGTTCCAAAATTTGTTTTTTTTTTCGTTTTTAAATAGCTATTTTTTGATAGTTTTGATATTGTCAAGGCTGTAATAGAACTTTAACTATTATTTAGAGTCATTTTTACAATTTTTAGAAGGCATTTTTACAACTAAAAAATCAATTTTATTTTTGAAAAAAAATTTTTTTTAAAAATTTTTATTCAAATTTTTGACGGTTTCAAATGGAAATTTTTGTATTCAAAATTACAGTAATATAGTCTTGATAGTATTAAAAGAATTTTTTGATAGTTTTTACTATTTTTTAAGCCCTAATTACCCTCCTTTTCGCCTTTTTTCCCTGCTTTCCCCTCCTTGAATTCCCTGATTTTCCCTCTTCGTTAACTTTATGTTCAGGTCAACGTTGCCGCTTCTACTTGCGCCGTTGCAGAGCGAGTCCAGCCCCTAGCCGAAGGCGCGAACGCGGAGCTGGAGGAGAAGGTTCATGAGCACTGTTTGACCGACCGAAAGCCCTGGGACTCCTCGCCGTTGCGGGAGGGGGAGCTGCAGAAAATCCCGTTGGACTGGAATCTCACCTCTTCCGAGTCCTTGCTACATAGTCTGGAAAGAAGACGCAGCAAAAGCTACTCGGAAATCGCACTCTCCCGCAAATCGCTGCCCAATATCTGGAGTGATGAGGAATTTGCCCCGAAAAATGGGAAAAACCCCAGATTTACGGACGTAAAAGACTGCCCGTTGACGAAAATGGGCGTCCCTGTGGGTCGAGAGCGCCGACATCACAGCTTGATCGATGCCAAGTTTAGTCGACCGGTCGAAACGGCTCAACGAATCCATCGCCTTCCGCCCATTGAGAACGTCGAAGAGCGACGGAAATGGATGGAAAAAGTGAAAAAATCGCTCAATTCCAAGGAATTTCTCAACTATGATTAGTTATTATGACATTGCAATATTCTAAAATTTTGATTTTTTAGGATTTTTAGAGGAAAATTTTATTTTTTATTTTTTGGAATTGCACAGTGCAAATTTTGAAAAATTTTGAAAAATTCGAAATTTGAATTTTTTGCGAAATTTATGGTTTTTTATAACCAAAAAATCAAAAAATTAAAAAAAATTTTTTTTGAATTTCAAATTTCCCGCCAAAAAAATTTTTTGCACAGTGCAATACCTATTTAAAAAAAAAAAAATTTCTATTTAAAAAATTTTTTGATTTTCTCCAAACAATTGTTACAAACATTTCCGGTGAATTTTCCTCCCCAATATTCTTCGTATTACTCTAATATTTACTATGATTATAGCCTATTTTTTTCAAATAATTTTTAAAAAATGTATTTTTTTTATTTTTAAAATACTTCTAAATAAGATTGATCACTGTCATTCCACATATAATTTTTCATTTTTTTGTCTTTCAAATAATAATCTAATCTAATTGTCTTTCTGAATTTTCAATTTACTGCGAATTTAATAATATTGTATTTTTTTATTTTTATTTTGCTAAAGAAACTACGTCGTATAGAGTTTTATATTTTATTTTAGATTGATGGTTTGTAGTAGCAGTTTCATAGTTAATAAAATTTAATTGAAAGAATCTAAAATTTTTTAAAAAAGTTCAAAAAATCACGGAATATTCATAGATAATATGTAATATATAAGGTAAGTATCCACATATTTTCTTCAAATTTTGCCCACAATCTCAACATAGGCCACATATCAATCGCTGAAAGTTTCAGCTTGCGCTTTGCAGGGAGAGCCGAGATATTCAACGAGCTTTGCGGCCGAGAGAGCACGCAAAACGCGGAGAGCGGTCAGAGAAAATCTCTTTTTGGCTCTATCTTTGCCAGTTTCGCGTGGAAAAAATTGAGTTTTTGTGAAGACATTACTCTCTATGGTAGAAACAAGTACGAAAATTTTCACGCCAAAATTCGCAAAAAAAGTCTCGCATTTTTGCCAACTTTTGACCTAAAAATCTCGGTCGTTTCCACAAATTATGAGCTAGAAGTCTCATATGTATCTTAAAAAATACTCTGTTGTCGGCCTATCACTATTTTACGTAATCTAAGCTCAAAAGGAACTCTCTAAAATTGCAAGCAGAAACATTTCGTCGTATAAAATGTCGCCCAAAAATTTTCTCTCGGCCTTTTTCCTTTCTCGATTTTTCTCACTTTGCAGCGCTGCGCGAATAAAATTTGATGCGTTTTCAGCTGGTTTCGGAGCTTCAGACGGGATTTTTTACTTCAGCGGATCCGAATTTATGTTATCCATGAGGGAATCGATTTTTCTCCTCGAATTTCGGGAATTTGATGTTCCAATGGGGCTAAATTAATTCCATGTGGTTTCATTTGAGTTGCCTTTGGCAATATTTGCCTGTTCTCAGAATTCTTTTTTATTTATTTCATGTACTTTGGCTTGAAATTAGCAAAATTATATTATCCATGTAAAGATTGATGTTTTCTATTGAGTTTGGAATCGTAATGTTTTATTTTGTCTAAAATACGATTGGATAAGCTTAGTGCAGGTTTACTGAGGGGTTTGAAGAGTTTAGGCATGGCTTACATTGCTTCAGAGACGATTTTTCCGAATCGATTTCCGGCTTATGTTGTCCTTGAGAAAATTGACGTTTTTGCTCGGGTTTTGACGTTTTTTGTTTGGAAATTGGAGTAAAATACCTTTTCTGTTATACTGCGAATCTTTTTCTTCACAATTCATCCGGAGTTTCTTTTATTTTTGCCACTTTTCAGCCGATATTATTTTAGGTCCATTGATCTCGAGATTTCCTTTCAAATGTCGGAAAAACCGCTAGAAGAGAAGCCCACAACTTCCAAATCGATCTCCGATGTTCTCGAGGAGTCAGTTGGAGAATTTTCGCGAGAAAAGTCCGAGAAAAGCATGGAAGAAGAGGATTTGGGAGACAAAGAGAATGAATCAGACGAAGAACTGGATGAGTCGGCTCTTCCCTCATCTATTGAACCCATCGAAGTTGATACCTCCGGAAAATTTGGTTGGGTCCATGATTTCAATGAGGAGTATGGGATAAAGACCAAAACATGGTTCAGAAAGTGAGTGTTTTCTATTTTTTGTTGGCTTTTAGATGAAGAGCGTCACATGGAGACTTGTAATGGTTTATGAAGGCTATATTGGTGTTTGAGTTGCCTAATTTCGCTCTTTCAACGTCTTTCAAGCATCAACTTTTTAAAATTATGTTAGCCATGGTTGAATGCTATGATTGCTGTTGAAAAAAGCGGATTGATGGTTAGCAACTTGTTTATATAGGGGATAAAGTCTTGTCTAGAAAGAATGAGTTGAAAGTAAACCTAGAAAACAGATTTTTTGAAACTTTTTTGCCATGGATAATATAACTTCCGCATTTTTCTTCATAAACACAAAAAAACAGTTCATTGGTGTGTCTTTTGTTGAGTCCCGAGACGAAACCTACGACTACGTTATTGGCATTCCGTTTCATTCGAAGCTTCTCGAAGCCTAGAAGAAAAGGGAGCTCAGTTGTTACATATTATTCAGTGAATGTTTGGTGTTACGCTACGTTTTGTTATTATTATTCTGTAATAAACCTCTCTATATTTGTTACCCTACATCTGGCTGACTACATACCTTCACAACTACACGTGAAGATACAACAATTGGCGCAGTCAACACGAGCAGAAGAAGATTACGACGTGGAATCAGATCAAGAGCACTTCTACAGAAGCAGTTCAGCTGTCCACCTTCTACTGCAACTTCGAACCAGGTACTCTTCGAATTTTTTGTTCTCGCCTTTAGATTCTGAATCTTCCTCGCGGAAAACAGAATTCCCACACCCCTACACTCCTCGTACACCCATTTCAAGGATAATTTTGACTCCTTCTGTCAAAAATTATATTCCACTTGACATCAGAATGGAAGACGTGAACCTGGGAAATTCACATGAACCTACAGTCTCATCTGAAGTCAACGAGCTGAAGAAGTACCACAGTCAGCCAGAGCACACCCATTCACTCCCCCTTTCTTCAAACTCTTCCAATACACGGAAGTGCTACAGATGTAACGGCCCACGTGCACATGAATGCCTAAAGAACTCAATCGAAGGAAGCTTTAACAAAGGCAAGGCCAACATCAACGTCGTCGAATACTACGCTCAGACGATGGTTTCTCAATACACGGAGAATTTCAAAGAAGAAATGGGGCAAGGTACACATTCAATTCAAATGCGGGAAGATGATACACAGATCCCGACGTTCAAGTGCACGTTCAATTCAAGTAAAGGAAGATGCTACACAGATCCTTTACGTTTCAATTCAAAAGAAGGAAGATGTTACACAGGTCCTTCTCAGTTCAATTCAATCAGAAGATGCTACACAGATCTCCTGGACGACAAAGTACAATTGTCGCTTTCAATTGGCCATGATCTACAGATCATGCAATCCCAGATTCCTCAGAGAATCAAAGAGCTTCCCAAGAATTCCCCTTTCAAGGACCCTGATCCATGTCCATGTTCAGAAAAGTGGAATATAATTTTTGACAGAAGGAGTCAAAATTATCCTTGAAATGGGTGTACGAGGAGTGTAGGGGTGTGGGAATTCTGTTTTCCGCGAGGAAGATTCAGAATCTAAAGGCGAGAACAAAAAATTCGAAGAGTACCTGGTTCGAAGTTGCAGTAGAAGGTGGACAGCTGAACTGCTTCTGTAGAAGTGCTCTTGATCTGATTCCACGTCGTAATCTTCTTCTGCTCGTGTTGACTGCGCCAATTGTTGTATCTTCACGTGTAGTTGTGAAGGTATGTAGTCAGCCAGATGTAGGGTAACAAATATAGAGAGGTTTATTACAGAATAATAATAACAAACGTAGCGTAACACCAAACATTCACTGAATAATATGTAACAACTGAGCTCCCTTTTCTTCTAGGCTTCGAGAAGCTTCGAATGAAACGGAATGCCAATAACGTAGTCGTAGGTTTCGTCTCGGGACTCAACATCTTTCAGCTACGAAGACATGGTCCGCTGTTTGACGTGGTATCAACTCAAAACGGGGATTCGGTTGATCAGATCTGGCGGTTCGAGAGCTCTCACCGAAGCCGATGGAGTCAGTAAAGAGACGGTGAAGAGATTCGTTTTTGACAAAGTCAAGTACCTCTGCTCCCATCATGGGCCAAAGGGAGTGAATTGTAATTTCCGAATCATAATTTCGTACAACAATGACGCCGACATGCTCAAAATTGTGTTTACGATGCTGCACCACAGTCATCGGCCGACGGACGTCTCAGCGATTTACGACTCAACGGCTAGAGCGGGAAATGAATACATATCATTGTGTAGGTTTTTGAGGGCGTTTTTGGTAAAAATTGAGACTTAAAAAATGGTTGTTTTTGGCGGTACCACACAAGAGAATGGTCCAACGATCCATAAGATACGCTGATTAGACTAGAATATTCAGAAAGAACAGGTAAAATTGGTGTAAATCCCATTAAAAGCGACGAGAAATATCGACTGAAAGTTTCAACTGAATTTCCGCTCGTTATCCAGTACAAGAAATCAAAAGGAAAGAGATGTGACCGTTAGTATAGTGGGAAAACCTTCGCTTACAAATCCTTTTAAGTGCCAAGATCCGGGGTTCAAATCCAGTCGGAAACAAACTACTCAAGTTTTGTTGAAGTCAAATATTTTGGAAATTTTGATCAAATTTAGCACAAAACGGTCTGGGAAAGTGTTTGCTCTCCATTTGCAAAGTTTTTTATATATCTTTGTCGATGTCCCAAACAGTTTTATGATAATTTTGATCAAAAGATTCTAAAATATTTGAATTTCAACCGTACAGTAGCGGACCTGATCCAGTGGTAAAAAACGTACCATTTTGCATCCGAGAAGCATCAAAAACGCAGCAAAATACCTCCCTCTTCAAGTGAAAAAACTTCGTTTTGAAGAGCGCGTTAACAAGAAGAACAGGAGCGCTTTTGAAATTGGAGTTTTTCACTTGGAGAGGGAGGTATTTTGCTGCGTTTTTGATACTTCCCAGATGCAAAATGGCACATTTTTTGCCACTGGATCAGGTCCGCCACCGTAGTAGTTTGTTTCCGACTGGATTTGAACCCCGGATCTTGGCACTCAAAAGGATTTGTAAGCGAGGGGTTTCCCACTGTACTAACGGTCACATATCTTTCCTTTTGATTTCTTGTACTCGATGAAGAGCGGAAATTCAGTCGAAACTTTCACTCGGTATTTCTTGTCGCTTTCGATGGGATTTACACCAATTTTACCTGTTCTTTCTGAATATTGGAATCCGGTCAACGTATCTTATGGATCGTTGGACCCTTTCCCTTGTGAGGTACCCCGAAAAACAACCATTTTTTTGAAAGCAGAGTACAGTGGCGGACCTGATCCAGTGGCAAAAAATGTACCGTTTTGCATCCAGGATGCATCAAAAATGTGGCAAAATACCTCCCTCTCCAACTAAAAAAACACGCCCTTCAAAACGGAGTTTTTTAGTTGGAGAGGGAGGCATTTTGCCACATTTTTTGATGCTTCCCGGATGCAAAATGATACGTTTTTTTGCCACTGGATCAGGTCCGTCACTGTAGGCCGAGGTTGACTCACCTGAAAACGCCGAATTCGAAGATGTTCTGCGGAAAATCTCGCTTTCAAAAAGTCGTATTTCAGCTATAATTCAAGTATTTTCAGTACGAAGTCTCCGACCAGAAGTCCCATTTGAAGATTACTACACAAAATCCGAGATCAAAACCGAAAAAGCCTCGCGGCTGATCAACAAAAAAGAATCCAGCGGCCTCTTATACCTAACAGAATTGTTCTCCAAACTCGGTGAAGCCATGTTCAGCGCATATTTGAAGAAGAGCTTGAAGAAAACGACGAAGAGGGGAAGAAAATCCAAAAGTAACGAGTTGACGGAAGAGTAATGTAGTTATTTTATAGCGAATATGAATGTATCTTACGATTTTAATATTATTTTTTTTTATTTCTTAGCCCGGCCAAAATGTGATTGTTGTGAAATACGAAAAGGAATTTTGAATAAATTTGATATCAAGTGTAATATAATGGCTATTTTTTTTGAAAAAAATAGAATGGAAAAAATTAGGAAAAAGTGAATTTACAGGTGAAATACCCCAAGTGCGACGCTCACAAGGGAATGGTCTGAACTTCCCCCAGCGTTAAGGAAAATGACTGGTACAGGTGGATAGAGCAGGTCGACTTTGGTAGAAAAAGGCAATTTCCAGCTGCAAAATAAGCACGGCCGACGAGAAAAATCGACCGAAAGTTCCGAAAAAATTTCCTTTTTCTCTTCCCTCGGAAAAGAAGAGGAGCTTCCAGTGGTTCGGTTGGTCGAGTGGATAGAGCGTCCGCTCGATATCCTTTTGGGGGTTGGTTCGATTCCGGGGCAGCGCGGGTGGCTATGGTAAGGCTTCAGTGACAAAGATAAACTCTTGTGAACCAAAAAAAATATATTTTGCAATTTTTCGATTTTCTAGAGATCATAAAACACATAATAATAAAGGATTTTTATGTAAATTCCTCCATTTTTTCTGTAAGATTCCAGAACGGTTCCAGTCATATTCAATAATCTAGTCATGGACTGTCTGTTTTCCGAACACTAGTGGACGTTTGTCAAAACCCCCGATGTGATCAAGATATGCTTCAGTTTGCTCCTTATTGGAGTATGATTGGGAACGTTCTGGAATCTTCCAGAAAAAAATTGGCTGAATTTACATGGAAATCCTTTTTTTATGTGTTTTATGATCTCTAGAAAATCTAAAAATTGAAAAATATTTTTTTTTGGTTCATAAGAGTTTATCTTGGTCACTGAAACCTTATCATAGCCACTCGCTCTGAACCGGAATCGAACCAACCCCCAAAAGGATTTCGAGCGGACGCTCTATCCACTCGACCAACCGAACCACTGGAAGCTCCTTTTCTTTTCCGAGTGAAGAGAAAGAGGAATTTTTTTCGGAACTTTCGGTCCATTTTTCTCGTCGGCCGTGCTTATTTTGCAGATTGGAAATTGCCTTTTTCTACCAAAGTCGACCTGCTCTATCCACCTGTACCAGTCATTTTCCTTAACGCTGGGGGAAGTTCAGACCATTCCCTTGTCAGATTTTCTTTAAATTTTTCACACACGGCAGGTATGGACTAAATATCAATTCCTGAAAGTTTTAGCTCGCGCTTTGCGGGCGCCGCCGAGATATCGAACGATTTTTGCCGGCGAGAGAGCACGCTAAACGCGGAGATCTGTCAGAGAGAAAAGCGCTTTTTGGCCATAACTTTGGCAGTTTTGTGCGGAAAAATTTGATTTTTTGTAGAAACATTATCCTTTACGGTTGCAATAGGCATGAAACTTTTCGTGCCGAAATTCGGCAAAAAGACCTAAATTTTTGCCGACTTTTGATCTAAAAATCTCGGTTGTTTCTGCAAAGCGCGAGCTAGGATTCTCGCATATATCTTAGAAAAAATTATTCTAAATTTGTGCCAAGTTTCATCAAAATCTGTGAACCGCATGTATCGTATATGAGACTTCTAGCTCGCGATTTGCAAAAACAACCGAGATTTTTAGATCAAAAGTTGGCAAAAAAAAGAAAAATTTTTTGCGAATCTAGACATGAAAAATTTCTTGCCTATTTCTACCGTAGAGGTTAATGTTTCCACAAAAAATCAATTTTTCCCCCGCGAAACGGGCAAAGATCCGGCCAAAAAGAACTTTTCTCTGACCACTCTCCGCATTTGGCGTACTCTCTCGGCCGCAAAGACTGTTGAATATCTCGGCTCTCCCTGCAAGGTTGAAGCTAAAATTTTCAGGCATTGATATGTGGTCCATACTCAAAGTGTGTGCAAAATTTAAAGAAAATCTGAGCGTTGCACTGTGAGTATTCACCTTCCAAATTTTCAAAAATTCACCGAGATTTTCCTTCAAATTTCAGCAAAAAATCAACATAAAAACTTGCAAAAACCGCCACTTGCTGACTTCCAAGCCTTTCTTTTCAATTCCCTCGCCATTAAATTACTTTTCATCCAAAAAAAGAGACATTTACATCATCTGGGCTCTTCAGATCGTATCTTTTCCAAAAGTTTCATAAATTATGAAGTCCCCGTTTCTTTCCGCTCGCTCGGTTCATCCCCAAAACTTTTGCCGCGAACCCAATTTCCGAAGGCTTGGAGAGCGTTTATAATGTGAAAATTGGATATAGTACTCGTGGGAGACTCGTGGGGTAATTGCGCTCATAAATGTTGAGGTTTTTTTTCAATTTTATGGCCAGATATGGGAGCAAAAGGTACGGGGAATGAACATGTGTTGGGTTTTGTGAGAAATGAAAAGTTTTTCGCAATGGCTCAAAAAAGTTTTTTTTCGATGCCTGAGGGATCGATTAGAGGCTATTTTTTTGTAGGGACCCTAAATGAAACTCTGCCGTTGAAATTTTGCATATATGTTTTCTAAATAGCCCAAAAATCAATCCCAAAAAATTTTAGTTCGAATTTTGCAAGTACAGCCGAGATATTCAACCTTCTTTTTTTTCCGAGAGAGTACGAAAAATGAGGAGAGTCGACCAGATGAAAAACATTTTACGGTCAAAAAGTATTGAATGCTGTTCAGAAAAGATTGATTTTTTGTAGGAAACTGATTTACTTCATGTTTAATAAGTCCTGAAACTAATGTCAAAAGGCTAAAAAAACTGTCGAAGCAATCCCCAGCGGAGACCAGCCGTCGCAAAGCGATGATGGGCGATCCCAAGGCGCGACAAATCCACATTATTTTCCCGACAGACAAATCTCCAAAATCTCTCAGCGTTTTCGGTAGGCATTTTTAGATTTCGACTATGAACCCAACTTTCTGGCCTGTTGGACAAGCATCTTCTAGATTTACAAGTCATCTAATTCCCTTGGCTAGCGAAAACTTTTATCAGTCTGTCGGGAAAATAATGTGCATTTGTCACATCGAAAATCGCATCGACGCCGAGAAAATGAATTGTGTCGCGGCAAGATCAAATTGCTTTCACTCGAGTGACGTGATCGGCGTAGCAACATATGCTCATTATTTTCCCGTCAGACTAATATAGCCCTTGAATGTAGTTATTTTATAGTGACGGCCCTGATCCAGTGGAAAAAAACGTGCAATTTTGCATCCGGGAAGTATCAAAAAATGTGGCAAAATACTTCCCTCTCCAAGTGAAAAAACTCCGATTTCAAAAGCGCGCCTGCACTTTTTGTGGGGGAAAGAGCGCGCCCTTCAAAAAAGGAATTTTTTTAGTTGGTGAGGAGGCATTTTGCCACATTTTTTGATACGTTCCGGGTGCAAAATGGGGCGTTTTTGCCATTGGATCAGGTCCGTCACTATAACCAATCATTTCAATCTATGAGTCATAATCAGAGATTGCCACGGCTCCGGAGCCGGCTCTTGGCTCCGACTCCGAGCCGGGAGCCAGAGCCGGAGCCGGAGCCGGAGATTTTGGGTGTTGCTTCGGCTCCCGAGCCCAAAGTCGGAGCCATGCTTCTCAGCGTTCAGAAAAGTAAAAATTTCGTGATCTTGTTAAACCAAATTGCTCCAGGAGCCGGAGCTGCAAATTTGGCCTCGGCTTCGGCTCTGGGAGCTAAGAGCCGGAGCCGAGATTTTTACCGTGGCAATCTCTGGTCATAATAGCTTTCATCCAAAAGATTTCCTCCCCATTTTCCATCCAGAAATCTCTTGCAAAATTACAGTGCCAAAAATAAACAAATAGCCAGGAAATCCCCGCTCAGCCTTGGCAGAGGGCGTCTTAAACCCTCGACAACACCGCTGCACTTTGTCGATCCTATTAGGGTCTGGCGTTTTACAAATATAAATCTGCTTACATCCTCCCCCCTGAACATGACAAAAACACTTTTTCCGGGGCCCCGCCGCTTCTCCCCTTAACCGAATTTAACCGACCTTTTCAGACGCAGCCCCAAAGTGTTCTCGAGAGCCGTTTGTTGCATGCACTACGTGACAAAGCAGTCGGTGCTTGATACGACGGTTTTTGAGATTTTGTTGAGCTATTTGAGATTTTTGCGGTGTTTTTGTTTTTTTAGTCTGTCGGGAAAATAATGAGCTCTGTCGCATTGAAAATTGCATCCCGGTCGAGAAAATTAATTGTGTCGGGGCAAAATGAAATTGTTTTTTACTTCAGCGACGCTATTGGCGTATCGATATTGTGCTCGTTATTTTCCCGACAGACTGATAACTATTGCTTATTTCAATTTTATTCTATGAAAATCGCGTTTATTGTGATTTTCTCTCTTGGCAATTACAGTAAAGCCTCTGTATAAGGAACTGTTTGAAGCAAAACAAATATATTCATTATAGAAGAGATTTGTTATACAGAATTTTATTTTGGCATAACATCCACTCTTGGGGCTTTTGGAAATTGTTCGTTATAGACAAGTCTCGTTGTACGGATGGGACGAAAATTCTTGACAAGTCTTTGGATCGTGCGGCCGGCCTTCCAATGTGTCATTGCGCGACAAAGAATGAGCTAAAAATCAGAACGGTGCGAAAAAACGCATGTTGCAGTTTCATCGCTGCGACATGAGCGGCGACAGAACTTCTTTAGGAGAGACCACTTTGCACTGTACGTAGTGAAGACATGTAAAGGTTTTTCGACCCGCCGATTAGTCGTTCCAGAAAGTGCGTAGACTTTTTGTCGTGGACCGCACTGTGCACAAAACCCTTTTTTCCGGTATGCATTTGACCTTTTGCACCGTGCAAGTGCAATATCGCTACGAAGCTTTTCTCATCAGAGCCGGCGCGAATTTTGGGTGTGCGAAAAGAAATTGCACATTGAAAAATGTGTCGAAAAGGATCGCGTCGCGCAACATGCACTGTGCGGGTGCAAAAAAATACGAAAAAAATCTGCGCACTTTCTAGAACGACTAGTAGCACCATAACTCGTTGTACGGAATAAAGATCATTGAATTTTTTACACTGCATGTTTGCTAATGCTACACTTGTTTTTACATTAGCTGTCATCTACATCCATATTTTTTGGACCTCTCAGACGTTACGTTTTGCATGGACATCTAAAAAATAAGAAGTGAAAATATCAAAAAATTTTTTTTGAAAAGTCAGAGGAGGCAGAAAAATCAAATCCAGCCCCTTCTCAAGGTCGGCGCCCCATTTATAATAAAATTTGCCAAGGCCCCCAACACCGGGCCAGCAGCCATGCTGTCGTGAGTCAAAACTGATTTTTTTACTTTCATTCTGTCGGGAAAATAATGAGCACAATTTTGCTGTGCCGATCCCGTTGTTGAAGTGAAAAGCAACTTGATTTTTGACACAATTCATTTTCTTGGTGGCGATGCGATTTTCGATGCGACAGAGTGCTCATTATTTTCCCGACAGACTGAAATTACAGCAAACCCTCTGCACAACGAGTTGTAGAAAGCCAGAAAAAGTGCATTCTTTATAGCAAACCCAAACCTTTGTTGTCTTCATTTCGTCCTAAAACCGCCCTTTGAGGACATTCCAATATCTTTATTCCCCACTCTTTTACCATAAAATCTTTTGAGGTTTGCTCCTCTATGTTCCCCCGTCTTTTCATTATCGTAACAGCGGGGCCGGGAGAGAGAGTCGGCGCTGGAACGCCTGGGAATCCAAAGAACAGCCCCTGGAGACAAAGCAATCCGAGAAATTGGACTTTAACTTGCTTACGCGACGCCACAAAGCCGTGAATATTAATTGTTGTTGAGGGGGGACGATAATCAAATCAAATCAAATCTTGGACGAGCTGCACTCTTTGCGGCAAAAAGTTTTCCGAATTTTCTGCGACACTGTACTGTGCGTTTTGAGCGATAATTCGGAAAAAAGTTTTTGCACCGTGCAATCGCCCTAAAAAGTGAGTTTGCACAGTGCAATCTTATTTTTTTGCCCTACGTCATCGATGGCGACCACATTTAGGGGTTTCCGAGGGTGCTAATTTCGAAAATCATGTTCATTTTTTTGGTTCTTACTTTTTTCTTAAAAGACGATTTTTGGCTTGCTGCGTCAGCCGGGGACATTCAAAAAATTTTTTTTTGAGTTTTTTGGCCTAAAATGTTGGTATGGGTCACTAAAACACATTCCCAAAATTTTTTTGCCCAGTGATGCCCGGAAGGTAGAAATTTGCATATGGTTATAACCGTTCTTCTGAGCTCTGCTGTTGCCGTCGCAATAAAGACGACTTGACGAAACCGACACCATATAGGTTTTGGTGGATGGCAAATTCAAAAATCGCAATTTCAAGTTAGTAGGATTACTGTAACATAAAGTTTTTGACCTTCGGTCGATAAAAATCGACCGTATCTCCTTCAAATCAAAAATCCCACAAGATTTTATTGCAGATTTGGAATCAACGTAAAATTCTGGTCTAGGAACATGTAATTTGCATCCTTGATTCCGTGGCAGATAAATCATGGCGCAGTGGGTTTTGACGAAAACTAGTAATCTGACGACCCTGGTTCGATCCCCGCTGGAGACAAATATTGTAAAAAATGTGGAAATGACATTTGATGGAATTATGAGGGTTGTATAAGCAACGCTAAGTATTTTTAGACATCAATGGAACATGGATTTGAGGTTAGAACAGGGTTTATATTATTTTAGTCTCGGAATCGGTGAAAAATAAAACTGCTTCAAACGGGCTGAAATTGATAACACCTATTCTAGGCCTAATTCTAAGAAACTTTTACGTTAACTTTTTTTTGTTGGATTACTGTATCGTGGATTACGGTAACAAAAAGCTCGGCCTCCTTAAAGGCGATTTCTTCAAAATTTCTGCATAAAATTAAATTTTTTTTGGTTATGTTATTCAAACGGCAGAAAGCCGGCATGCCTCATATTTAAAATGCAATTCGAACTCATTTTCAGTCTGAATTAATCTCATCATCCATTGGTGATATTGTGTTAGATAATTCAGGTATTTCAAAACATACGGCCATAAACGAACTATTAATGCGCAAACCCACTCGTTCTTAACCATTCCTACAATCTTCGTGATATTCCGATGGCTCTGCGCCTTATGGTATGAAAAAACAAAATTGGGTTTTATGTTACCGTAATCCACGATACAGTAATCTAACAAAAAAAAGTTAACGTAAAAGTTTCTTAGAATTAGGCCTAGAATAGGTGTTATCAATTTCAGCCCGTTTGAAGCAGTTTTATTTTTCACCGATTCCGAGACTAAAATAATATAAACCCTGTTCTAACCTCAAATCCATGTTCCATTGATGTCTAAAAATACTTAGCGTTGCTTATACAACCCTCATAATTCCATCAAATGTCATTTCCACATTTTTTACAATATTTGTCTCCAGCGGGGATCGAACCAGGGTCGTCAGATTACTAGTTTTCGTCAAAACCCACTGCGCCATGATTTATCTGCCACGGAATCAAGGATGCAAATTACATGTTCCTAGACCAGAATTTTACGTTGATTCCAAATCTGCAATAAAATCTTGTGGGATTTTTGATTTGAAGGAGATACGGTCGATTTTTATCGACCGAAGGTCAAAAACTTTATGTTACAGTAATCCTACTAACTTGAAATTGCGATTTTTGAATTCGCCATCCACCAAAACCTATATGGTGTCGGTTTCGTCAAGTCGTCTTTATTGCGACGGCAACAGCAGAGCTCAGAAGAACGGTTATAACCATATGCAAATTTCTACCTTCCGGGCATCACTGGGCAAAAAAATTTTGGGAATGTGTTTTAGTGACCCATACCAACATTTTAGGCCAAAAAACTCAAAAAAAATTTTTTTGAATGTCCGGCCCCTCGTATTGGCTGACGCAGCGAGCCAAAAATCGTCTTTTAAGTAATAGTGTTAAAAAGTAACTTTTTGAAATTTTTCTAAAAATACTGGATATAGGGGTTTTCGAGGGTACTGATTTCAAAAATCATGTTCATTTTTTCTGGTTCTGACTTCTTTCTTAAGTAGTACTGTTAAGTAGTAATTTTTTGAAATTTTTCTAAAAATACTGGATACAGGGGTTTTCGAGGGTGCTGATTTCGAAAATCATGTTAATTTTTTCTGGTTCTGACTTCTTTCTTAAGTAGTACTGTTAAGTAGTAATTTTTTGAAATTTTTCTAAAAATAGTGGATATAGGGGTTTTCGAGGGTGCTGATTTCAAAAATCGTGTACATTTTTTCTGGACTTTACTAGTTTTCCTTAAGTAGTAGTCTTAAAAAGTAATTTTTTGAAATTTTTCTAAAAAACTGGATATAGGGGTTTTCGAGGGTGCTGATTTCGAAAATCGTGTGCATTTTTTCTGGTTTTTACATTTTTCTTAAGTAGTAGTGTTAAAAAGTAACTTTTTGAAAAATTTCCAAAAATACTGGATACAGGGGTTTTCGAGGGTGCTGATTTCGAAAATCGTGTGCATTTTTTCTGGATTTTACTAGTTTTCCTTAAGTAGTATTGTTAAAAAGTAATTTTTTGAAATTTTTTTAAAAATAGTGGATATAGGGGTTTTCGAGGGTGCTGATTTCGAAAATCATGTTCATTTTTTCTGGTTCTTACTTTTTTCTTAAGTAGTAGTGTTAAAAAGTAACCTTTGAAATTTTTCTAAAAATACTGGATATAGGGGTTTTCGAGGGTGCTGATTTCGAAAATCATGTTAATTTTCCTTCTAGTACTATATAGTA